CCCGTATGTTCTATGGAGAAGACATTCCACAATTATCCAAGTTGCGACGATTCGGAGAAGTTGGATACGTCAAGTTTGTTGGAAAGATCAAGGGAAAACTACAAGATCGCGGATTACCTATGCTGTATCTTGGAAGAGCACGGAATCACAGTGCAGACACGTACAAGATGTACAATATCGCAACAGGAGCACAAGTACTCACACGCGATGTGATCTGGATGGACAAGACGTATGCCGAATGGAAGGGTATGGGTCTACCCAGCACCGCAGAAGAACTCACACATATTGGAAAAGACAAACTCCTCAGCGTCCTACCTACAGAAAATCGGGAATCGAACTCTCATGATCTGCTCCTTAAGCCCACGAAGACTACCAAAGCAGGAGCAATCACACTAGAAACCAAGAAGATTAATAAAGTTCTCGCGACCCCAACAGCCAAACCACCTGACCCGGTCGCGACCCAACTATCCAAGGCAACGCGGGAACTACAGAAACTCAGTGCTAGCTACAACCCCCAGGCCCTACAGACACTGGACAAGCTAGCGTGGTACAACCTCATGACGGTGGGCTCCCTCATGACAAGCATTTTCGGACGATGCATCCGAAGAGGAGAGAAATAACAGACTCAGCACGAACAAACGGAATCACCGCCAATGAGAGAAATTGCAAACTTTTCTGACGATTCCAATGACAGAACGTTTTGGGAAAGACATGAAGACTGGTGGAGTGTTGGGTACACGGCATCAGAAGTAGATTTGACGGGAGGACTAGGACACACCTATTGATCAAGGAGACTTCGCATATGACACAAGGATTCAGGATCCAGCAAAGTATAAGTATCTGTTCACCAAGCAAGCACGTTCGATGAAGCTTGGGACCACGCGGAACCATTTCAGCGAGGGAAGTGGAGGGAGGCGATCCAAAGGCGAGCTAGACAAGATGGAGAAACTCAAGTCTGGCGCAAGATCAAGAGTCTAGAGAATGGAGGAAGGGAGACGATGTGTTAAACACAAATGGGTGCTGAAATCAGCGGAATGGAAGATTCAGAGCTAGATTGGTGGCCTGCGGCTACAGTCAGTACCCGGAATTGATTTTGACAACATTACAGTCCGGTGGCTAACGACATCACCTTCCGCATCATTTTGATTCTACTACTAAAGAATGATGGGAAGAGCGAAAGCAATGATCTTCGATATTGAGAAGCATCCTACATGGAGACATGGACGATAGTCATCTACATGGCTGCCCAAAAGGACTAGACACCAAGACGACGAATGTGTCATACTGGCAAAGACCATCTATGGTCTTGCCAGAGCGCACGACAGTACTACTTGAAGTTTGCGAGTGTCCTGGAAGACTTAGGATTCGTTCATGTCCTAGTGATCCATGCCTCTTCATGCGAACAAGAATGGGAAGATAAGCGTGATTCTATGTTACGTGGATGACAATCTCACCATTGGAGAAGAAGACGATATCAAGGAAGTGCTTCAAGGGATTAAAGATCGAGGCTGAACATGACCATAGAGTACAACTCACGGACTACCTGAGCTGTGAGTTCGGATGAATCCCCGAAAGGTGCTGCATGGGTGGGACAACCCCACATGATAAGAAGATTCAAACCACATTCGGAGAGGAGGTACAGAAGCTACCCAAGTACAAGACTGCGGGAACACCTGGACTCGGGATAGTAAAGACAGACGAACAGAGTGAATGGATGCTGAAGAACAACAGAGCAGATATCAACAGGAGTAGGCATGCTCATGTACCTTATCAAGCATTCAAGGCCAGAAATCTCAACGCGGTACGAGAGCTAGCTAAGGTCTTGGGATGCGCAACGCCGGCAGCGTACAAGGAAATGCTACGCTGTGTAAAGTACGTGTTGGATCAAGGAACCGTGGACTTTGATGAGACCAGAGAAGAACGAAGGACCGTGGAAATTGGAAGTATTCTCGGTTCGGATTGGGCCGGAGAAAGAACAACAGAAGATCGGTCACGCCATGATGATCTTTCTCGAAGTGTACTCATTCACTGGAGGTCCAAGCTACAGAAGGTCGTAGCATTGTCGAGTTCCGAAGCTGAGTTCTACGCGTGTGGCGAAGCAGTACGAGAATCCCGTTCATCGCGCAGATTCTGAAGTTCCTACAGATCAACGTGAACTACCTGTGCAAGTGAAGATCGATAACGTAGGTGCTATCTTTATGTCAGAGAACAAGACAAGTGGCAAGTCGAACAAGGCATATGGATACGAGGTGGCACTACGTGAACCAATGCAGCAGGACGGCCTAGTGAGATTGATTTTGTTCGCTCGGAAAGACAACGTGAGCGACATTGGAACCAAGAATGTCAACGTCGAGACCCTCGACAGACATGCACCGAAATAACAGGAGACAAGGAGCAATTGGTTTGAGTTGGTAAGAGGTCGCTGCCATCATCGCGAAAACAGGAAGGGTGTCAGAAAGTATTTTCGTATGACGGACAGACGACTCGGATCCACAATCACGGTTCGTGATTGGGGATGTGTGACTCAAATCAGATGGTTATCGATCATCATCAGATGGCCAGGTGTTACGAGGAACGAGGACAATGGTCTCTAGATGATGCAACTACAAAGGTTAGGAAGTTAGGTCGAAGAGATGAATGCAAGGAGCGACGGGATGGAGCAAATGAATGGACGGAAGAAGGTCCATAGGTTTAGTAAAATGGGAAAGCCCTCCAGGGCAACCATGCACTTCAGGAAGATAGATCGACGAGATCTATCTGTAGATGAAACTGCGAGAAGCAGAGGATCGAAAGATCCTGTATATGTATGCATATCGGAGCTCAGTTGTAGAGCTCACAATCTGAACGAGAGAGAAAGAGAAAACGAAACGAATAGCCAGTCTACTAGACAGTAGAGCTGGAAGGATATTGATTAAATTAGAGAAATTGTGCGTTCAAGTTCACACCTTTTCAACAGTGCAATGCCACGAGCCGAGGGTGGAGGGTTGAGGTGGTTGAGGTACCAGCAGTGTTCCAGTGAAGGCATGAACATCGGATGGCTCTTCCCTAAGTATCTTTTAATTTGGTCATTCAGTACTTAGACAAATGACTTTATGTGATGATTGGCGAACCTCGCTCACAATTTGATCGATTTGCCTCCGTTCGCGGCCTGAACTTGAGTGGTGCCTCCAGGACCAAGGGTGAAACAAAGAAATAGCTGGACTGGATAGATAGATAGCCAGATAGCAAGTAGGGTACTGGTAGCCGATTGCTTAAGCCAACATCCCTTCATTGCACTTTAACCCTACAGCCATCCTAATTTACCATGGGCAATAATCGGTGTTGCTGTTCGTCGCTGCCGTGCAACCTGTGTTCCTTTTTGACATCTCCTGTATCTTCGTTTCGCAATCAGGTTTCCCAACAACGGAATTCTTCGGAACAAGATCAGTTGGCCAATGATTTGCTAGAACAAGGAGAGCAAGATGCCTCTACGACGGGGGGTCCTCTAATGGAAATGGCCGTTACCTTTGCCGCCAAGATTTTGCCGTGTTCCGAAGCCGTATTGTCGCGACTCATTTGGGTGTTGCTATGGAGCTGGAAGGCAGCCCCCGTGGCGCTCTACGAATCTCTGGAACTCGACAAAATTAAGCAGTCCATGACAACCAACAACAAATCTCAGAATAACGAAGAGGAAGCCACGACGGCCGGCTGCAGTTGTGGTGCCGAGTATTTCCAGAAATGGTGGCAAAAATTTGTGGCGATTCCCGTGGCCATGGGATTCTACTACTTTCTCTACGATTATGTCGCACAGCCACTCTTGAATGAAGCCGGCTGCTGTGGAAGTGACACGGTGACCCAAGTGGTGGCCATTTCGTTGTTAGCATTGCACTTTGTTTCGGGTCTATCCATTCATTTGTACCAAAAACAAAAAGCTGAACAAGAGTGCCAAGAAACACTTACTGATACCAACAACAAGAACGACGTGGAGTTGTCGCAGCAGTCCAGCAATAACAGTGACTATGCCAAGGCTGTGGCCAACGCTTCCGCTCCGCCCGAACCTACCGGTGACTGGATCATGCTACAAGATGACAACAACAATAATATTACTGGTGCAACGAACGCAACCTCCCCTCCAACAACCGCCACTGCGACAACTAGTGCGGCTCCCGTGGCTACCGGTAGCGCATCCACCACCCCCAAGAAACGGAAATTCTGGCCCTTTGGAAAAAAGAAAAAAGCACAGAATTTGGTCGACTCGAAACAACCGCAAGCAGCCATTGTGTAGCTAAACAGTGGGGTGTTGTTGATGTGTATGATTGTAAATAGATTAGTTCAAAACATAATACATACATAAGATGCTCTCTGACTTGGGCAGTCTCAAAGTGAATCACCACTTATTAGCTGAGCTCGTGGAGTCGCTGCAGTCCAGAACAAGAGGGCTCAACATAGTAGACTACCAGCGAAGTACCTACCATCCCTTTTCCTTGCCCCTCCTACCCCCTTCAAACTTTACCAACCCCAACTCTCTTCAACAAAGAGCTCGTGATTTGTGGTGAATCATGGCTCTGACCTCAGTGTACAAATCCTTAGATAGCTAACAGGCGTCGCACACTCTCAGGAGGCCAGTGCGGCCGGTGAGCAGACTTGACTGTGGGAAATAACCGGGCCTAGTAGGCTCGTGGGTCGTCCTCAAGCACATCTCATCTGAATCCGTTATTAGACGTTCAGTTTTACCAGCGAAGTAATAAGTGCAGATCAGAAGTATTACTGATGTTGCAGGTGGCCAGTTTTTTTAAACATGGCAGAAACTATTGGTTCCAACCGTGATGGCAGAAGTTTGTGGTGTCACCTTGTGAAGCAAGTCTATAAAGAACAGGTTTGCTGAAAGGTTGATGTTGCAAAATTTATTACGTAGAATTAGAAGTAGATTACATCTTGGTATGTGAATTGTGTGTAGCAATGACAGTCCCATCTGTTCATTGGACCTTTCTCCTATACCTGGATGCTGGCGAGATGCGGAGGTATTCTGTACTGGTGAGGGCCAGCCTAGCTTGCTTTTTTGAGTTCCTGCCAACAGCAAGTTGTGCACCGGAACATTGGCCAAAGATATGACGAATTCATGGCCTGTTTGTTTGTTTGTTCAAAGGAACAAGTCTGCAAAAGAAAAGATGTTCTTTTCATAGTCCGTAGAAGCCATGGCATTACGTCTACGATGACTACGGCGGCGGTTGTGAGTAGATGAGGACCAATCATTCATGGCGCAGCAACTACTAGCCCCAGTAGTAGAGGACAGTTGAAATGCATCCAAGGCGGAAGCAAAAGAGTCGATTAGAGCTTTCTCGGACGAGTCGTCCAAATCCATTATAAGTATAGGCAAGTCCTCGGTACTAATGGAAAGGGAGCGACGGATGTGGCGATGATCATTTACTTGTTGATCACCAGAGAGATCTTCTTCAATGGCAAAGATCACTTCTTTGATTGGGAAACTAAGTCTCCTGGATGGTTTTGTGAGTGTGAACTCTTCACTGGACGTAAATTCTGTGCCAGAGATGGGTGTACTGATGGTAAAGATACACATGTAAGATGTGGTGGGGGGTTGTCTGTTTGTGTTATTGCTGGGTGCTAAAAAAATATTGTGAGACGTTTTGATGGCGAAAATTTTGGCAGAGGGAAAACGACAAACCGTTGCTGGTCTTTTCTGCGCATTCTGCATGCAGACACAGGAAGTCCAAGCACGGTTAAAAAGTTGGATGCTGGGTCGGGAGTTGATCCTGTTTCGCCACCGGTTCAACCATTTGTTTAGAGACAATCTGTCGCGATTAAAAGTGAAAGGTCCTGCATTTTGTGTGCCTGTCACAAACCGGACTAGCTATTAGTACAGTACAGCCGTACAATGCCATGGACAATGGAAGTGGACGGCAGACCAAAGCAGAAGCACGGAGTACTAGTACCATTTTTGCATGTTTCGAAAAGGAGCTGCGGGAGTGATTTGTGAATCGAATCGCGCCAGTCTGGCAAACAGCAAAGCCACCAAACCCTGTCGGCTGTTTCCAACGAGTGTGATGGACCCTGGCTGAGCCTGGCCTGGCACAGACTAGCCAGCTACCTGGTACTGCTAGAACTTTGTCATTAAACGAACGGTACAAAATGTAAATCGAAGGTCTACTTTACAGGTCGGGCACACTATATTACCCAGCGCCCAAATGGAACGCAAGACAAAGCAACAGGCAAAATTCAGCGGGAGTCTTGCGAAGAGGAGGATTTTGCGTCAAAGAGGAGGAGGACGTAGGTAACCGAATTGAAATGGAAACCGAATGCTTGAACATGGAGACGCTAAAGAGTCCTGTCGGCGTGGAAACTTGCGTGGAGGGCCCTGGTTCGTAACCGAGACGAGAGGAGGTGGTGTCCTCACGACCACGTAACCAAGAAAGGTAGGGTACCAATCGCCTACACCTCAACCTCAAAGGGAGCCTTGACGGGCTCGGGGGCGACCGTCTCGGGCATGGTAGTTGCGTGTGCAATGGGTATCTCGTAGTCATCTTGGAACTTGTCGTCCAAGTTGAAGTCATTGTCGTCATCGTTCAGGTCATTCCCATCGCCGAAGCGGATGGAAGGATCATCGCCGTAGCGATTGGAAGCATCATCGCTGTAGCGGTTGGAAGGATCAAACCGGTAACCCTCGAGGGCCATACTCGAGTCGAGACTTGTTGAGTTGGTCATGGACGCCGCTCTCCTCGAGACTTTGACCCAGTATGTTTGCATTTTTCTGTTGGGTGCAGCAGGTGTTACGTGTGTGAGCAAGCAACCACCGAATAGCAAAAAACTGTTGCGCACTTCAGGCTTACCCTTTACCCTTGGCCTCCACGAGATCTTCCCGAGCCGTAACCCAATCTTCCTTGCCAGCAGCGACAAGGAGAGTGGCAGTTGCTTTTGAGACATGGATCCTATCCTTCATACCATTACTGTAGCAACAGAAGCGCCAGATTTTGGAAAGCCTGGTTAGAAGCCTTGCCACCCAGACGAATCAATTCAACTCGACTTCTCAACTAACCTTTCCATACGAGCTGCTGTGTTTACGCTATCTCCAAAGAGCTGAGACGGGTTGAAACTGTGTGAGACTTGCGGCACCAAGCAGCCATTATAAGAACCTTGACGAGCAGAGACAGCTCACCTGAAATCGAGACTAACGTGACACAGACATTGAAGGCAACAGTTGTCAGCTTTACGCAATGGACACTTCTCATGCAAGCAATCCCATCTCGTACCTTTTGCCCTCGCAGAACCCCGGCTGTAACAGGTCCACTATAAGCAAAATGAATCGAATCACGTGAGCAATCTACTCCAAACGAGACGTCGACCGACAGCGCTGTTCAAGTTCCAGCTCAAAGGCAACCTACTAACCTGTGAAGCCCAATCCTCATGGCCAAGCCAGCAGTATCTTCACCCAAAGAGCCCACCAAACCGGCAAGTACAAGAGGCATTTTGGTTTGACAGTCGTTTGCAAATTTCACCATTCTCAAGGCGTGATCAGGCTGCGGTTTCGGTAGTCCCGAAGCGGCAACTGCATTGGAAACGAGCAGACAAACGAACCACCAAGGTCAGCGATTGTGCAAGGCCATTCGCATCCATCAGTTCAATGAAGCATGCATGCGTACCGTAGCAATCCCTACATTGTGCATACAATAGAGAAGATTGCATTTTGAGTTAGTTGACAACTAACTGTTGGAAAAGGAAAAGACGTAGACGCAGGAGCACTGACCCAATAGTCTCGATTTTGAAGACGCGGCGCTTGGATGCAATCTACAACAACCAAGAAGCAGTTGTGACAACCAAGGAGACAAATGAGCGCGAAAAGATTAGATTCTGTGCACTCGGAGCATCTTATATGCGACATTTCACTTACTCTGTCAAATGTGCCATAGAGCGCCTCCAGAAGCTGAAACACGTGGGTCGGTTCTCTGAGCATTCAGCAAAGATCGTGTAAGATAACCAAGTAGAGACAAACGAGATCGAGTTGACGTTTCCTGTTCGATACCTACCTGGAGCTGCTCCAAGAGGTAAATCCTGAACGAAGAAGCAGCAAACAAAACAGTTCGGATGAGAATATAGTTCATCAAGGACCAGCCACAACATGAAGCAACGTGTGTGCTCTAAAAGCACATACCGACGAGATCTGCGAAGAAAATAGTGGTCTCGGGGTATTTTCGAGCAATGGCTGCACTGTCATCGTATTCTCGGTTACTGCTGTCCGGACCGCCGCCAGCGACAGCAGCACCAGCGACAGCACCGCCACTGTTCTCTTTGTTGTTGTTTTTCCAGGCAGCTTCGTCATCGTTTGACTTTGCCTTGGAGTCCATTTCTTGATAAATGCGATTCCGAACATCTTCAGGGAACAGAGATGAAACGAGTGCATCCGATCGCAGCGCACTCTTCATGACAGTGTTTTGCCTCCGTTCGACCTACAATGAACACAAACAGAAAAAAACGACTGTGTCAGTTCACATAGTGCTGTCTCAACGCAAAGCAAATTCCTCATGCATGGCGTACCAAAAAGTCGTAGAGCAGAAACACCAGGCCAGTGAGGATAAAGATGGAACAGACAACCACGGTGTAGATTATAGCATCATTGGTTGCATGGTTCTCGACAAATAAGTCCGTCATGTGTGTTGAGACATAGTATGCGCATGTTGTTGTTGTATGATGATGGGACTCTCCATCCTCGGAATCTTGGCCATCCTCGCTATCAGTGTCATCGACAAGAATGCGTCTTCGGCCGTCCTCGGAGGAGTCATTGTCGCCGTCTTCGTTGTGATCCTCCGAGTCGTTGCCATCTCCAGAGCCATCTTCGGAGCCATCTCCAGACCCGTCATCACTGCCTCCTCCATTGTTTCGCTGGAGCTTTTTGCGCTGCACCAAGTGGTCGTACTTGGGGTCATGAGGATAATCCCGTCCGAGATCCAGCGTGTTCCTTCCACTTTTGGCGACCGAGTAGCGTACGGTGTCGGTCCCCGGACAGACATATTCCAAATCGACAATCATACCGGACGTTTTGCCTCCCAGATCCACGTCCATGTAGTCACTCCATTCAATGACCGAAACAACGACTCCAGCTACACTGGAGGTCGCCTCGATCAATCCATCAAAAATGGGTTGTACGAGTAGACTTTTGGGTTCTCGCATTCTCGGGTCATCGGCACTGTCGGATTCTTGATAGAGAATGAGTGTATTGAGATCGGTAAAGATGGGAGAAACTCCGTATGTTTTGGTATTGATAATTTCGGCCAGAACTTCGGGGAACCATTCCAATCCCAATAGATCGAGCATAATGGGCGATGTACTGGCTTTGGGTGGCGGTGGAAACGTTTGCCAAATGGGCAAATGAAATTCGAACATGGAGTTGCTTCCGTAGATTGTTTCTCGAATTCTGCCGGGTCCTTCGAATTCTTCGTCGTCTTCACTGTCTCCACTTTCTCCGTCTTTGCTGTCTCCATCTTGGCTATGGTCTTCACTACTAGTACCGTCACCCCCCTCTTCGCTGCTATCGCCCTGTCCATCTTGGCTGTCATCATGTTCTTCGTCGCTTTCGCCGTGTTCTTCTCCTTCTTCCGAATCATGTTCGTCTCCCTCCTGATCAGGCTCATCTTCATCCTGCTCGTTGTCGTTGTCGTTGTCGGGTTCGCTTTCGTTGTCGTCTTGTTCTTGAAGCTTTCTGCGAGTGTTGCCTTGATTGTCTCCCTCTCCTTCCTCACTATCAGGTTCTCCACCTTGGTCGTTATCTTCTTCGCTTTCATGACTGTTATCGCCATCTTCACTCTCATGGCTCTCCCCGTCTTTGCTTTCATCACCACTGCCATCTCCACTCCCATCTCCATCTCCACTCCCACTATCACCTCCACCTCCACCATTGACGGAATCCTTGTTGAGTTGTGCCACTAGTAGATCCTGAATAATCCAATCCTGATGTTGCACGGCATAGTGTTCCCATCCTTGTCGTTGGGTTTCTTGTACCAACGGCGCAACAAACAAGATTTCCGCCTTGCTGAGTGACGCCAGGTTTCCCGCGACGAGTCCAAAATTGGGAAATGTCACATTGGCATTCAACCGTGCGGGGGCTTGGTCTTTATAATAATAGAGTTGTTGTTGTGGTTGCTGATCTTGTGGTTGTTGTTTGGCGGATAGAGCGGTGGTTGTCAAGTTGCCATCTTGTTCATCATCTTGTTCATCATCTTCTTGTTCATCTTGCTGTTCTTGTTCTTGATTGATTTGGAGATATAAAAGCTGTTCCTCGTGAATACCAAAGGACGTCCAGGAATCGGCGACGGAATGCGCCGCTTCGTGGAGTTTGTTAATGTTGACTTGTGTATAATCAAAGATATCCACCGACAAATCTTCAAATTCATCTTCGTACCACCGCTTTTCCGATTCCTGGACAAAGTAAAACGTCAAGATACCCGCCACCATGGCCGACAGTGCAATCACCAGATAGACGATCCATTTCGAACGATTCACCATCATGGTCTCGCCTTGGCCAATCATGGCGTTTTCTTGAGATTTCTCCTCCGCGTCTTCGCCACCATCGTGGGTGCTGCCACCCGATACCCCCGATTCGATGGACTGCAAACTCACATTGTCGTCGTCGTCGTCGTCACGGATTGTTGCCAACGTAGAGTGCGGCATACCGGTAGCACTACCATTGTGCTTACTGTCTGTCATCTTACTACCTACGGTCTCTTTTGATAATCTGGATAGCAGCCAGTTCGTTGTTGTTGTTTGTGTGAGGAGGAGCGGTTGTTGTTTGTTGTTTGTGTGTCGAGTGCGGACTGAGTTAGGCTAGTTGTGAGCTTGGATGGTGGTTGCCCTTCAAGGGCAGTTAGTTACTAGTAGTTGGCATGTTGGCAAGCTGGTACAGTACTAGTACCGGTAGTACCGGTATGTGGAGACGCTGCGGTAAATTCTACCAGCAGGCAATGCCAGTTGGAGTGTACTGGGTCATAGGAAAAGAGAACTAGCGGGAACAAGTCCTTAAAGCCGCAAAAGAAACATGTCTTAAACCGTATTTTGGGCAATCCAGCTCTTAAAGCCTCCTTGAGTCACACTGTAGTTACAAAGACTCTTGGACATTGCAGCACACGGAAAGTATAAATCCCATCTTGGACATTATTCAGCAAACTGAAAGTACTGTACAAAGACTCTTGGGACTTATTAATAGTTACATGTACTGTTCGGCAACACCCTCTAGATCCTGGACATATATAATGGACTCTTGGACCAACAGACAGATGTTGATTGTGTGACGCAGTCTAGCTTCAATTTTACGTTTTCAGATTACTTTACTGTACTGTGCTGATCAAGTTTCAATTTCACACTTGTGAAACCAATTTTCACATGTGAAACTGTCAAAATCAAGGTTTCCGAGCCTGTGACAAATAAATGGAAGAAAGCACCGTACTTTTTACAGGAGACTCTCTTGAACTGGCAAGATCCGTGACCAATCTAAGTCATCTGAGCTGTAGAGGAAGAAAGATCTACACATACACATGACATTGTCTTTGGTTGTGCCGGGCCGTCGCGGTGGGTGGGTGGATGTTAGGTTTTTGGTTGGGCTACCGAACCGTAGCTGTGGAAGCCCTCCCGTCAGAAGACTGATTCATTCCTTGGTTCCTTTGGTTTGGTTTGGTTTGCGTTTGCGTTTGCGTTTGCGTTTCAACCCCCGAGATTGCTTGACGCCCTGGCTCAATTACTGTCTCTGATCTATTGACGAGCGAACTTACCGACTCAACTGGCTGGCTTTTGGCATTGGATTGCCTTAACACAGTGTGACCGGCAAGGTTCTTGGAGGCAACAGATAAAGAGAAATCTAATGTATGCCATGTGATGCCTCTACTTATGAAATTTTTTTGCCATCCAACAAATAACCCCATTACTTTTTGACAGACTAGCTAAGTAGACTGTTTTGACTGACTGGGGCTACAGCAGCTACTCGATGTGCTCTTCATCCCTCTCCTAATAAACGTGATGCTTGCCTTCCAAACAGATTTCAACTTTCTCGTGAGAGGCTGTTTCAAACCGGAATATCATCTTCTTGCGAGAGTACATGTCTCCTCCTCGTTCTTGAACGGTCGCACTGGCCAGGGCGATTGTCACCTCTGGAAAATGGCCGTCCTGGGGGGACGTACCGTCCGTGAAGACTAGGAAAAGAGAGCAGAGAAATCGTTTCGAGGACATGCCATGTTCAACACCATAGTACTTCATCAGAGACCCTGGCAAATAGTGGTAATCCACCTCTTTCTTGATACTCTCGTGGACCTGTTGGCAAATCTGGTACAGGTTTTGGCCCACTTTTCGTTCCAATGACGCTTCCACAGAGGGACGCTCCACGACTTTTGGAGTACCCTTGGACGTGAGTCGGAACTTGCCATGTTCGGTCAAGAGCTGTTTGGCGGCGTCCATGTCCAACTGCTCAGTGGTACCTGGACAGGACGCTTTGTCGTCGCATTTATCCAGGCAGCGACAGGAAACCATCCAAAGAGCCGTGTCAATGACGCCTTCTTCAGTAGTCATACTGTCGTCCGACCAACCTCGGCGTGCATCCGCACGCACCCACGAGCATGCATCGTATCTCGTAAAGGCAATGGGGAGCCATTTTTGATCGAGGAGCTTGTCTTCCAGACAATGTAAGGCAGCAACCTTGAATGATTGGCACACCAAACGAAGTGTTGTGGACTGTTCTTCAAAGGAGGCATAGGAGAGGATTCGTTGTAGGATGTGAGGCGTCTGGACCCAAACAGGCTGAGGTGATGGTTGGACATCCAACATGACAGCGTCTTCTTCATGATGTTCTCCCGCAATCATCATGACATCCGCTTCTTCTTCATGTTCTCGGCCGCCAACACCGAGACAATATGTCATAAGGGTGCTCTAATCTGCTCTATTGGCTGCATAGAATACATTGGCAAGATCAATAGTCAGATCAGGTCCAGCCTGAACTGCAACCCCGGTGGGATAATGGACTCCCTGCACAAGGAACGTAGCGTCCACTGTAATGACATTGTTGTTTGCAGGGTTGCTTGCAGGATTGTGTTGAAAAGCAGTATCCGCAGGTGCATCAAGATTTGCACTTGCAGGTGCTGTGCAAAAGGCTTGAACAAAACGTGAATTCAAATCCGCACTCCCAAAGTTCCAAACTCCCTCTACAGTATGATTATGTCCCGCAATCTGAGCTTTCCGCCACAAAATGGCAACAGCAGGGAAGGGGTTGCCAGCCAGAAGGGGCTGCTTCTTGTAAATCTTGATACCAAGAACATACATGCTGTGCGGCTGCTGGAGATACATGTCAAGCTGGAGCATCAATGCTTTTGGGCCACAGTTTCCGACCTCTAGTTCAACCACAAGTGGTGACCGGAGACGCGGTGGATTTGCTGGTGCAGGGTTGGTTCGCTGAAGGACAGAATCTGGGGCTGTAACTCCTCCTCCTGCCAGGTGAAGCTTTCCATCTCCCAATATAACGAAGGCTCTCTCACCTCCATTAGTGTATTGCCATTGCCGAGAAAAGTTGCCCATATCGATTGTCACTTCAGCAACTGCAGCAATGTGCACCAGGCCAGAGGCCAGCTTGATACTGAACAGATCTCCCTCCCCAGACAAGTTGTACCACAGTTTATCATAAGCCAGACCATCAAGAGCAGAGTCAGTCAAGTCATCCGGAGGAATTTCGGTACACCCACGAGACACAAGAACGAACTGAGATTCTTCTGCTTCAAGGCTTTCGCTTGCTTCCACTTCGCTTCCCTCATACTGAGATTATTCTAATTCCCACCGTGAGCAGAGTTCCACTGCTGCTCTCCGCAGTTGGTCCCGGTTGAAAGGTCCAGGTTTGTACCGGTAACCGGTAGGCCAGGGTGACTTCTGTAGTTGGGCTTTTGTACTTTGATATTTCGAAGGATAGTTCTCGTTCCCATGCACCATTCTTGCTACCAGAAGCAACAACCCTGCCCTGGATCGTGTCGTCACCACTACCATTGGCTCTGCGAGGAACCATCTGTAGGTGATGCTCGTCATGGTGCTGTTGGAAGAGGAATGAAGAATGAGGAGAGGACTGCAGAGGCGGGAGTCTTCTTCCGATCCGCTTTACATTATTCTAGACGCACACTTGCTCCTACTTCTCGGACTGAATCCAGGAGGGAACCCACACACACATGACATTGTTTCTTCTCTTGCAACCATGACAAAAACCTTGCGCGCAAGAGCAGCCGTGCCCGCTTGTGACCATGACATCGACACATTTTGCGGGTCGGAACATTCCTTCCAACAAAAAAAGCTGGGACGATTGGGCTTGTTTCATGTGAAAGTTTCAACGGTTCGTGCACCTCCCTAATTCATTGTGATGCCTTGATCATCTTGGACGAAACCATGAGACAGCCATAGGCAACTCCTCATGATTCTCATTGTAGCAGGTTTGTCATGTTGGGTTCTGGCTGAATCATTCATTCGTCCCGGAACTTGTGGCGTGTACCAGTATTGGGCGAGGGTATCATACGAAACAAGCAAGGCAACATCGATATCCAGGTCAGATAATTCTCATTAATTACAATTGCATCCAACCAAGAGAAACATACCATTAGCTCCATCATGGCTGCATCGTTCCCGAGGTCGTACACTGCGCATTCGCGACACCCATTCTTCGTTTCCGTACTAATCTGGTCGTGGATATCGTTACTTTTCCAAGGCACATTTGTGGTGGCGGATACTATTAATGCTAATAACGATGAGTGGCAACTCCTATGGAGCGAAGAGTTTGATGGCGACAGTCTCGACGACACGTTTTGGAATATTCGAACGGGCTTTCTCGGCTTCAACTCGGAATTCCAAACCTACACGGATCATCCCGAGAATATCCGTGTTCAAGATGGCAAACTCCACATTTCGGCCGTGCGCGACTCGTCGGCACAAGTGGGCTACACATCGGGACGGGTCAATACCATGGACAAGATGCAACTCAAATTTGCCACCGTCGAAACATCCATCAAGATTCCCGATATGAAATTGGGACTGTGGCCGGCGTTTTGGACGCTCGGACAAGACTATCCGCAGGTCGGATGGCCGAAAGCGGGCGAACTGGACATCATGGAACTTGGGCAGAAGCAAGGAGGTGCGGCGGGTCTGGGCAACCATCGTGTCATTTCGGCTCTGCATTGGGATGCCATGGGTCAGTACGTGTACGAAGATGCCATATTGGATGTCCCGTATGATCTGAGTCAAGGATTTCACACATACAAGATGGAGTGGCAACCCGACTATGTCGCCATGTACATCGATGGACGACAAATTGGGCGCTTCTCCATTGGGAGCTGTTTTACGTTGTGGGATTGCCCGGAACTCCATCAGTTTCACTTTCTGGTTCTCAATGTCGCTGTGGCCGGTCAATTCACGTGCTGTGAGTATGGCTTTGAGCCCAATGCATTTCCCAATGGTACTGCATGGACCATGGAAGTGGATTATGTCCGAGTCTATGGGAACGAACACACCGAGGTTATATTGCCGGATGGAGTGACGATTCAGACAAGGGCACCGTCACCAGCTCCATCACCCAACCCAACCAAAAAGCCGACAACGTACATCACTCTGTCCCCCGTAGCATCATCAAGACCACTAACGTCACCACCCACCAAAGCAACAACATCCACGACAAGCCCTACATCCATTGCACCAACTGCGTTGCCCTCCTCCATTGGCACAACCACACTCTCGCCTACTTTGCCTCTCGTTACTGGTACCCCCACCAGCGCTCCCATTATAAGTACACAAGTACCCACAACGATGACCACGACATCGACTAGCACCGCAGGTACCACCGTAGAAATGACCACTGCTGCCCCGACGGATCCAACCACCAACGATGGATCATCATCTCAGCAAGTGGTTACTGCTGCTCCTACCGAAACAATCACCATAAGTGGATCACCATCTCCACAAGTGGGCACTGCTGCTCCGACGGAACCAACCACCAACGATGGATCATCATCTCCACAAGTGGGCACTGCTTCTCCTATTGACCCCACCACAAACGGTGGATCGCCATCTCCGCAAGTGATTCTCACAAGCCAGCCTACAGCTTCCAGCACTGCAACGTCAAACACCGTATCCAAAACCCAGCCAACTGAAGACATGCTTGCGGACTTAATATTGCAAGACGACTACGACACTTTCACGACCGCCGCACCAATGGTCACATCTGCTCCCAGTGCTTTGGGTGGTACGAGCGTCACGTCCTCTCCAACTGCAGAGTCTACGTCGCAGCCCACAACACAATCTACTAGTACAAGTCTCCGGACAGGAGACGAAGATGCTACGACCACTACTACTACAGATGAGGAAGACAAGGTATCCAACAGCAATGATGGTGTTGATACAACAACCTCGCAAATTCAGAGCTCAGGATTTTCCTGGTCGTCCTTCCAATCATGGATTTGGGTTGTCATTGCGGTGGCTGCATTGGCAGAAGGTAGCTTTCATCTTTATTAGGTTGATTGGTCACTACCGGTATGTATACGTGACATCGTCGAGAAGAGTTCCTTACCCACCTGAGTACACTTCGCATTGAACGAATTGTCCAAAAAATAGAAGCTATATCGTTTTGTAATAGTAAAGATCAAAATAGAACCCATGTCCTGCCTTTTCATAGTTTAAGGCTGGGCAAAGAGAGGCACCAACGCAAGACCAAACCAACCAACATCGCTCAACCAAACTCTACTTTTTGGAAACCAGAAAGTCTCTGCTCTTGACCACCCATTCATTGTCCTTGTGTTTCGTTGCAGCAGACTCGACAGCCTTGATGGCACCGGCCTTGGTGAGCACGTTGATGTTGTCGGCGTTCGATTCTGCAAGAGCTCGAAAGGCACGTGAACACCGCTCTTGGATGTCCGAGTTGTCTGGAAATCTTTCCATGGCGCTCACCATCAGTGGGATGCTACCACTTGAGAGCAAAGCAGGGCATGTGTCCCGGGACCCACGAAGCAAATTGTTGAATGCAGTGCATCCATCGTGTTGAATCCGCCGATTGTCAGGAAAGAGCTGCATTGCTTTGGCGACCGCGTCAACTGCCCCCAAAGCGACGAGTTTCCCATCATTTGTTTTCGAATGGTTTGAAGCATTGATAATGAAGCTCACCCCATAGAGTTGTATGGTTTCATCGTTTTGGTAAAACATCATGGCGTCAAGCAATGCCTTGGCTGCTCCGGCATTGATCAGCAGATCTGCGTCGGCCTCGGTTCGACAAAACTTTTCCCTGAGCAGGCGGCTTGCGAGCTTCTGCGATTCTATGTTGCCAATTTCAGACTTCATGAAGGCTACGATGGCTATCTCCCTCCAGTGAAGCTCAAGATTCTTCGCGCTGTCAAGAGCTGGTTTCTGGAGATCAGGAGCAGGTTGGTTGGCTTGCATCTTTTCTCGAAACACTTGGCCACTGTCCTCCCGAAAGTCTCTGCAGGTGTATCCGGCAACAAAAGCGACGACAAGGCATATCCAGAATTCCAACCTGTAGTACATGGCATTGCTTCGCAGTTCAGCTGCTTGGATGCGACCAGATGAGCTGCCTGATCCCAAGGTGGGTGGAGCTCTTCCTTGATCATGGTTACAAGCACTATTCATCCCACGGTGAACGGCGGTCTGCATGGATGGTTCGAGAGGGGCTTCTGTTGTGGCTGAAGGAACAGCAGCGAAGACACTGGTGGTTTCCTCAGTTGCAATTCCGCATGAAGAAGACACGTTTTCATCAGGAATTGTCTGCTGGAGCAACTTGCTCTCCTCCTTTTTATCCCCATTGACAGATGGCACGATCACGAACGGGATCTTGGCTTTCACAGAGTAAGCACTACTGCTGCGTTCATCCGTGCTGTCATTGTTGTTGCCACTGCAAGTAGACCAGGACTTGTCGAGCTTCATCGTGTCACGTCGGGAGAAATCGCCGTTTCTGTCTTCAGATCAAGTGAGCTGTTCTCAATGAATTGAAAATCCAGAGACAACCATGGTATCGAGTAGGACCGTGGAAGACGGAGTAGAAACCAAGTTGCGCTTTGACAATGGTCTAACGGACCATACACGACGGATTGGTACGTGCACGAGCCCCCAGACTCATCCAACGTTAGCATCGCCTTTATGACACGAGAAACTATAATATGACATCGAATTGGGCCGTCCCAGACAGACTAGCATCCAGCGTTTCGCCTTGACAATGGCCAAGCGGACAAAACCCGTGACAAGATTGGTATCGTCCCCCCAGGCTCATCCAACATCAGTCCCTCATTTCTTCTCACTGACTACAAGAATAATCGCAAAGAAGCTATCATATAACTCTAGCAACAATGACAATAAAGCGCATTGTTTATTTGTTGTGGCCTACAACGTGCATCAAGCTGCTACGGATCGGTTGCCATTCTAGTACCATGTCGCTTGCTCAAGGACGTCTCCAAGAGGAACGAAAGAACCGGCGAAAGGACCATCCTTATGGCTTTTTTGCACGCCCTGAACCATCGGGAGAGGGCTCGTCCAACATTATGAAATGGAACGCTGGTTTCCCAGGGAAGAAAGGCACAGATTGGGAGGCTGGAGTGTACAAAGTTTCCATGGACTTCAGCGCGGAATATCCAGCTAAGCCACCCAAGTGCAAATTCGTGCCTCCACTATTTCATCCCAATGTGTATCCATCGGGAATGATTTGTCTGAGCATTCTCAATGACGGAGAAGAGGGGGATTGGCGGCCTGCCATTAGTATCAAGCAGATTCTGTTGGGAATCCAATATCTGTTGGACAACCCTAACCCAGCCAGTCCATCCCAAAGCGAGGCCATCCATCTTTACACAAATGATAAACCCGCGTACAAACAGCGAGTTCGGCCTGAGGCGGAGAAGAACAAGCTTTAATTTTAAAAAGAGAGGCCAACACAACACCACAATTTACGTACATTCGTGAGGACACAAAACATGGAAAGATTCAGACGGTGTTGTGGGGCAGCCATGCAATGCCATTGGATTTTCCAAAAGAGAAGAAGAGCTATCGGCTACGGTAGGTACCATGATAGGAACTTCTCCATACTCTATGCAAAAAAGAAGCTTACATCAGCTATATGAACGAACGAAAAATCTCAATCAGAAGATCATAGCTCTTTAGAATTATACTAACAAGCCTTTTACCAAGCAGAAGCGATTGTACCGTAGTTTGTTTTGCCAGTCTTTTATCGATTTCGGCCAGTCCCTGTAGTTCCCACGCGGAACGCCCACCAAACGAGGAAATCCAATAACCGTTAAATCCAGGACTGAACAAGATCTCCGAACTCCGAAGATCTCAAGAGTATCAAAAATTTCCAATGACGGAGACCAAGTTCTCACCGCAGTGAACATATTGCAGTCTCCACACGCAAGGTACTAGTGTGTTGACCCGTTGAATGAGTGTGAAGAAGAAGATACTACATTGTTAGAACCCAAAACCAAGGGTTTGGCCATTGATTTGACCACGCTTTCGCTTTAGAGAGCCGATCCCTGCAAGGATATCGCAGGATTCCTGCCGAAAGATGCTCTTGATGTTGTTGGATGTATAATGTACATGACAATGGACCCGTCTTTGCACACCTCAAGGCGGCTATGGTTGGCTTTTTGGGGTCGTGTGACTTCTGGCAGGCAAATATGGATACGCAGGCATCGCTTGAACATATCCTTGTTGGCTTCTACTTCCTTTTCCCAGCGTGGGCGCAACTTCTCACACTTTTTGTTTGGATCCCCATTTTTCCGTAGATAGAACATCTTGGGATCTGTGGATCTGAGATCATTTTCGCTATCCACCCATCACTGAAAAGGGAGCCTTTCAATCCAAGAGGGCATGTCGGATGGCAATGTAGGGAAACACTTGGAAATAAAATCCTTCACAGTAGCTTTCTTCTTTTGTTGACACCAGTTGCGTAGCTCGGCCGCGATCGGTGGTTCCATGGCCTGACCCTTCGCTGGGAGGCAAAAATCCAACACCTTTCCGAATAAGTCCGAGGCAAAGGCTTCATCTTGTGCGATTGCAAGAATTGCCTCACGGCCAAGTTTCTCGTCAAGTACAAATTCGTTATGGTTCCCCTGCAGCCTTCGCACGGAGCAAAGACCCACATGGAGCAGATCGATGTCAATCCGTTTGGACGAAAGTGATACTGTGCCTCCAAACAAGCTTGCAATAGCAAGCACTTCCAGTCCTTCAGGAAGACGTTTCTTTCCCTTTACCAGATTATCACAGGGGGATCTATCATCAAGCTGGTAGGCATTCCGAATCATATCTGTGAGCCCAGACAACATTTGAGTGTAATGCAATTCCAAAGCTGTCTCAAGCTGATCTTGTTTGGAATGCTTGGGATGCTCTTGGACGACTTTGCCAAGCATCCGGAATAATCCACCAGAAAGGCGGCCACGCCCTTCAAGCTTCGGCAAACACTCCATCATGACACTTGTTTCCTGATCCACGCCACTCATATCAAGGAGAGAATTGAGCGTCTGCGTGACTTCTGACAAAGAAACTGGAGGAAAGTCCAGTATTGATGTTGAGTTTTCAGGCTTTCCAAGATCGCTCTTGCAAGAATCGATTGAAAGAAGGCCCATTGCTGTTCCAGCGAGCACGACTGTCTTGGTCTTTGCCAATTCACGGATAAGAGGACAAGCGATGCCTTGCTTTTCAGACTCATCTCTGCTGCTTGACCAGAGATTGGTATTTTTGAGTAGGACATACCCATATTGTGCCTCATCAAAGGCAAAGAAAAATCCATTTCTTGGAGAGCATTCCGGAGGTCGATCAAGACCTTGTCATCATGTCCACGCAGGGAGCTGAACAGCTTGTGTGCGGGTTGGTGAATTTCACCTGTCAATTGGTAGTGCAGCCATGATGGAGGTGTAGCCTGACAATAACATCCTGGCAACCACGAATGCCAACACACAATCATTGGTCTTCATGATTTTCTGGTTGAAGGACAAATCATCATCTCTTGCATATTGCTCGACACTGGTAACAAAATCAGAAAATGACTTGTCGAACCCACCAGGATCTTTATGCCCAAAGAAACCATCATCATGGGATTCAGTCAGAAGTATGCAGTATTTGTTTTGGGCCGCATCAAAGATGGCAGAAGTCTTGCCGCAGCCACTCTTTCCAACCAAGATGATATGACGTGGATCTGTATGCTCGAAATGCTCGCGAAGTTGTGGTCCCACCGTAGTCGTCGCCCACGAGTCTCCGAATCTTTGGCGAAACTCCCCAATTTACTTGGTTTTCGAAAAATGCTTTGTGGTACCTTCATTTCATCGATTTTCTTTAGCAAAACTGCTTAGCTGCAGGAAGGACATCGCGGCCACCTACAATTGCGTCTGCCAAGATTCCACCTGGAGGCTTCTGTTGATGGTGAGAGTGTGGTTTGGGTATCTTGAAAGGGTCAGTGTGCTCATTTTGCTGCTGCTGCTGTTTAAAAACATAAGGCGCTCCCTCCGGAGTGATGAGATCATCGTCGGCAAGGGCAAGACCGTCCGAGTTTTCTAGGACTCCCTCCAAAGAAATTCGCTGCTTAGCTCGCGCCGCAGTATCCCCCGTTAATATTCTTGTCAAAGGCTCTCCGCTCGCATTGTTTACTTGCACCGCTGACATCCCATCAAAACAACAATCAGATAGCGGAGGGAGGCCTGTTGCTGCTGATGCGCTGGTGGTGCTGCTGTTGCTGCACCTAGCTAGCTAGTATGATCCTGGCCCGGCTGGCTTCCGTAGATAATTTCCCTACTCTAAAACCCCCTATATCATATGTATGATAGGGGTAATATCCTCCAAAGGAGCAAAAAGCTAAAAGTGTTTTCAGAAAACGTAAAATCTCAAGAACAAGGCCTGTTGAAGTTGATTAATCCAGCTAGCTAGACTAGCGTTCCGAGTATCCGGAAGCATGTTCCGATTATCTGTATTGTGGTGGTTGTGTTGTCCACGATGATGCACAGCGTGGAAGTATACCCGGCAGCGTGGTAAGCATACCCGGAGCCATCATCGGGATAGCTAGCATAGATAGTCAGTCGTTCACAGACCTATCTCCATCAATGAACATGGGGTACTTGACATCTTTGTTTCGACAGCCAACTTTGTGGCGAGGCCAGTCATTTCGTTGGCATTGGGCGGAGCAGTAGGTGGCATCTTTGCACCGGGCGCAACGAGGAAAGCGGCTCTTCTCTACCCCCTCAGGTGGTTTTTTACCACAGTACTGGCAGTTGTTGGTCATAGAGTCTGTGATTTTTAAAACGGAAGCCTCTCTTACTTTGTCGTGGAGCAACACATCCATGATGCCACCGGTTGGCTTGCGCTCTTTCATCGCTCGCTCAATGGTGCTTCTGTTCTTTTGGACACGCTTTTGATGTCTCTTTGAAGGATTGAAGCGCTGGCGCATGAAGTCAGGTGTCTGTGGAAGGTGACCTTTATTGTCTCGTTCTGTGTTGTTGGATGTATGGACGTTCTTTCCTTTGTTGCCAATCAAGATTCCCATCGAAACGTTTCCGTACACATTGTTTTCAACAATAGATGCGAACCCTAGATGATCGTAGCCGACGAAGATGCCATTGGCTCGGTTCTGGTAAACTTCGCACTGCCTCACCGAAGCGGTACCAGTGTCTTGGATCAGCACTCCCTCACAGTTGTCATGCACTGCGCATTTGGACAGGTACAAAGCCCCTGCTTTTTGCGCCACGACCCCGGCTGCACCGTTGCCGTAGAACTCGCATGATTCAAAGCAAGCTTCTCCCTGGCTAACTAAGGCACCGCTCTCCTGTGTATTAGAATGTATCCAACAGTGCTTGGCATTGAGGGAACCAGCCGACATCCAGACCATGATGCCTTGCCGCCCGTTGCTGTAGAAGTTGCAGTTCTCCACTTGAGCTGATGCCCCTTCGCGAAGTTCCAACCCACATGCTGCATTGCCAACGACATGCACGTGGCGCAAAGTTAGGTTGGTCTTTCCACACACCAATATTCCTCCTTGGGCACCGTCAGCCACCTTACATGAGTGCATAATGAGCCGTGAAGGCTTGGGGCTTGTGGTAGGGAGGACAAACATAGACATTGGCTGAAGCGGATTGTCCTGGACAACAACAACTGGACCGCTCGAGCTTGTGAGAATGGTATTTCGAACTACAACAAGCCCAGTTCGAACATCAAGGGCGTGGTAACTGTTCCTTGGCACATCCTGGCACACGATCTTCAAGCCGACGAGGCGAATAGGTACATTGCTGGATTTCGCGTTGCAAATGATGGAAGAGAAGTCCCCTTCCACCCGAATTTCAGGGCGTACACTGGAGTCAGAGGACGATTCTTCAGAGAGGGTGTCAGCAACAGATACGGATTTTGAGCTTCGCAGAGTGATTGGTTTGTCGATAACAAGAGGTCGTTCTTTGTATACCCCCGGATCCATGACAACCACGGCATTTTCCTTAGCGTCTCGGAGGGCATCAAAGATTGTTTGATAAGGTTTGTTTGAACCAACTTCTAAGACTTGTTTTGGCTCGAGCTGGCTCATTTTGATGTCGAATTCCCTTTGGTGATCCGGAAAAACTGCCCTGGAGTCGCTGAGCAATAGCTTCGCATCTTCATCCATGCCCAGGGCCACCATTGTCTCGGCACATCTCATAATTGGTTTCACGGCTTCTCGAGGTGCACAGCGGTGGGAGACAAGAGCATCCTTCAACGCTTCATCTAGCATCCCGAGCTTGAAGTATGCTGAGCTACGATTTCCAATCAGTTGCCAAAGCGAGACGGAATCACTGTTCTCGGTAGGACAATCGTCTTGCCGTGTTGGCTCCTCATTCTTGGCTTGGTTCACAGCATCCGAGAAGTGTTGAACTGCGGCTTCGTAGTCGTTCTTCTCGAACGCTTTCTTTCCGGCGGCGCGGAGGTGTAGAACTCGTGCGGAAGTGAAGACACGATGGGTTTCCGGACGTCGCTCGGATAGCACGGGAGGAAGAGGCTCAGGGTTGTTATGATCATCGTCTTGGTCAGTGCCTCCTCGAGTCAAGTTTTCGAGAATGGTCTTCTTTAGAGCTCTGATCTGCTTCTTGGTGGCATTGTGTCCCTCTGAGGTTACCTTTTGGAACGCCTTTGCTACACCTAGTTCTGGATCGTCGGTGAAGAGCTCCTGTAAACGGTCCACAAGATTCACTATCTCGTTGCCACCCTCTCCTTCAGAATCACTTTTCTTGACTCCATCCGTACCTCGGGTTTCCTCCGGGCCGTACACTGCATCCCAGACTAGTTCTTCTGAGTTATCCACACGGATGCCGGGAGATCCGTCCTGTCGGATTTTGTAGTGCGGCTCCATTATGGCCAAGCAGCGATTCTCCTCCATAACAGCTGGATCCGACAGCCCGTACACCGCAAGTGCTGCCAACTCACTACCAGGCTTTGCTTGGTCTTCGACCAAAACCATTACAGAATTCATGCGCATAGCCTTGGTTACTATTCGAGCATAGAGCACTCGCTTCCGGTGAGTCACACCCGTCTCAAGCTGAGCAATTGCAATGGGAGTGAGCTGAGTGTGCTGTACCGTGCCAGCTAGAGCCCTGGATATGGCTTTGCCTTGGAAATTGAATGTCGTCGATATCATACGAGCTCGTCGTTGCGGCTCCTGTTCCATCTCGTCAACCTCTCTATTGAAGGCTGCAATCCTTTCCTCCCGGGTGTCGTGACCAACGTCTGCTTGCCTTCCTCTGGTTGCAAGGGTATCCCAGAAGGATGAGTTGAATGGCATCATGGTGGAGAATGTTTGGAGGTGGTAGCATATGAAACAAAATGGATGGCTTGGAGCTTGAATTTGATCTGTCCGAGAGGCGAGCCTGAAGGCCCCAGTTGGAAGCAACGTCCGCTGGTTGAGGGGAGAGCGAAAGTTTCGACTTGGTACACTTTCTACCTGGTACTTGCGTCTTTAAATGGCACTGAGGTCATCTGCACAGCAGTAGCTGTCTTGAAACGAGCGGGGGGGGGGGCTTCTACTGTGCCAGCTCACAGCGGCCCGATTAATGTTGTGCCGCTTGAAAATAGTGAGTATCATGGCACAGGCGGGTTACAGACGCAGATAATATTGGCAATTGGCAACGTACCGGTACCGTCCCTTATCACGCCGATATTGCACCTGGAATAGGAAGACATCTGGAGTGGTTCTTCCACAAGACGGAATATTGATATCCTCTACCAGGTACGATGAAACAGTGCACAATACCGTTAGAGCTAGAAAGAATTATTAGTCAGGCTAATACAAACTCGTACAATATCGGGAGCGCATTGTCGGTTCGACGGAAACTCTCCTTTCCAAAGGAAACCAAAACCTGGTGCTGGTTGGAACAATCATCTTCAGACCCACCCGCTGAGCCCTCGGTCGATACCAGTACTCAACTACAGCAGTCTAAGTGCCTGCCTTGCTTTGTGGGACAGCAATTGCCTTGGTGGCCCATTGCCGCACATTTGGGTGCCCTCTGGCAGCTGGCCAAGTTCTGGTTCCATGTTCTTTGTTCCGGATTGAGACGGCAGCAATCGAGATAATCACCCTCTTTGGTAGGACAGCAGTCGCCTTGAAGTCCGTCACATCGCAAGTTTTCGTAGCATCTGCGTTCGCAGCAGTCCAGATATACTCCATCGACCGTAGGGCAGCATGCTCCATCCAACCCCTCGGCGCGGCAAACCACATTTTTGGAACACCAGCGTCCTTCATCGCTTTGCAGCATACGCTGTTCAAACTCCAAGGTGCCCCGGAAACCAGCTTCTGCGTGGGAATCGCCCACGGTGCAGAGGGCAATGATAGTGGCAACCATCATGTGGATCGATTTCATTTTTTCAAAAGAATCTGTTGCTCTGCACAGTTACAAAGAGGATAGAACTTGCTGGATAATGTCCATACGGAATTCCAAAACTTGGGCTTATTGAATCGAATCGGTGGCGATAGAGCTGCTTCACAAGAGTAAAAGATCCAGAGAAGCTTCCGTAGCCAAATTTTTCACGGCAAACCTGATATCAATTTTCTCGCGCGTCTACAACACAAGAGTCATGCGAGGAGATGCATCGAATTGAACTCTATAGTCCAGCTAGCCCCTGGGCAGCTTAAGTGTACCTGCTCTCTGCAATGACGGAAGTCCAATGGCTGATCAAGTTGGCCGAGCTTGTAAGTACCGGTGGGCCATGTTCGACACCCGTAGATAAATGCTAGCTAGCTACATACCTGACTAACACAAACAAGTTTTCACACGACGCTGAATTCTATTGGTTTATTACTACTCACTCGTTCATCTCTCACCGGACGACTAGCGGGTTGTTTGCGTTTGCAGCCAAAACAGCCAAGAACTTGGTCTAGACCTTGGCTATACTTGCATTCTCTTGTTTTGCTGTCACTTCTATGTCTTCTTCTTCCTCAGGATATACACTAGAAATGCTGAGGACTTGTCGTCGGCCTCTCACTCTTCTCCTGCGGACAACGTATGCCAAGACGGAGATGGCAAGAACGGCGATCAGAACACTGCCAATAGCAATCCGGGTTCGGCTGTTAGTAGTTGGAATGATCATGGTGATGATTTGGTGCTGGGGAGATAATATGATTTGATTTGATTTATCAAGATCGTTTTCTCTGGATAGAATGTATCAACGAGGTACCGGTGCCCTGCATCACATCGCTTGAGCCCTGAGGAAGCATGTCTGCGACTGGTGCAGTCAGTCCCTATCTACTCAATAAATAAATAAATATCTTGCGGTTTGGTCTCAGTTTACAAGTGTGAACGAAGTTTGTGAATGTCAGCTCCAATGGCTTATTGATTCCCAGGGATTGAAGGGACCTCTCCCCGAGCACCATTTTGGCACCTATTTATCGTACCAGTAGGCGCGAACCTCCAGAGAGAAAAGCAGCACCTCCACAGACAGACCAGCCAATTGCTACCGGGTACGATACCGTAATGCTTGAATCACAAGACTTATCACAACCAAGATTCTTTTTACTCTTCGCCACATGCTGGTCTTTGCAAGCAAAGATTCAGAAAATGCAAGCAAGTGAAACTGAGGCCATGCGGTCGGTAGTTGACGGTAGCCGTGTTTCCTTATAGAATTTGCTCTTTCTTGGATTGAGACACGAGCTTTTTCCTTTTGGTTTTTGGTTTATTCGAAGCGGAAGCTTAGACTACTGAAGGAAACTGGACCAATTTGGCTACACTTCCTGCGTTTTGGAGGTCCAGCAATTTTTACGGCAGGCGTCCAGCTGTCGGAGTTTCCGTCTCCAGCCACGACTGACTGACCACTTCCACCCATGCGCCAATGCCTCGAAGAAAATCCACCAGAGCATTATTTCTTCTCCACCACTGCATGACAATGACGGCTGTTACTTCCAATAACAACCACCACAAGAGAGACAACCATGATACTACGTGTTCGGTGACACTCATGAAGGCCGCGGGTCGATGGGGGCATGCTAGATCACCGGTTCCCAAGCTATTGGCCAACGTGGGAGTCCCCGATCGACTGTGGACGGATACGTTTGATCAAGTGGCGCGGATTCAGGAATTGGCTGGTCGTTTGGATAAATCGAGCAGCGGTTGGGAAACGGCACGATTGGCTGTGAACGTCTTGCAAGTGGCCTTTCCCATTGTCTTGTTGGTGCTGGTCTTTGCTTCTGCTACCACCACACACCAGATGCTGTTGCTCAAATGGGCCGCCGTGGGAGCTCTGGTCCTTTACTGTGTGTTTCCCATTTACTCGCACAACAAGATGCTCGAAAATGACGACATGATGGAAGAACTACCTCTGGCATGGCAGTCCTTGGCAGAAGAACGAAAGCCGTACTTTGAGGAGTTTGGGATTCACGTCGCTGCCTATCAGTGGCAGCCAGAAGGGGCGGAAAAACCAAGTGTTGGCGGACTCCAATTTATCATCACAACTCCGTCATCGTCCTACGAACATCCTGCTGTGTATTATGACAATCAACAGAATGGAACGTTGCAAATAGCTCCACTGGCTACTGCTTATTCCATACCGGAAACAGACCAAGTAGCCATTGATATCAGCAGGAAGGAGAGTGACGAAGATGACGAAGAAGGTAATGAAATGGCGCCGTTAGTGGAGCTCATTGGCTTTCAGTAGTAGCTACCAGCCTCCACGGCACCCAATAACTAATAGCTAGCTCCGGACCAGCTAGCTAGCGACCTGTAGTCTGCTTGATCGAAACTGGGAGAAACCTGGATGCAGACAGCTAGCTGTTTCCACTGCAAACGAAGCTAGAAAGATATAGGAAGTCAGATGGTAGGAAGGATCCCCTTTGCGTCGTGATCGCTGTGGGTCCATCAGCGGGAGCCTAGCTAGCTAGCGGAGATGGTGTCCTCCGCTCAAACATGTAGATGGCTCATGAAGCCTTAGAACCGACCTTGATGCACGTGTATGGAAAAGAACACAGCATCTAGAAAAGCATCAACGGCGACGACACTCTATTGGATAACTATCTATATCTATACATATATTTGCCCCACAAGCAACACAGCTTGGCGAGAGGTTTGTACTATCGATACCTTCACATCACCACTTCCAGCGGGCTATTGAGGCCCATGCAGCCGCGTAAGCGTCAAAGGCGCAGTTGCCATGCATTGGGTTGCCTAAATATGGCTATCGCCAATTCTCCAGCAACACTGAGGACCACCAACACAATTAATGTGTGCTTGGGAAACCGTTCACGGAACTGATGGCGTTGGTCTTGATATTGGTATACCACTGCCGGATCGGGCCAAATTCGAATGCCGCATGGAATTAATGGCATTGACCACAGATTGCATGTCATGCGTTTCATGTCGGTCCCTGTACTTGGGGACAAACAGTAGCAACAGAATGGTCAAGCAGCAGACACATACCAAGGAGGACCCCACCAAGAAAAAGGCAGTGGGATTGTCGCCCACCACCAAAAGAATTGGCCCTCCAAGCATGAGTGTTTCCAAGATACTCAGCATGGCCCAGGAAAGGCTATCGGCATCATTCAACTCAGATGGTACAGTGCTTTGGGAATTGTATGCCTCACGAGTCACTGTCACAACGCCAAAGAAGTTTGTGATGAATAGAGTGCCCAGCAAGTAATGGAACTTGAGGTTGGTGGGACGACATGTCCCATATGACTCAAGAGAACGTCCAAACTCATCTACATTTTCCTCATTGGGGATTCGCTCATACTGCAATGGAGACACAAAGTTAATGCAAAGGAGCATTGTGATGTTGACTGCAAAGCTCAAATAGAGAGGAAGCATAACATTTCCCACCCGTACTGTCGCATGACGAAATCTCAGCCCAAAGGTCATGACTTGATTGATCCGCCAAATTTTGGAAGTCAAAGCAGAAAAGATAATCGCAAAACCCAGAAAACCAAGCCACAAGACTGACATACAAGCCATGTCCAAGCCCCAAGTACTGTCAGCATCCTGCCCACCATGACCATTCGAGCTACTGATTGTTGATGCCCCGGCTTCACTGGCACCGGGTAGACTCCAGGGATACACTGACATTGCCATGATCAGAGTACCAAGGCACACTTGGATCAAGAAAAAGGGTTGTGCTGCCCTCAGGACAAAAATGTCTTTTTTGGAATGAGTCCAGTAGGCGCACACAATGGACCCAAGGATTACAATGCTAGCCAACAGGTAGCCAAACAACTGTGCCCTCATGGGGATGAGATTGAGGTCTTCATGAACCAAGGGTGGCAATGCTGGTGGAGCATTCGTTGTATTGTCAAAAAAGACAAATGGGTGATGGTTGGCAATCTCTTCCTCTCCTCCAATGACAACCACCATATTGGACTGGAATCGGTAGTAATCCTTGTCGGACCGAGCATCGCTGAGGAGGATATACTCCAAACTGTACTTGACACCATCCACCAAACGAGTTCCTGTTTTTGGGTCAAATTGGACATGACCTGATACACCCTCAAACTGTGTTTGGAGTATGGATTGTTGCAACTCGGGGCCAGTAAAAAGAGGTGAAGGCAGCTCTTTACTGCAGGCTGCTAGACCCATGGCAATCACTGCATCGAAAATGACATTGTCGAAACCAGTCGGATCGTAATGAGGAAATGTGTAGTTGTCAAAGAATACTGTGTCGTCATGGCCTCTTTGAATGTCAATGAACTCTTGTTGCAGTGATTCTGACCATGCCATTTCTTCCATGGCACGTTCAAACCGGTGAACAGGATCAAAATACAGATTGATGGTTCCGATACCATGCAGTGCCATGGCCAAATCTTGATCCTCTTGCCTTGACAACTCAAAGTCATCCCCAGTCCACTTCTTCTCTTCAGCAGCAATCCAAACATAATCTGGATGGCCAATAATGTCATGTTTGTGAGCAATCCGAAGTACCTGTTTCCAGTCGTGCATAATAGCATACACGTATCGATAATCCGCCTGTTTCAGACTGAGGATAGTCCTTTCAATAGTATCAGCCTCATAGGCAAAGGCAATCAGGTTTATTCCAAACTGATTGGCATATTTGCTGAGTGATGCATGATAATTGACGCCCCAGCTATCCTGAATAAAAAGGCATGCCACATGAGTCACCTGGCCACCGAAAAATTCATGATACACCTTCATGGCAGCATGGGCATCAGCATCATTGTCAGGCACCGTCCGACTAAACAAGGGATAATAGTTAAGTTCGGCACTGGTTGATCCACCTGTGATGTAAGGGATTTGTAGTCCTTGTGTGACCATGGCCAAAACCTTGGTCACTCGACTCCAGTAGGCCCCATACACAGCAAAGGGTTCCAATGCTTCTGTGACTTTTCTTTGCAAGATCGTTGCATTTTCGTGAGCAGTAAGGTTGCTGCTGGTTGTCACTGGCTCTTCCAGCTGCCCCCTCCGTTGTCTCTGTCGATCTTCAGGTCGATGAGAAAAAGGCTGTGTCCAATCAATAGTGCTACTCGACCTGGGAGGATCTGTCCTGTGGGGAGTACTTGTAATGGGCGGGCTACTCGTAGAGCCAGCAGGGGAATTGGTGGAAGCCACAGACGTTGACGCAGCAACAGTACTATGTCCATCCCGTAGGCTCGTACTAGGAGGGCGTTGGGAATGCGTAGGTTGCTCCTGAGCATCAGAAGCTGCAGTACTGCTTTGAGACGGAAGTATATGACTGGACTGCAGCAGCTGCTTCGCTGCCTCCAAGGCTGACCACTGTCCATCTCGGTACTCATAGGTGAAGTAGAAATCACAATCTCCGATTAATTCTGGCAATTGTGGAAGAATGTCACCTCTCCGTTCGTTGAAATGTTTTGCAGCCAGAAAGGAAGCCACAGCATTGTATAAGAAGTTCTTGTTGATGGTTCGCACTTGTTGAGTGATGTTGTTGCTATCATCCAGTACTGTGGTGGTGCTACTGTATCCCTGCAAGCCCAGCAGTTTTCCCACTCGTCGCCTCTTCCTTCTTGGAGTGGTTTCTCCAACTTCCATCACATCCAACCAGACCACATTGGATCCTTCGCGCCGTTCCGACATTGGTCTGGTAGAACCGCACTGGATCAATGAACTAAGACCAATCGAATCAACAGAAGCCGTATTCAGAAGTCAGAAGGCGAGCCGGGAAGAGAGATGACGATGTTTTATCCGTCGCGTGAAATTCTTGGCCACGGTAAGCTACGCTCTCGCGACACAACCTAGCAACCGAGTCTCTCTTCTTGTTGCTATAGGAATGGAATCGTCGTTTCCTTGGTACGAGGCTTGTGAGTCACAGCAGAATCTGGCTGATGGCAGCAGTACTAGTACCTGAGGACAGGGTGCTTCTACTGTTCGAGATCTTGTTGTCTTCTCTTATCTTGTTCCTTTGATTCGATTCGATTGTCCTCGGCTTTGGTAAGTATCCAATCGCAACAGTTGATGACACCAGTGCTTTTGCCTAGCGTACCGTACGCTACCTGATACTAGTACGATACTCTGATTGCTCTCCGCTCTCCGCTGCTCTTCTGGATTTTCAAGTTACAGGTGAGTGAGCTCTGTTGGTGCGGTTCAGTTCAGTTCATGGCCATTGGGATGGAGCCGAGCATTCTTCAATCCAAATGTATCGAGGCCTTCATCAGCACACTCTTGAGTTGGACGCCAGTTAGTTCAAAATCTACATGACTACTACTGAGAGTACGTACGGTACCGTACATACAACCCTCTCGAAAGCGATACAGCTGCATTTATTTGTACCGACTACATATACCAGGTACCATTATTCGGACGGCAGCCCTTCTTTTCTGTGGAACAGCTGAGATCACGTTCGGTACTTCAAGTTGTCACAGTAAGTAGGTAGGATTTTAGAGCATGCCCGCTCGTCGGAAGTAAAGCAAGCAAGTGGAAGCAAGTGACGTCACTTGCCTCATTTTTTGACACACTCGAAAAAGCAAGGTGGCACCAAAGCAAAGTTTACATCACCAGTTGGAGTTGAGAGCTTGCTGCCGATTCCTTTTTCAGCAAGCAGGACCCCACTTGCTTCCACCCCGAAGTGGAAGCAAGCGTCTGACCTTCGCTAGAATACACGTAGACAACTCCCAAATTAAAAACCTGTAGTATCACCACAGGAGATCTTTTGCAAATGACGAAAGGATCCCAAACAAGTGGGCCCCAAAACTAATCTCCATTGTTTAGCAAGAGTCGGCAGCAAGCTAGATTCTCCAAAGATGGCAACCCAGGATGCTACCAATCGCAAAGGAACTAACTTTAAGCTCTGTGAAGACGTCGAGCTGACCAAAGCTTTCCTTCATACAAGCGAGGACTCGGAGGTTGGCACGTACATGAAAGGCCAAGACTTCAAGAAGAAGATACACGAGGTGTACAAGAAGCTTATTGAAACCCACAATGCTCTAATGGGGACAACGTTCAGTGCAAGAACACCGAAATCAATCTTCAGTCGCTTCAAAAGAATCTCGAGATGCACTCTGAAGCTAATCGGAATTGAAGCAACGCAGCCCAAGCTTTCAGGTGACACTGCAGAAGAAGAATACAAGAAGCTCTGTGTCAAGACATTTTGCGATCGCTACAAAGCAGACGCTTTCATCATCGAAAATGTCTACCAGTGCAAGACCATGTTGGAAGGTTACCCGAAATGGAAACTCTGGGAGCAAAAAGAACAAGGACTAGACGAGAATGGCAACCCAATCGAAAAGAAGAAGGAATGTCCAACTGGAACCAAGAAAGCAAAGCAGATGGCCAAGGATCGTGAGCTTGTCAACAAGCTGTTGAACACTACCGAACAGGTCAAGGAAGATGCAAAAGACGTTCGCCAAAAAGCCAAAGATGACATGTTCTAGGCCGTTGGTGACTCTATGAAGCAAGTAGGATCGTCCCTTGATACTATTGTTGCGAGTAAGTGAACTGTACCCTATTTGCGGATCTGTCACGGTATTATCAACTCACAATAAAGCCCTTCTGGACAATATAATAGCCATGAGTGATGCCATGCAGGAACAGAACGACCTCAAGTTCGTTGAAATGCTTTCGCCTGATTCAAAGCAAGCTTGGCTTAAGCAGAAATTGAAGGTAAAGATGCTTGAGATGAAGTCACGGGAAGCAGCACTCTCTACCAGCCAGTCCAGGCAACCGGAAGCAGCACCAGCAGCTGCGAGTGCATCGCCAAAAAGGAAAAATGACGATGCTTCTGTTGTGGAGCTCTCTGACGATGGCACTGCACTGAAAGGAACCGGTACCGCTGATGACGATCATGATGAGGATGACGATGGTCCTGAAGACAACTATGGCAGCCCTGACGATAGCCCTGGTGACAGTCGCCCAAGGATGGGGTACTTTGGGAAGAAACGCAAGGACCTCAACAACAACGACTACTGCACGCAGGATTCTGATGATGACGCCGAGGTTGTTTATCAGCAGGTTGCTCGTCGTGAGCAGCCAAAGAAGAGAGATGCAAAGAGGAAGAAGTATGTGGATGCGTTCGGGCACCAGCTCAACACAAACTACAACTCTGTGTCTGAGAGAGGCCACATCACAAACTACAATGCTCATTGCAAGTACATGCAGGAGGAAGGTGACAGCAGGGTTGATAGCATTTAAAAATGACACGAGGAACACAACATTTATTTAACTATTTTATTAGAAAGACGTACTACCATTCTACTTCTTCGAAAGAGCATCCACAATTGCAAAGCGGAGGTCATAGTGACTGCGAGAACTGTACAGTTCATCCCATCGCTCTTGGGATTCGGCAAAGGCTGCTTCGAGTGCCTTGCGAATGGCTGCAACGCGCTCACATCCAACCAAAGGCCACTGTGCCCCAACAGAACGCATTCGCCGCTCACGTTCTTCGGCTCTTGCAACTTCCTCATTGACCCTGGGAGTACTATCGTCCTCTTCACGGTCTTCTGCTTCTGCTTCTGCTTCGCCTTCCTCTTGTTCCTCCTCGTGTTCCTCCTCTTGTTCCTCCTCGTGTTCCTCCTCTTGTTCCTCCTCTTGTTCCTTGTCATCATCAGGAAGAACGTCGTAGTAGTCCATCTCCTCGGACTCATCTGCATCCATGCGAATCTTCACCATCATATTATGGAGGATGAGACAAGTGTCTACGATGTTCGCAATATCCTCATCGTACCAAAGTTCAACTGGGCGAGTAAGAATTTGGAACTTCCTCTGGAGAATGCCGAATGCTCGCTCCACTGCTTTTCTTGAGGCTTCCTGCCATTTGGCGTACTGCTTCTCCTGTTTCGTGAGGGGGACCGACATTGTCTTAACAAAACGGGACAAGTCAGGGTATATTCCATCAACGAGAAACCAAAGCTGGTCAAATTCTGCATCGCCAATGCGAAAGGTGAAGTCGATGTCGTCCATGGTTCCATCCAGCATCGCTTTCAACAAAGGGCTGCTGTCCCAAATATTGATGTCATTAAGGGATCCGGCTGCCCCAAAAGCTGTATGCCAGAACCATGTATTGCCGTCTGCGACGGCCTCTAAAACAATAGTGGCAGTGCCGTCCTTTCCTTGAAAATGCCCCTTTCATGCCATGGGACAAAGGCGCCAGCGCACATGCATGCAGTCCAAGCACCCAAGACATCCTTGTACACTGTATCGGTTGTTGTGCAGTGCACTGATTCCTTTTGCATCTGCCGCTGACATGGGGCACAAGTATTCATCTCTCAATTCTTTGGATCTGGCAATTGTCTTGCATAATTCCTTCAGCGAAGTTCGACCACTAGTCAATCCCATCTGAAAATAATCAAGAAAGCCTGAACATGAAATGCCAAAAGCGAGTTGCTTAAGAGCGATCATCACCTTCGCTTCTGGGCAAATTCCAGGTTCACCAGTGAGGAGTGTCTTCTGTGGAAAGTATTCATTGTTGTTGCTTGCAACTTGCAGAATACGTTCGAAAACCCCCTTTGTAACTCTGAACACTCGCGAAAATTGCTTTTCAAAAAGAGCATTCTCTTTCAGATAATCCTCTAGAATGCTCTCCTTCGCACGAGCGTAGTTGTACACCTTCTTTGTCCTCTCCCTCGTCTTCACTGGATGCTTCCTCTCTATCAAGTCGCTTCTTGATGGACCGAATGAACCCAATTGCTTTCACTGCTTCTTCCACCATTTCTGTTCGCTTCTGCTCTTCTTCCTGGTCATCTAGGGCAAGCACCACAGTTGCCGAGGACAACAGAGTGGCATATGAAGCCAACAGTCCAAAGAGGATGGGCTCTGGATTGTTCATGGTCTCCTTGCACTACAAACACAAGGATAATGGATAATAAGGTAGCTACTATTATACAAGTGCTACTAGAGCAATGCGACTTCTCTTCTTTTGGCGGCAAAAATCATCCTTTTTACAGTAGAGTTAGATGTAATTTGCTTTTGCTTTGCCTCTTTCGAGTGTTGGGGACGAAAGTTGACACCAAAAGCAAACACGGTGTTGTCACAGTGGGAGCCAAAAAGTGACGTGGCTGATCCTGCTGCGACATGCTTGCTGTCAGTAAAGCTAGCTTGTGGCTTGCTTTACTTCCGACGAGCGCGCATGCTCTTAGGTACGTAATCTAGGTCCCCCCATAGGGCAGCATCACCAAATCCTCATGGGAGGGGTACCCCTCCCCCTTCTATGGTGTGCAAGCAGCATGAAGCTTTTGGCCAAAGGGGGGGGTACCCCCCCCTAAATCTTGCAGAGCCTAGAAAATCTAGTGTTTCACCTTGGAATTGAATCTATGCTCAGGATTATCTTGCATCTGTTAGCATTGGTGCACGAATCTGGGTGCTTGCAGTCAGGTATGATGATTGTAATCAGCTTTATAATTTGGTTAGGCAGGAAATTTCTCTGAAGAGGAGCGATGCAACCTACAAACCAATTGAAATGGAGGATGTCCTCTAGAGTGGAGGTCAAGTGCTTCTGAGGGTTGTGGGTGGGTAAGGTTATACAGTGGATGTTTGAACAAGATACGAGGATACCAGCTAGTAGTATAAAAGCTACCCCTACTCTGCCCAGTACATACTAGGAACGGTCCAACAGCGAGAATGGCCCAACAGGGAGAATGGTTTCCTTGGAAGTGGGGTAAATCATGGCAAATTACCTCAGCCCCAGCTCCAGAACTCCCTTTTCTGAAGAAATCCAACTTCCATTATCACAATAAGTTGACAAATATACCCCTAGCAGTTTAACCAATAGAGCCACCCATCAAACCATGAGACAGGATACATAATTGGACGTGCCGTCCAGTGGTGTTAGTGGCTTCTCCATTTGCTGGTTAAAGCAACGAATGGCCGGCAAAGTCAGGCAGCCAGCTTTCGGCAATTTTTGCTGCCCCCAACAGGCCAGCCAGTCTCTGTCCCCACCGCATGCCCCGTTTGGTCCAATCAATAGAGTCATGTGTACAGGTTTGTGGCTAGACAGGCTGGAAAGGTCAAAGGCATCACTCCTATCAGAATAGCTCCAAAATGGATGCCGAGTTGCGCCACTCGTTGTTTCTGACTTCTGATTTGGTACCCATTGTGACTACTCACTGAGATATCCTTCCTGTTCATAGCATTGAGTTGCCCAGGAGGACCCATTGACTAATGAGGAACCCTAGAATGATGCCACAAGGGCGACATAGTCTCAAAAGAATGGTGGAGCTGAGAACTTGGCAATATTGGAAGAAAAATGAAGCATCTACTTTAGCATAAGATAATGCCTGCTACATGGCTGCAACCACTCAGCACATGGCTGCGACAAGCAAAGAATGTAGACAGCTCTAGATAGTTAGTTAGTTTGGTTGTGTTGATGTTAGTTCAATATCCATCCTGAGTTTCCCATGGTCAACTCATTGTTGTTCTGCTGCACAGTCGAACAGTAGGGTACCATACTGGTACGGGCACTGACTGGATAATACGGTACCGTTCGACTGTGACGTCATCATTGAGAATATTCTCGCTGTTGGACCATCCGTAGCATAGTCTACGTACAAAGGCTACCCCTCCCCTTTCTGGTACATAGTCTACACAAGTCTACGTAGAGCAAGCAGCAAAGTCAAAAGGGCCAAAGGGGGGGTTACCCACCCCTTTATCCTGTAGGCTAGATACCACCGGTCCTCAGTAAGAAACCTTTACGGACACTCGGGTTCTCCTGTAAGCTCGCATGCTGGCACAGGTCAGGGGCTCACAATTTCTGTTCGTTTGAGAAATTGCTGAGTTGTCGAGGAAGGTAGCAAGGAGAGTACTCACTGTTCACTACTCTGGTAGATATCATGCTACCCATCAGATTCTCTGCAACTATTGATAATAACAACAGTCAATGAGTGCGAAGACTGGAGCTTGGAATTCCTAGCTAGGGGCTGTTTCTGCGGTACCGCAACTGGTGCTATAGCAAAATCCAGAGGTCATTGAGTTTGGTTTCTCCTCGCAACTCTTAGCCGCAAATGCCACAACACTGCCACAACGAAACCATTTATCAGGAAGCATTGATCAGGAGCATAACAGATGAATGGTCAACAGAGACCCTTGCAGCCAGAGATAGCCGAACCAAAATGCGGTTGAGGGAATCGAATCATCACCCCCAATGCTTCTGTTCTGCGTGGCTTTGCCAAGTTCCAATGGCCATTGAACGATTCAATGATCGCGTATCTGTCATGACAAACAACGTATCTGAATGGATAAAGGACACCCAAGATGATTGACCGATTGAAGGAAAGAAGAAGCACGGACCACGAGAGACCCCACTTTACGGCAATAATCTCCCAAGGCAGTAGTGAGATACAACTGTGCGACCACAGCAATTTGGCTCCCTGCCAAAAGTATCGCTTCTGGCGTACAAGACGCATTCTCAACTCTGCCTATAGTTATCCGATAGGGAGTTCTAAAAAAAGAAAGCAATCAACGCGAGTGGTGTTCGTTTGATACGGAATGCGCCGAAGCTCCAGATTGGTTGCGCCTACACAAGAACTCGTAGAACTCGTAGAACGCTGCATTCGGTGTGGCCGATGCCGGTGCGCCATCGAGTTTGGAAAACTACGATCCCTGTGAGAGCGTCAACTGCTAGCAGATTGGTATGGATCGTCTAGCTAGTGTATGTAACCCAGCTTATGCTCTCACTAGCCCGACGTGGCGCCAAATTGCTGCATTCCAACCGAGAAAAAGGGCGAACAAATCGAATCATTCCAGATACCAGCACTGGATTATTGCACCTAGTATTTCTCCATAATTACTCCACAGGAAGACAGACAAAGTCCGTTTTTACTGCCAGAGATGGCGTCGATTGGCTTCGTGCAGTCTACGCTAGCGAACAGTCCGTCCACTACTAGCCCCTGTGACGCCGCTCAGTAGCACAAGAAATTCCCACCCGAGGCAATCGGTCTACCCGACCCATAGCGACAAGAGCATGCCAACGGGTAATACGTACGGTCCAATAGCATTGATGCCGCGCAGTAGCTCCAGAAACGGCAATCGATCTACCTGACCCAAAGCGAAAATAGCATGGCAGGAGCAATAGGAGATTAGCGGGCTACCGTACCAAATGCATGCGTCCTCGTGCACTGCGGTTTGACGAGGTTCCACTGTTCCTGTGGGCGTCATTGTGGTGATTCTTGTGATAGTTGGGAATGACATTTTGGCTGTCATTAGTCCTCCCGCAGCTCTGTACACTATGGCTGCTTTGGGCACCCCCACTTTGGTAACTTTTCGCATTGCTCTTGATACTGGCAACACTGCCCAAGCTTCGATTACTCATCACTTGGATGGCACTGATCACGGATTGCATTCGGTGTGATCTGTGTCGGTCCCGGTATTTTGGGGCAAAGAGCAGCAACAGAATAGTCAAGCAACAGACACATACCAGTGAGGATCCCACCAAGAAGAAGGCAGTGGGGTTGTCGCCCACCACCAAAACAATGGGCCCTCCCAACATGAGAGTCTCCAAGATACTCATCATGGCACGAGCAAGGATAACAGAATCACTGAAATTGGCAGGTACCACATTTTGTGAATTGTATGCCTCGCGGGTCACTGCCAAAACACCCAACAGGTTTGTTACCAGTAGCGTGCCCAAAAAGTAGTAGAACTTGTCATTCCTTGGACGACAGGCCCCAAAGGACTCGAGGGAACGCCCAAATTTGTCCACATTTTCCTCATTGGGGATTCGCTCGTACTGCAATGGAGACACAAAGGTAATGCAGATGAGCATTGTAATATTCACCGTCAAACTAAAATAAAGAGGAAGCATGACATCATTCACGCTTACTGCCCCACGGTGTAGACTGAGGCCAAAGGACATGACTTGATTGATCCGCCAGATCTTTGATGTCAAGGCAGAGAAAGTGACGGCAAAGCCTATGAAAACAAGCCACAAGACTGACATACAAGCCATGTCCAAGCCCCAAGTACTGTCTGCATCCTGCCCATCATGACCATTCGAGCTACTGATTGTTGATGCCCCGGCTTCACTGGCTCCAGGTAGACTCCAGGGATACACTGACATTGCCATGATCAGGGTACCAAGGCACACTTGGATCAAGAAAAAGGGTTGTGCTGCCCTCAGGACAAAAATGTCTTTTTTGGAATGAGTCCAGTAGGCACAAACAATGGACCCAAGGATCACAAGGCTAGCCAGCAGGTAGCCAAACAACTGTGCCCCCATGGGGACGAGATTGAGGTCTTCATGAACCAAGGGTGGCAATGCCGGTGGAGCATTCGTTGTATTGTCAAAAAAGACAAATGAGTGATGGTTGGTAATCTCTTCCTCTCCTCCAATGACAACTACTGTATTTGACTGGAATCGGTAGTAATCCTTGTCGGACCGAGCATCGCTGAGGAGGATATACTCCAAACTGTACTTGACACCATCCACCAAACGAGTTCCTGTTTTTGGGTCAAATTGGACATTGCCCGATACACCCTCAAACTGTGTTTGGAGTATGGATTGTTGCAACTCGGGACCAGTGAAAAGAGGCAAAGGCAACTCTTTACTGCAGGCTGCTAGGCCCATGGCAATCACTGCATCGAAAATGCCATAGTCAAAACCAGTCGGATCGTAATGAGGAAATGTGTAGTTGTCAAAGAATACTGTGTCATCATGGCCTCTTTGAATATCAATGAACTCTTGTTGCAGTGACTCTGACCATGCCATTTCTTCCATGGCACGTTCAAACCGGGGAACAGGATCAAAATACAGATTGATGGTTCCGATACCATGTAGTGCCATGGCCAAATCTTGATCCTCATGCCTTGACAACTCAAAGTCGTCCCCGGTCCACTTCTTCTCTTCAGCAGCAATCCAAACATAATCTGGATGGCCGATAATGTCATGCTGGTGAGCAAGCCGGAGTACCTGTTTCCAGTCGTGCATAATAGCATACACGTAGCGATAATCCGCCTGTTTCAGACTGAGAATAGTCCTTTCAATAGTACCAGCCTCATAGGCAAAGGCGATCAAGTTTATGCCAAACTGATTGGCATATTTGCTGAGTGATGCATGATAATTGATGCCCCAGCTATCCTGAATGAAAAGGCACGCCACATGAGTCACCTGGCCACCGAAAAAATCATGATACACCTTCATGGCAGCATGGGCATCAGCATCATTGTCAGGCACCGTCCGACTGAACAGGGGATAATAGTTAAGTTCCGCACTGGTTGATCCACCCGTGATGTAAGGGATTTGTAGTCCTTGTGTGACCATGGCCAAAACCTTGGTCACTCGACTCCAGTAGGCCCCATAAACAGCAAAGGGTTCCAATGCTTCTGTGACTTCTCTTTGCAATATTGTTGCATCTTCGTGAGCAGTCAGGTTGCTGCTCGTTGTCGCAGTGCCGAGTAGCTGTCTCTGTCGATCTTCAGGTCGGTGACTAAACCCCTGTGACCAATCGGCAGTGCTAGTAGACCCGGGTGGCTTTGTCCTGTGGGGAGTTTGTGTAATGGGCGATGGAGTCCTTCTATTATTGGTAGGAGAGTTTGTTGTCGTACTAGGAGGACGTTGGGAATGTGTAGGTTGCTCATGAGCATCAGAAGCTGCTGTAGCAGCAGTACTGCTTTGAGACGGAAGTATATGACTGGACTGCAGCAGCTGCTTCGCTGCCTCCAAGGCTGACCACTGTCCATCTCGAAACTCAAAGGTCCAGTAGAAATCACAATCTCCGATTAAATCTGGCAATTGTGGAAGAATGTCACCCCTCCGTTCGTTGAAATGTTTTGCAGCCAGAAAGGAAGCCACGGCATTGTATAAGAAGTTCTTGTTGATGGTTCGCACTTGTTGAGTGATGTTGTTGCTACCGTCCAGTACTGGGGTGGTGCTACTGTATCCCTGCAAGCCCAGCAGTTTGCCCACCCGTCGCCTCTTCCTTCTTTGAGGCTCATGGTTTTTCCCATCTTCCGCCACATCCAACCAAACCACATTGGATCCTTCGCGCAGTTCTGCCATCGGTTTTGTACACGAAAGGTCAACTGAATCAACCAAACCTAGCTACCGGTAGCGGAAGTTATATATTGGTCACCGAGAGGAGCTTGTGTTTGGCGAAATTGAATTGGAAGCTCCCGAAAATGCAGGAGCACCACCTTTTCGAACTCTCTGATGCTGCCACGCTGACACTTGATCTTCTTTTTGACCATGCGTCGATTGTATCTCTCGCCGACTAGCTAACTTAGCTAGTCTAGTACTTCTGCTCTCTGTGTCGGTATCGGTGTTGCTCTCTTCTGAGCTGGCTCGTGGATGGTCTCTGCTGATCGAGGTGCCCATTGCGCCTGCCGCTATGCGGTATTGGTGCACGATGCTGATGTCCAGGCACCGGGTGCTTTTGCATTTTTGGCTTCCGTTGCACCGGTAATTGTGAAGGTCTCAGGGCTCTTGGGAGAGTTCCAGCAGCCGCTCCAGCAGCCGCTCCCTCTCCAGCAGCCCCAGCAGGCAATCCGGCACCATCTTCATTTGGAACAATCTCTGGGAACTTTCACCCGTCCAGGCAAGTGCAAGCAAAATCATTCCAGAACCTGTGATGGATAGAGCGTCTCTTACTTTGTTCGCAAAGGATTCAGCACTGTCCGATTCATCTGTTAGTGATTCAGGATCAATGTTCTGAGGTGTGGCTCCCCTATGTGATTGTCTGATTCGAAGAAGGCCGGAGTCATATGAGGCAAATAGGACAACGAACGATTTTGTTGGGTCGGATTGCAATCGGGCAAGTAGCCTGTCTGCAGCTGTCGCCTCCTGATGCGGTACTTGAGAGATGGTCCGTCTGGCTTCACCAAAGACAAGACAACTCCTTGATGCAAACTCTTCCTTAGAGATTCGATTTGTTTTGAAGTTAGAGATGAGCCTGTCCGTTCATAAAGTAAAGTCTTAACAACACTTGGCGAGAGAGGTGGTTCTTTAGGCATTGTTTCGCTAGTGTAACGGCTTCTGTGCAAGATGAGTACTTAACACTTTACTTGTGCCTCTTCTAGTTGTACATGGCCACGATGAAGCTTGTTGCCTGTCTGGAACTTGGGTAGATACCATCGTCTGTGTTCCTGGCTATATAGAACATTGAAGAGAATGGACATTTGACACCCTCCCCCTCAACAGGAAGCTGAGTCTGGTGGTTTTGTTGCTGTCCTTTTGGGACTTTGTTTGTAAAAACGACTCTTGGACAACATATGGTAATGTGATTCCGCCTCTTATCAAATCCCTTGTTTTTGATGCGGAATCCAGCAGTCTTGCAAGAAGTACAAAGTATGGCATCAAACTTCTTTAATATGCGCCGGATCACAAGATTGATACATCGAAGGTAGCCAATACACCGTCGATTTCTCCATTCGATAATTATCGAACCCAGAGTATCCATAATGTTTATCTCCTTTGGCGTATCATCAGCTAGTGAGGTTGCTACATTCACAATGATGGAAGCAGGAGTCCATTCTTCATCATTGATATTGTATCTAGCAACATGAGAGAGTTCAGATAGGTAAGAGTCCATTTTACTTGATAAGCTGTCAGGTATTATGGCCTGCAACAGTGCATCTTCCTCTCTGCCTCCCAAACACCTGGCAAAACACCTGGCACTATGTATTATACGTAAAACACGTACAACACATAATACATGTAATACGTATAATATTGTTCCACTTGTGTTATCTGTGTTGTACGTATGACTTGTCTAATACATATTAAAAATGTTATATGTGTAATACGTATGATCTGTAGAATACATAGTAAAAATGTTATACGTATAATACAACCGCGTGCGTTTCAGGGGCTCTCGTTCTCCTCCATTAGTACCTGATTATGTCTAGCCATTGGCCAGATTTGATTAATTGATTTTCTCCCCTTTTGTAAGTCTGGAGAGCAAGAGGAGTTAGAAACCTTTGTCATTTTAGTCCCACGAACATCTGCGAGTTCCTATGCAGCTTTTACATGATACTGGTACATGTACAATGCCTGGGAAATGTACTGCCAGCTGCCGCTGCCAAGCGTACCGATACATTACCGGATGGTACCGTACCGGTAGACCGTAGACCGTAGACCAGAAACCGTGGATCCACAAAAAATACGATGTTGGCTCTGATGGAAGCTTGCTTAGAAGAGTCCCCGGACGGTCAGGGTCAGCATCCAGCAGACCTACCGGTACAATGTCTTGTAGAGCCAAGTTGCCTATTAATACCATAATCTACAAGGATCATTTATGTGCATACTGAAAGCTTCCCGGCTAGCTATCGCGGAATCAGACGACTCAGTAATCGTTTGCCAATGTCCCGGTCGTAATCGTACCGACTCTTCCGTCTTCCCGTGCTGAATTCTATTCGTCGATAGTTGTCAATCAGTTCATGGCATCGTCCGAGTTCAAAATTGGCTCCTTCCATGATTTTTTGCAAGGCAGTGTCAGTATGTACATTGGAAGCGATCCCAATCTGCTCCATGCATGTGTCCACAGCAGTCACTCGCTGAAAGAGGCTCCCGACTTCATTAGTGAATCTTTGCACTATGGCTTCATTTGAAGCCATCTCCTGTTTGGAATCTTCGTCCTCGTCCGGTGATGATGATGATGAAGAAAACAGTGACATGATCCCCTTCTTGAGCGCAGCGACGGGGGAACTGCCATCGGCATCATCCTCTCCATAAGTTTTCAAACCTAACAGTGTCGCGTTGGCCGCCACGGCTAGTTGCGCTGCCTGTCGCAAGAGATCTTCCACGCTGGAGGCTGAAGATGCTTCTTCGAGTAGGGCCTGACGTCTTGCTACCTCCAACTCGCAAGCGTTGATAAAGTCGTCCGCTTGGAACGGTAGCAAGGAATACACAACCAGGAGACGACAAAGACTACCCGCTCTGAGGTTGGTCACGCGTTCGGCGGCGTATCTGGCAACAGTCGAGAGCATCCTGGAACTGGTTTCCTGTAACAATTCGGAATCAGACGGAGTGACAGTCATCGTCGCATTTTTGCTGTGGTCCGTTTCATTACAATCGTCAGTAACGTTGACGTTTTCCGTCACTGTCGCATTCAAGTCCACAGTTTCGTCGTCCTCGACGTTCTTGGTAACGTTCAAAGCCTCGTCTTCGTGACTAAGAGGAGGATCCTCCATGGCAAGCACCCGTCTTATCGCAGCAAGCGACTCGGCCACTTCGCACAAGTCTCTTTCATTCCGAATGGATGGCAACTGTGGTTCAATCAACTTCAACACTTTGAGGAGGCTGAGTTTGTCGCTGCGCATGGCGTTTAGCGTTACCAAGCCACGAAGCTACATGACGAAAGCAGAGAAGGTCAGGGATCGAAGACACAAACGGCAGGGTATCTCAACCCGCGGACTCGAAACTCACCGCTTGAAGAGCTGAAGTTGTGGAGAAACACTGTATCTGATCATCAGTTAGCAGGGGGCTTTCCACTACGAGGCGTAGTTTCCGATATGCTGACTGTTTGTCTTTGTCAGACACAAAATGCCTGGCTCCCAATTCACCCAGAGACCAAAGCAGAGTGGCAATTTCCTCGGGCGATGCCGACGAGAGCTTCAGGTCCGACGTAGCCTTACTATCAGTGGCCCCTTCTGATGCGTCATTTGCCTCGTTCAGCAGTTGCAGGAATCGACGTGCAAACTGTCCGACGACCAAATCTTCGCCGCGTCCAACAGCCTCATTTATTGCCGCAGCTTCGCACGCTCTGATAAGGTTGCACATTGAAAACTCCTGTAGCAACCGACCATTCTTCGATGTCAACAGCTTCAAAGTGACCCGAGTAAGAATTGGGCTGCCTCGCATGTTCGAGTGTGACACGGTAAGTCTTGCAAAGCTACCAGCAGCCTTTGTTAGGGTGGCAGGGTCAATGCCAAGATCCCGCAATCTCGGCAGTCGCTTCTTGCCGTCAGCAAGCATAGTGACCACTTTTCCTTCCTCTTCTTCAATGTCATTGTATTCTTCAATCAGCTCGTCCAACATTTTCTGTGACAGGCTCGGCCTCAGAAAGAGCGAAGTGAGCCGGTCAAAACCACCTCGCGTATCTTCCTCAGCGTCGTCTTCCACCTTTTGGCTGAGGTGTCCCCGTTCCCATCGAATGATAGAAGATTCAATCGTAGAAAACACTTTGCCGAGGGCATCTGCCACTCCAGGCTGTGACAACGTCTCGTCCATGTCGCAAACTTCCAGAAAAGCCCAGAATATTCTTACCAAGTCTTCTGGGGAGAACATTGATAGGTTGCTTCCTGCCGAAATAAGAGCGTGCATTGCCAGGTCTTCAATATCGGGGAAGTGGTCGTTTCTGTCAGCAAACGTTGCCACCAGGCTGGCAACTGCCCACATGAGTCTACTCAACTCGGGTGGCTGGAATGGGTCAAGCATGTGGATTGGCTGAGCTAGATCGTGCCCCCCATCATGCCCACCGGACGCAATCAACGCCCGCCTTACAACCCAGATTCCCAACTGCAAGCAGCCGGGGTTTTCTTTTTCACTTGACCAGGGTCTAGCATCATTTGTATGTCTGGCACAAGCCCACGCCAGATTGGACAAGTCGGCTCCACTTAGGTCATCAAAGGACTCTTCTCCGAGCCCCAGGAAGATATTTATGACCAAATCGACGATTTGAAAGCGCAACGAGTCTCTGAGCTCTGTCACAGCCCATGCAAGCGAACACAAATCGTGCGCAGAAAAGTAGAGACGATCTGTTACAGCCGCAGTGGATTCCTCGCTGTTGCCGTTACCAGTCGTCCCATCATCGTTGAGTCCACCTGCCTCTATTGTGTCTTCTGCAAGGAGTACATCCTGCGGGGCCGACGCTGTTTCTTTGGCTTTGACAGCAAGCTCCTGTGAAGATTGACTGACGATGGCCTCGTACGCAGCTGCAACTTCATCGTCATTGTCTACATTCATCGATGGTGGAGCCCCGGCACTATCAGCGGCCGCGACAAGCGCAGCCTTTTCAGACGCCAAGAGAGCTGCTGCATCTACCACTTGGACGGTGACTGTTTCTCCTTCGTTGGTAACGACCTCTTCCGTCGAAAGGTTCAAGTTGATTTCGGTTTCCACGCGGCTCTCTTCAGCCTGCTTACGCTGCTCATCCTGCTTACGCTGCTCATTTCGCAATGCCACGAGCGCGCAGTCCTTTCGAAGGAAAACCATCAGTCTATCAAATGCAATATCTTTCAATGTCCCCGCATTCTCGGATAGAACAGTGTCCTCGCGCACACTGCCGTCCGAATGACCGTGCAGCGCCAAAGCCCACAAGACATCCGTGAGTTCATTGGGCGACAGCCAGTCAATCAGTGCGTCCTTATTTTCAGAGACCGTTGTTGTCTTTCCCGTTGATTTGGGTGTTTCGGATTGGGATTGAGTTGAATTGTTCGTTTCTTCCTCCAACAGTATTTTGGCCTCCGAGTGGGCAAGTCGGCTTAAAAGATCGTTGACGCTAGCATCTTCATTCTTGGCTTGTGCTCGCTTTCTCATGTCCACTGGATCCTGACACAGAATGGCACAACATGTTTCAAAGAGAGGAGCACTTCTCATCCCCGTGCAAGCTCGTACACATGCAAACGCCCACATGGCAGCGGCCGAGTCTTCGGCCAGTTCTTCCGCCATTTCGTCGACTCTCTGTTCGGGTGACGGAGGTTTCCAGTTGGCATCGTCCGTGTTTTTAATAATGAGATCTTCCATCAGATCGCCCTGCAAGAACATTTGCAATCGGGACAGCAACAGCTCTCGTATTCTCAAGCTCAGTGCCATTAATAGATCCGTAACCTTAGTTCCTCCCAGTCTTTCACGATGATGAGCTCCCAAAATGGCCAGACCCCACGCCGCTCGGCAGGCGTCACGGATGCTCAATCCCTCTCGCACAGTGACTTGTTCACCACTTCCCTCTATAATGTCTTCTACAATGTCCTGCTCGACGACGTCATCTTCTTCTTGCCGTTTCTTCTTGGCATCCAAAAAGTGCGTCAGATTCTCTCGTTTTCGCTTCTTGACATCGACACCACAAAGGAGACATTCTACGACTTGCTCAAAGCGTCGATCTTTGACCAAATCCACCGACGCCGACACGGACGGCGCCTTTGAATTATGTTGTTGCTTGCTGCTTTCGCTGACTACTACTAGCTTGCGGTTCTGCAATAACACTTGTCGATCGTAGACTTCACACACTCGTGCCAACGTCCCAATCAAACAGGCCGCCACACCGGAATCAATGTCGGATCGTGCCGTGACAATTTTCAAGTTGACATCGGGACTGTGTTTGATGGCGGGAATTTTGGGAGCCAAATAATGCAAGACCTTTTTGGGATGAGGAAGTTTGGGAGGTTGTTGTTGTTGCTTTCCATTATTACTGTTGTTGTTGACTTGCTGCTGCTCTCTTCGTTTCGTCATGAGATCGTCCAAGTAATCATTGGCGCGTTTGGTAATAAGCTCTCGATGGCTGACGGATTCTGGGCTTTTGACGGCGGACCGTGCAACTAGATTTTGCAGCATGTCGGATGTATGCCATATGCGAGATTCCAGATTATTGTTATTTGTCGTGTGGTCTGGAAGAAGCGTATTGTCATTTTCAAGTTGTTTGGTTTCTGGATCTGGTTTTTGTTCTGATTCCATAATTTCAGGAGGCACACTTTCTGCAGGCTCAGTTTCTTCCAGTAAGTCTTCCTCCTCCTCTTCAGAGCTCTCACTGTATTCACCTTCCTCTTCCTCCTCATCAGAAGAAGAACAGTCACTAAAATCGCTTCCCCCTCTACATTCCAGGTAATATTTCGTCAAGTCCAACTTTGCAGATCTCGTCTGCTTCCACCACCACAGACGATTGACAGTCCCCCCATAAGACACGATTTTTCTTGGCAGTTGATTTCGTTTCCAGAATGCAGCAGTGCCATGGCAGGATTCACAAGTTGATGACACCCACAAAATCAGGATGACCACACAGTAGTACGTGCTGCCCCGAAACGCCATGGTTCAATGTAAAATCGAATCTTGGTCTTATCTGGTATCTGGTACCCTCCGTTATAAAATCGGTCAGCCACGGAAAGAATCCTCCCCTGGTATCTTACTGTCGCACTCTATCTTCTTGTGTTGCTAATTCTGAATGAATGAACCATACGGTACGATAAGCCCTCGGTGATTCTGTTCTGCTGGTCTTCCAAAAATGCCCTTTTCTGGAACCTCTGCTGCTGCAGCTGCTTGACACTGTTCCAGAGACGTGTTCTCCTTTCTCCTTTAGCGACAACAACAGGTAATAGTGTGGCAAATATACATAAATGGACCCGTGGAAGCTCTGGGCTGATGAAAGGTTGGAGGTGGTTGATGTGTGGTGGTTGGAGGAAGGAATTCGTCTGTTTGAGACAAAGATACGTTCCGCATACTAGCGCTAAGGCTAAACAAATGAGGATGGAAGCAAGGGTTAAGGATAACTGCTTCTTTCTTTAGAAGTGTGTCCAAAGAATGGATGGAAACACCAAGCCCGAAACAAATTATAGTCTAGTTTCTGATGAGTTTGTTGGGTTTGCAGACTGCTGCTCCGGTTTTGCACTTCCTTTCATCCTCCAAGAAAAAGCGGCCACAAAGTTGCAAGGTTGCCCGCGATAGATAAGGGCTTCCTGTACCGGTACCGATTGTCAAAATTGGCAGAACCAGGTGCTTTACCCAAGCAGCAATGGGGTGGCCCCAGTTCCTGTTTGAGGCCCCCGAATCGAATGGATACCAACTCCTAGCTAGTAGGCTCTCCGACCAGCATCAGCAAACCTGTCCCATCACCAAGTCCAAAGTCAGCTGCTGGCTGCTGGCAAGACAAACAATAAATTGCAAACTTGAAACCAACCCGAACTTCCATCATGGCTGGCCCTCAATGCAAGGCACTGCTCCTCAATGACCGAAAAACGGAAAGGGGAGCTACAGTTCGCGAATTCTCGCAACTATCGTAGTAGCTAGTCTAGTTGATCAAAATGCGGTACCGGTATCCTGGGTGTGAAACGACGCCTAGTATCTTCTTTTATTAAAGCCTAAGAGCAACCTATTGGCTGGAACGGAAGAGAAAATATTGCTGTCATACGGATGCCATGATCTAAACTCAGAACTCAGAACTCGGCACCGCCTTTGCCTCATTTAGTACTAGCTACTAGCTACTAGCAATGTACCAATGCTCTACCGTATCTCTCTACTCTAGAGATAGATTCAAGGGTAGAATCCGAAATCCGAAGCTACCGGTACCCAACTGTTTAGATAGCTGTTTAGTTTTACTAGTAAGATTTGCTAGCTTGTTTGGTACCGTTTCTCTTCAGAAGGCCATATTCAATCAATCCTCAACTTTCCATGCTCTTTCGAGCTTCTTCAGGGCTCTTTCAATACTACTGTATACTAGAGTAGCTCTTTAATACAATCCCTAAACCTTTGTCGTTTGAGATCTGGCGACCTGGTGATCTGTGAGTTGAATACGGTATCTGGGTTTCTGCTTTGACAGAGCGATGCTGTGACTGAGTGACTGTGTTGTGTGTGCGTGGCTAAAGCTGTTGTGTAAAAAATGGGATATTGCCTTATCAGCTTATCAGTGAGCTACATGTAATAGACTAGTGTGCCGTTTACTACTAGCTACCACCAGTAGCTAGCTCGTACTCATGTCATAGCTCTCACAGCTGCTCTCACTAAAGCTAGACTAGGCCCAACGACCCAAATATTTACAGAATTCAAAAGAGTAGTAAACCACCTTTATGTCATCTTCTCACATCCAAAAGAAACTCGAAGAAGCGAGGAAACAGCATGAATGTCTCGAGGCTTTTCTAGGCTCAACAAACGGTATTCAACCTGCGCGAGATTGGATCTTGGCATGGGCACCCTGTTGACGAACACTTCCCAAACCGCAACCAGACACTCGAGTACGGCACCCATCGAACCAGCCAAACTTTAGAACGATCAATCTCTCTCACAAAACCAAATTCACAAAACAATCAAAGCCAACCAAGAGAAAGCAACAACCCAAACACCAACCCAATACCATGACTATTACTTCTACTACCAAGACATCAGAGAAAAGGAATGAACTCATTCGCTTGGAGGTCCTGGCTGAAACAATGGAAGAGAAGCTGTATGCCGCCAGTCTCGTTCATGAACATTTTCACATGTTACGCCAAGTTCCCAGATCGTTTTATGGAAGTGATGTGGTCATTGTGTTGAGGGAGATCCTCCAAAGGCAGGACAACAACACTCCCGTGACACGCGATCAAGCTTTTCAAGTTGGTCGCAAGATCGAGACCGAGTTCCAGTTCTTTTCCCACGTTGACAACTTGAACAACAACAAAAAGGAGAAGGATGCAAAGATTAAGATCTTGCAAGACAACAACAAGGACTTGTACCAATTCCACCACAACCTTCCAGTGCAAGTCTACAAGATGAAGAAGAAGTACCCCAGTTTGTGGGACAAGGCAAAGTTCTTGGAAGCACACTTGGATCTCAAGGCTCAACGTCAACGGGGGGCACTCACAATGATGATGACAACAGTCCACAAGAATTGCTTTGTGGCCAAAGAGGCCGTGGACTGTTGGATGGACCACAAGTTGGTCCGATCTCGTGGTGAAGCTGTGTACGTGATGAACAAGTTGATTGAGCGTGTCAACTTTTGCCGCACATTCAAAAAGACCAAGTCGACTGATAAGCACGAGTTCCAGGACGACTGCCAGATCTATCAGCTCGTCCCTTCCGATCAACGAAACCCCGAGCCCAAGAAACGCTCCTCCCGCAAGCCCCGCAAAACTGACTCTTCTTCTTCGTCGTCTTCTTCTTCGACATCAACCCCCACCAGACCCAAGAAGAGGAACAGTGTCATCAGCAGCACCGATGAGTCATCGAGGACTGCAAGTACCTCTAGCACTGGTTCCCCGAAGCTGATCAAAGACAAGGCCTATTTCAAGGATCGAGTAAGCAATGTCCGAAATGGAGTGAGTGCGTATCACGCACAAAGAAAGGCCATGGTACCCAGCACCGCTTAGAGAACTCTTTTTGCGAGGGATGTCTTCCTCCCTTTCCCTCCCTTCCGCGACAATCGGTTAAACAAAAGCAACCAAATATTCTATATTCATAAATGTACTTATTAAGCTCCACAGTTGAACTCGAATAGCTCTAGCCACGTAGCTAGCTTGCTGGTTTTAACCTTGCTGTTGCCAATTGACGATTTCAACGGTGCATAGCCCATAAGTTTTATGGAAATGAGACTACCGTAAATTACAGAAACCAGCACCTCCAGGTGAAATGAGCTTTGAGGCAGACAAATGGTCGCCTCCAACCTCCAAGAAGTACTACCACTTCTTGTTGGCAGCAAGGCAGCAATCTGCTTTTACCAAGCTGCCAGGTACCACCATTTCTTTGTTTGCTGTGCCACAGAGAGGTGATGAAAGATGAAAGATGAAAGATGAGGATAGGCTTTGGAAGCATCCCGTGCTGCTGCTTGCCATGGTGCTGCTCTACATAGATGAGCTATCCGTATCATGTACTTGTAGGCGAGCGTCATTCAGAGCTTTTGGCAGAGGTCCCACGTCCCACAGTATGGAGTCACTTACTGGTAGCGTTTCCAATTAGAAGGTCTCTTGTTAAATAAAAGAATAGATCCCACAACATTACCAGCGCTGTAAACTGCTGTACATAATTGCCGATTGTGCTTCAATGGAAGCAATAATTACCGGTGGGGCCAAGGATGTCAGCTCAAACGCATTGCCCATCGTCAATGAGCTATCAATGTTATGTAATTACGCATCATCACGGAAACTTGAAGAAGCAGAATGTCCTTATAATTAAGCCAACAAACGGGATTCAACCTGTCCAAGACTTCGCAAGGCGCTGCCCTCTGCCCTTCACGCTTCAAACACCGCCACAAGATTCGGTGCGAATGAAAACTCGATGAATGGAACAACATGAATCCAACCAAACTTGGACACTCTTTCTCACAAAACACAAAACCATCCTCACAACAAATCAATCAAAGCCATCCAGCCAACCAATACGAGAAAACCAACCCAAACAGAATAAGAAACTACCATGACTTCTACTTCTCCAAAGGCAGCAGAGAAAAGGAATGAGCTCATTCGCTTGGAGGTCCTGGCGGAAACAATGGAAGAGAAGATGTTTCGCGCCAATCTGGTTCATGATCATTTCCACATGTTGCGGCAAGTTCCCAGATCATTCTTTGGAAGTGATGTGGTCACTATGTTGAGGGCAATCCTTCAAATGCAGGATGACAGCACACCCTTTATAACACGCGATCAAGCACTTCAAGTTGGTCGCCAAATCGAGACAGAGTTCCAGTTCTTTTCCCACGTCGACAATCACACTCACTCCAAGAAAAAGAAGAAGAACAAGAAGGAGGGCACCATAAAGATCTTGCAAGACAGCAACAAAGACCTTTACCAATTCCATCACAACCTTCCAGTGCAAGTCCACAAGACGAAGAAAAAGTACCCTGGTTTGTGGGACAAGGCACACTTCTTGGAAGCGCACTTGGAGTTCAATGCTCAACAACAAGAACAATGGGGACTCGTGACGATGCGTAAAACAATCCATCAGAATGGCTTTGTCGCCAAAGAGGCTGTGGACTGTCTGATGGACCACAAGATGGTCCGTTCGCGTGGAGAAGCCGTCTACGTGATGAACAAGCTGATTGAGCGCATCCACTTTTGTCGGGCATTCCAAAAGTCAGGTAACAATGAGTTCCAAGACGACTGTCAGATCTATCAGCTCATCCCTTTGGATCAACGGAACCCTGAGCCCAAGATGCGCTCCACCCGCAAACCCCGCAAAACAGAGTCGTTGTCCTTGTCACCCAGACCCAAGAAGAGGGACACTGCCTTCAGCAGCATTGATGAATCGTTGAGGACTGCCAGTAGCAGTGGATCCTCCAAGGCAATTATCAAGGACAAGGCCTATTTTAAAGATCGAGTGAGCATTGTTCGAAGTGGAGTGAGTGCGTATCATGCACAAAGAAAGGCCATGGTACCCAAGACCGCTTAGAAAAAGCAATGAATGGTTTCGTCGGGGAATGCATGCATCAGAGTCGCCAACAAACAAAGACAACAATCATATCATATATATGCACTTTTAAGCTTCACATTTGAACTTGAATAGCCCTAGCAAGATAGCTAGCTAGTTTAAACCTCGCTGTTGCCAATTGACAAGGATGCTTTTGAGGCAGCACTGGCAGAGGGGAGGTGCTGGAAGCACTTCTCGGTGGCAACGCTGCACACACAACGACTACGACTCTCACACCTCCAGCATTAGGGTTATGGCTGATTGATACCCTCCAAAGCACGACAACACGACAACCCAAAGTTTTCCTTCCATCCGTTGTTTCTAACATCATGTTACCCAAGTCAATAGTCTACAGGGGTACTGCTGTTACATTCAAACAACACAAACAGTCTGATCGCCCATTGGCTACTAGAAGAGGTGGAAGCAATGTCAAGTCAAGAAGAGTTTGATTCGCTATGGGATGACGTGTCTGCTGCATCGGATACGTTCCCACGCAACGAGAAGACCCGGTCGTCCAACCACAAAATAAGGGAACTTGACCACGAAGAGGAGCTTCAGTCATTCTCCTCATCCTCTTCGTCGTCATCATCAGAAGAAGGAAATCTGAACGAAATCTCAGAGGAAGCCGAAACGGAGGATAGACAGAGTAAAAGGGAAAATGACAAAGAGCTGCGCCAATGCCTGCTCTTGATGGAAAAGCATCAGAGTCGGGTGGGACTGGCGGCACAGTTGGCATTTCAAGACCGAAATTCACTGCAAGTCATCTGCCAATTCGCCTTGGGATTTCTACATTCCGTCAACGAGTTGTTGGCCCAGGATGAGGATGATGAATCGGATGATGAATCAAGCGCCACTCCCTGTGCGGGTCCAACGCCCACGGATCATGAGTGGGATCCATCCAGCCGCAAAGAGGGTTATGGGGAAACATCACGAGAAACAACAACAGATGGTAATGAAGAACAGTTGGAGGGAACCAATGGCATGAAAGGTGGCGTGCCAGAGGAAGGTGTCTTGCTGGATGGCGATGACGACGACGACAGCAAACTTAGCATATCTTCTTCCGAGTATGACACAGACGACTTTGCAGTACCGACAGTGGCAACTTGGAGCTTCACTGTCCTCATCTTGGCCACCGGCAAGACGTTCGAAACGCCCAAATTTTCGCCTTCCATGGAGATGGGTGGTATCATCTTTGACCTCAAAGACTGGGTATCAGAGCAGGAGCAAACCAAGGAGGTATTTGAGCTGCGAGGGGCGACAAGCAGTACCACCTTTCATTACGATGACATACGCCTGTTTCACGAGAACGAAGAGATCCTAGACGATGAAGACTTGTTCTCTGCGCCGCAAGACTCCCAACTGAGCTTGATTGTGGGTTGTGATCTGAACATCCGATGTCTTGATGGCAAGATATGGCACCTGCCTTTTGATCACTCTTGCACTGTAAAAGACTTGAAATGGAGGATCCGCAATCGGTACAGTCACATATATCCCGACAATGGATTCATCGTGCTGCTTCACCAAAAAGTCACCCTGGAGGATGATGATCAACGACTTTGTCAAATCATAGAATACAACAATCATCGTGAACAGTTTGAGATTCGAATGCAACTCATAGCAACCATCAAAACGCTCAATGGGAATCTGATCCGTGTCCCATTTTCTCCGGACTGCACCGTACAAGACTTTTGTGCAAAGGAAGAACTCGGCATTCGACCGGCAAGGCAGTGCTTCTTTCTTCAAAGCAAATCTTTCGACTTGGGCGACCCCTTGATGCCCATGATGGAAAATGGCACAGATATCCCGTCAGGATCTGAATTGTACCTGCTGGATCTACCGAATGGCCGCACTGCAGCATCAAATGAAACTGATGGCGAGAAGGGCTGCTCCATACCTGAAAGTGCGCAACGATCCGTGACTCTCTTGCAGCTCAAACAAATAGCACTGGAAATACTGTTGCGGTGTGAAAAGGAGGAATGGACCAGCATTGATCCAATCAAGAATAGTCAAAAACTCAAACCTGAAGATGTAACCCTCTACGACCTCATGCACTATTATGTCAAGCCGATTACAAGAGAACAAAAGTGTAGCTATGCCGAGCACGTTTCAAATGCCCCTCACCCCCCAGATTGGTTTGTGTCGCACTGGTAAGTGCTAAAGATCGTGTCTTATATTTGTCTTGCCAGCCTTTTGTAGGCCCCGGCCCGGTCCTCACGCTTTCTATTGCATTTCTCAGGTGGGGCGAATCAGTGTTTCAGTTCATTGCCTGCTTGGAACAACACGCTCACGACCGGTACTTGGACAAGGCGGATGAGGCTCGGTACTGGATCTGCGCTTACAGTAACAATCAGCACGTGATCAGCGACGAGCTCGGAGAAAACCCAAAGTGCAGCTCGTTCTTTCGAGCATTGCAGCTTGTGGAAGGCGTGGTCTCCATCATGGATGCAAACATGGTCTGTTTTTCCAGAATATGGTGCGGCTTTGAAGTGGCGGTTGCCCTGCGCGAGATTGCCGATCAACGAGAGGCCGAAAACAGGACGTATCTTTACGACGTGTATTCTGTTCACGGCAGCGACCCAATCAAGAAATGGAAACAGAATGTTTGTGTCGGCCTTACAGACGGGCCCACTCAAAGGGATCTGAAGGATGCCAAGGAGGTGGCAGCTGACGCGGCCACACTTCAGGTCAAGAGGCAGAGTGCGTTCCCGCCTTCGCCTGCAGCTTTGGATATATGCATCGAGCAGGGAGGCGCAACGGTCGAAGAAGACAAGCTGAAGATCCTTTCCTATATCAGTGGCGTTCGAGGTTCCAAGCCGCCAACAAGCCATGAATCGTACAATGAGATCAATGCATTGCTGGCTGGGAAGTTTGCGATATCCACTTATCCAACGGCACTGTACAATCGTCAAGATATGAGTCCTTACCGACGAGCGTTGCAAAACTACCAAGGGCTTTGTCGATTAACGATGGACTTCAGCAGATTTATTGGTCGCCGCAGGGACGAGGCATACATAAACCGCCTTCGCGGTGAAGCAAGGCATATTGTTTCTTCACTGCCAGTGTCCTTGGAAGAGCTTCGGTTGGATTATTCTCGCTTCAGGTTTGAAACATCGGAAGAGTTCTCCGCTGGACTGAGGCGGCTTTTGAAGCTGAAAACGTTGAAGTTGCGAGCCAAACGGCTTAACGATTTGGTGTCCATTGATTGCCTTTTGAATGAAATCAGCCAGCTTTCCAATCTGCAGCATTTGAGGTTGGATTTTGCAGAGTGCATGAGACTGAAATCCATCAGTATGGGTAGACCAACAATCAGCAAACTTGTCAACGCGAAGATGTTGCAACTGGATTTTTCATGCTGTCAACTTGCATCCGTTGACAATGTCTTTGCCGAAGTCGGGAACCTTTCTGGGCTGCGAGAACTGGTCCTCAACTTCGGATACAATGATAAGATACGCAACATCAACTATGCTGGCTCAATCTCCAAGATTGCGGCCTTGCAGAAGCTCGAGCTCGTGCTGTCCGACTGTGGACTTTCCACGATTAACTCGCTCCTGGAGGAAACTTCCGAATGCCCAACCTTGACAGAGCTGAGGATAGATGTCAGCTCGAACGAGAAACTCGGCGCAATCACCAGAAAAGGTGGGGGGATGCCATCAACCTCTGATGAAAATGATCTGAACGAAGAGAAACCGGATGCTTGTATGGCCACGACCCGTTCAATCAGGAAGATATACTTGCTATCCAAACTATCACAAATCGAGATGCTGCAGCTATCATTTGCATCTTGTAATCTTTCCTGCGCAACTGTGGAGGTTGTCTTGAGAGACATTGGAAAACTCAAGGGCCTACGAAAGCTACACCTTGACTTTGCTTCGAACCCCCAGATCGGTCAATTCAAGCCCAAGTTTTTGGAACCGATTGCCAGGTTGACCAGCTTGGAGAGCCTTTCCATTGACTTTTCGAGTTGCAAGAAATTTTCATTCGCTGGGTCTCTGGAAACATCGGTATATCTGCTGCACTTCAAACGTCTCAAGCTGGATCTCCACTCAAGTGATCAGTTAACCCATCTCGAGGGCCTCGCAACAGCCATCTTTCGGCGTCAGGACAAGTTTGAGCATTTCACCCTCGCAGTCAACAACTGCTCCCTCCCACTTTCTGCTTTCCTCACCATTTGCCGGGCACTGGCCGAGTCCAGAAGCCAGGCTAGTTGGGTAGAATTGGATTACCAGGAAAACCCTGGGGAGAAGTTTATCGACCCGCAATTGGCAAAGTTCACTGGCACTACAGCAGATCTTCGGAGGAGACTTGAGGAGGTCAACTATGATGCCATGCCAAATGGGACCAAGGTGAAGTCGTCAATTTACCGTTGGATGGTTGCTCAAAGGGGCTTCCGTCCCAAGAGGAATACACTGAACGGCGGCGCAGCTACAACGTACGCCCAACACCGGGAGCAAGTGAAGATCAAGCAGTCCGAGAAGGTCCAGTCGAAACCAAAGGCACAAGCTCAATCGACCCAAAGTGAGCATTGAATACCGGGAGGTTTCAGTCAACCTGGGAGTGACTCGACTCAATTCAATTGAGCCATCCGCCTACGGTAGCTCATCGCAGAGTTTGTAAGTGAATGGGCAGCGCCTGTTTGCCACAACGATTTATCAAACGCACCAACAGTATGCTAGCCAGAGATTGTGAACCATTTGTCTACGCCAGCTGGCTACTCCAAGTAGCTACAACAAAGCTACACTCACGTGGTACTTCGATTGTTGAACATGCAACAAGCTCATGACGAGGGATGGAAGTTTCGCCCAGGAACACCAACGAAGCAAAACCGCTCTAGCGCGTTTGTGCGAAGGCTGCAGGAGAGTTTTGACACCGCTTATTCTTCCAGCGACGAATCATCGGACTCAGAATACAAACAGCTGTGTAATGGTTCGTTTCCAGACGATGATGCGGCCTTCCTGGATGATGAGAATGATATGGAGATGTTCCATCATCATGGATAACGCAGAGAAATCGAGTCAATTGGGTTGTGGGAGCCACCATGTTGAGTTTTTCCCGGGATTTGTTTTGTTAAGTGAGACTCAGAATAATATGCAGTCAAGTATGTAACAATGTACATGTACTGTAGCCATCATCTAATGCATAAAACAGAACAAGAAAGAATAAAGACTAGGCCTTGAATGCTTCCAAGACAGCTGACGTCCACAAGACTTGCTGAGAAGTATAGATTGCTGCGCATTCGGAAAGCCACAACAGATCAGAGGCCATCAAATGAATGGCTCTGGACCATCCCGCGTCGTCATTCTCATCCAGTTGAGTCAAACCGATTGTCCCAATGGTAGTAGGTGATATTGCAAATGGAAGACTGGGGAAGCTTCCACTGTCAGTCCCTCTTTCCAAATTGTCGTCCTCCGTCTTGCGGCGGACGTGCAATATGACCTGATGGAGCAAGTTGTTCCAGGCCCGAATAGCTTTCGCACCATTGGTCCTCGGATGCCCTAGATGATACACTACTGCGCGCTTCTTGCCTTGGCCGCCATCTCCTTCGTCGCTGCTTCCACCAGTGTCATTGTCGTTCTGGCTGTAAAAGATCAGTTTTGCACAGTGTGACAATGGAACAATCTTCCACTGCTCCGAGGGGTACTGGAATAGGGTACCAACAACGAGCAATAGCTGGGCTGCCAAAGACCAAGCAACTTGAACTTCATTCCATTTGAGATCGCCTTTGGGTCTGTAGGCGAGCCTTAGTTCATTGATCAATGGGTATCGAAGGCCCCTTTCATCAACCCGCAAATCGAGGAGGAGAGAGGGCAGACTGATATCAGCTGAAAGCTTGTCCACTTCAGCATCGATCGTATCAAGAAGTTGAAACAACTGAGCTTGGTCGCTGTTGAATGCTCTAGCTTCCAACTCGAGCGCATTTCTTTCCACCTCTAATTCATATTCTGTTTCTGCAAGCTCTTTTGCCAGGTTCATTTGTTCCTCCTTGAGAGCCCTGAGATGTTCAGCTTCAGCTTCTTGCTGTCTGCATTCTTCTTCCAAGAGTTTGATCTCATCTCGAAATGCTTCTTCCGCCATTTGCAAATTGTTGGGTGCTGCAGCGTCGTCTTTGCCGCCACTTGGCCCCAAAAATGAGACACCTATGAGAGCCTTTTCCAGGCTCTCATGGCGTTCTTCCTCTTTTCGCGCTGCCTGGTCGTACATGTAGCATTCATTGATGAGTCTTTCGCTGTCTGCATCCAAAGCACGGGCCACGCTGTAACGCAAAAGAGAGGAAGAAGAGAAGCAAAAAAATTGAATCAGACTTTCTGCATATGGTATATGTACCAACAATCCCAATTTCTCTCTGTATCTCAACGCACCGATTGATACAGTCAGCACAGAGCCGAACCCCATCGCCTCCATTCTGAGCAGCACGATTCAATTCGTTCAGATGTTCACATTCCAACAAGGACTTGGAGGAAGCTGCGACTGAGAAGGGAACAGATTTCTTTCGGTCAATCGGAGCACTATCATCGCCTTCAACAGGTTGGTACAAGTGAGCAGGAAGATGCACAAACGATGCGTCAATGGCTCCGGTTTTGCCAGCCACAGTGTGCTTGATGGGTGAACCATGAGGGCCCAGAAAGTGCCCACAAGTGCAGACCTCTTCTTCTTTTCCCTCCAAATGCTTGGTCTCGTCGTCCATCGTGGGGAGTGACAGCCTGTTACATGTACTGGTACTGGTACTCGATCCGTAATAGCAGACGTGCCTTCTTCTGTTGTGAATGGGGAGTTACTATGGATTAGAGAGAGCTAAGATGAGGATGGGGAGAGAGCTCGAGGGGAGGGCACTTCTTCTGTTGTGAGGTTGATGCCCATCGCTTGCTGCGTGGACCCTCGTTTCGTGTTTGAGGTGTTCGAGTGTACTTCTATTAGTAGCTAAGTCTTTCTCATAATCAAAGGTTTAACAAAACTGTTTCAAAGCATGAAAAGAAGCCCAGTTGCTCATGATCAAGCTCCGCACAATGGTGGGTGGTGGGCCAGGACCTCCGTCCAAGCTGCACCAAAAGCACCGTTCCGTGACGCCAAAATCCTACAACATGCACTACAGCAAGCTAGCTGTACCGTACTAACTTTGAAACTTAAAGATCAAGACGTCCAGGAGCACCTATCATTCCATCAGTGTGCCATACTGTACTAGGCGTGGCAGCCCTGTCCTGAGACCCAAAAGAAGCAAAATCCAGCGGGAAATTTTCCCCATGGCCATTCAAATGCAGCCTTGCAATTGCTTCGTCCATAGATGCCACCTTGTATTCACACTCCCAGGCAGGAGGAATATGGTATAGATCTCTGGCTTGCCTATAAAAGACAAGTGCCTTTGACCTTTGGTGACCATATCTCTCAAGCATCCTTCCAGCCATTTCATCTGCCAGACCACCGTCATTGGTGTAACCATTCTTTGCAGCAGCATACTTGATCAAATGACTGACTCAAAAATCTCTGCAATATCTTGAGATGGTTGCATGCAACCCGAATTCTTCCACTTGACACAGCAACCAAGCCTTTCATGGAACACCTGCAAACGTCCCATTGTTGGAGCATCTGTTCTGTTGTAGGGCAAGAAAAATAACAGCTGCAGCAACAATGGAGCCATACAGAAGCGAAACCAATGTTTCAGTCTGCCAGGGCCTAGATTATGTATGTGCCTGCAACAGCTGCATTCCACGTTGAAATGCACGGTTCCCCCAACCCTTCTATTGTAGATATGCAGTTTGCACATATCATACATACGGTAATATCCAGGACACGATAACGCAATTCGCTTCCGGCAAGCACATGGGCACCATCACGGAAAAAGGATTGAAGATTATTCTATGGTATGCATATGCACCTAGATAGATAGATTCATGACGTGCTCCAACCGGCAGTGACAACCTTGCGCAAAACTGGTCAGTTCGTGTTCCGCCCATTGATGATGAATCTCTTGTAGATCCTGGCGGGTGGTACAAGGAGGCAGATTGGGTTCGTAGAGTTGCAGAAAGATGCCCCAACTGAGACATTCCGCCTTGCCAATGGCATTTTCATGGAGCCACACCGCACAGCAATTGTCTTGTGTGGTAGTGAGCATTTGGATGACTTTGGTCCGGTGCATGACAAACAAGTGTTCCTTGCGGGACCGCTCTAGGAATTCTGGCCGTGATATCGTGGGCAACAATAAGCATGAATTGGTTGGAAAGGTTTGATAGTCTTCTGGTTCGACCGTCGGCTGCGAGGGACGGGATTTCCACCATTGAGTGTAGCGTGGATGAACGCCGTGATGGGTCAATCCCAACGAGACGATTCGCAGATACCGTTCGCTGGGTAATTTTTCCTTGGCATCCAGTTCCGTACCCGGGAACTGAAAGAATCGAGCCTTGATGGGTGGTTCCTCCTTCATGGTGGTGGAGTTGACCATTCGGTAGGGTACCACGTCGGCTTCCATAACATCATACCGGTAGCCACTTTCCGACTTGACGACAATATCCCAATCTTTGAGACTGTGAAATTCCATCAAGACGCCATAGACGGTGGGTTGTTCCTCCTGAGATTTTGTTGTTTGACGAATGACATTTCCAGTGCCGTTCGAAAAGACGAGGGTGTAACCAACCAACATGGCAGGCTGCTGATTGACCGATGTCAGACTGCGACGACCGCGGCTTGTGGGGTTGCACATGGCGCCGTAGCTAAAGTAGCGAATGAGACAATCATCATCGTCCTCTTCAGGATGGAGGTTGCTGTGGCTGCTTTCCTTGGGAACCATGGTGCTGATCCAGCTACTAGTCTAGTAGAAGATAGTGTGAGTGGATGGGGTTTGTGTAAGTCAGGCTCTCCTAAAGGTAATGAATGAAGTACATGTTTACAACGCTGCCTCGTCAACCCATCGGTGATGAGGAAAGCTGCTGCCAAGCTGTCATATTATCAAGCCCATGTGGCCGGGTTAGGTGTTGCAGTGCTGACTCAGCCAGGTTCAACCGGTACTCAACCGGTACTCATTTTGGTTCCGAAAAATCTCTCCGAACTCAGCTTGTCCGTCTCATTGTCCTATGTGCCACTTCCAGTCATTTACTTACCAATCACGATCGTAAGTCGGAAGAAATGGCTCCATCTACAGTGTTCTAAATGTACCAGCCAAAACCCTTTTTAGAAGTCAAGCGTTCGCCAGTCAACCTTGTCTCACCTTCCAACAAGCAAAAGTTGTGCCGAGCTCTGAGAGGCGAATGCTCTCTGGTATTGCGGTGTTTGCCGTTCTGTTTTGAGTGAAGCCCTTGTCTGTTGCGGTGGCTTGCTGCGAACAAAACAAAAGATGGAGGAACTGATACAAAAGAAACTATTAATACTGAATCAAACCTATGTCCAATCGCCGCCAAGCGTAGAAAAGGAGTCCAACAAGTCGTCAGATGATGAGCACATTCTTACGCACACTGACAACAGTCATAAATCCCAGTACAAGACAACACACCAACAACAGACTGCTGAAACATCTTTCTTTGAGTCTTTGAGCCAAGACGTTGAGCCACTGCCGTTCTTTCCACTAGCACCGCAGAGTTTTCGGGGAGGGAGCAGAGACGTCGCACCCGGCGCCTATGCCACAGGAGGACCACTAGCTCATCAGGTCGCACCAGGGACGATACCACGTGCCGATGATGGAAACGAGCGAGGAGGGGCATTGACATCCGAAGATAGTAATCTTCATCATGCTGAGCCAGTGGAGGAATTGGACTTTGAACAGATTCCTACGGCTCAGCCGATGATACAAAATTCCAAAAGTTGGTGGAAGAGAAAACTGTTCTGGTCACTCTCCACAGAAGCACTGGTGGCAATACTCATTGTTCTGGCGATAACTATTGGGGTTGCTGTCAAAAACCATGGACACAATAGAAAAATCCACCTCAAGCAGAAGCAGGGCACTATTATCAAAATTCCCAGAATTCCAGCGGCCACAAACCCGCCCCCAAGCTTGTTCGGGGGGCTCAATCTATCTGACTACACTCTGGAGGCACTCACCGACCCAAGTTCTCCACAATCAAAGGCCTTTGAATGGCTGGTGGAAGGCAACATGGGTCTTCCAAACTGGAGACTAGTTCAGCGATTTGCCCTGGCTACTTTCTTCTGTTCAACCAGAGGAGACCGTTGGGTGAACCATCATGGTTGGATGGACTGGCAAACACATGAGTGTGACTGGGAGCAGCATTTCTTGGATCCTGAAGATTTATCGTTGCATCAGTGTGACACTTCAGGACAAGTTATCTCTCTGTCCATAGTTGCCAGCAATTTGGCAGGAACACTTCCAACAGAAATTTCACTTCTCAGCCCAAGTCTACAACTTCTGGATCTCTCAAAAAACATGGGGCTTACTGGGCAGATACCATCTGAGATTGGGTTGTTGACAAGGCTGACATCATTGCAAACACATGTCACAAGCCTTTCAGGTAGATTGCCAACTGAGCTAGGAATGTTGGAAAACTTGAATGTTGCATTCCTGGGTGCCGACAAAATCTCAGGGAGTGTTCCATCGGAATTAGGGCTTCTAACAAAGCTAACAAGTATCTTCTTTTCTAGTATGGGACTTTCAGGTAAGGCAATCAATAACATCAGCCTCTCACACATTCCAATTCAAGACATTTGACTCCATGAAACATGAACTCAAGCTCCTACCATTTTTGCTCCTAACACAGGCTCCCTTCCTGCAGAACTGTTTCAGTTAACAAACCTAGAAAATTTTGGGATGGATTCTTGTCATGGGATAGATTCGAAGTCAGTGTTCCTAGCTGTCACAAGCCAAATGAGTTGGCTAAGAAGTCTGATAATGGTTGGCGGTGAAAGGGCATCTATTTCACTCTCAAGTAAGTCAAAACTGGCAGCTTTGGTGGTGCAATGGGCTGTTTTTTTTCATCATCATGTCTTGTTGCCATGCATTTCATTTCCTGGCAGGTGAAATTGGCCAGCTTACTAAGTTGGAAAACTTTATGATGGAGGGCTGGAATATGGGCAATTCCTGCATTCCCAGTGAAATTGGAAAACTCTCAAGGCTGGTAAGTCAAACCCATTACACTATTGCCCCTATGGTGGATCTTTGGCAACTCAAACTTTTTACAATTTCCATAGACACACCTAGCAATTGAACAGACTTCCCTGGCAGGGTCTCTCCCATCAGAGATATCGTTGCTCTCGGGTAAGTTAAAAGGATTTGCTGCAGTCAATTGCTTTCTTTTCATGACTCTTCTATGACTCAGTCTAGCCATGCCTTGTGAACAACACAGACTTGTGGCGGTTGGTTCTATCGTCCAACCGAATGACAGGAATCCTGACCCCAGAATTGTTTCACAATCTCAGAGGTTTGAAAAAGTTGGATATGAGTGGCAATCCGGTCTTTGGTTCTGTAGTCACAGAAGTTGGCTTACTCTCTGACCTCAAAGGTCTAGGGCTTCAAGATACCTGGCTTTCTGGGACACTCCCGACAGAATTACTGGCCTTGTCCAAGTTGACAAAACTGACCGTTGCTAACAGTTCCCTCTCTGGCAGTATTCCTGATGGTCTCTGCCATATCTTGTACCGTTATGAGCTGGCATGTCATAGCTCCAGTGTTTGTTATCCCAAGAAGACAAACACCTCTGTCTGCCAGGGAACTGCCTTGTGTGGATGCAGCTGTTGACCTTGTTAACATTGTTGCTTAATGATGGCTACATTGAATAGTTCTTCTTTGCTTGGTTTTCTACCTCTCTCTCGCTACTGCAGCCGTTGACCTTGTTAACATTGTTGCTTAATGATGGCTACGTTGAATAGTTCTTCTTTGCTTGGTTTTCTACCTCTCTCTCGCTACTGTAGCTAGATTTGTTGTACATGGGGTATCCCCAAATGCACAAGAGAAGAAACAATCCCTTAAACCATCCAATTTATCACTTAAGCCTTCCAAACCATCTCTTAAGCCTTCAAGGCTCTCTAAGTTTCCTCTTTTTCTTCAACACCACTCCCCCCCCCCAACCACAGCCGACACAACATGATCGACTGGTACAACACTGGTACTAGTAGCTAGCTAGTAAGTCTACTATCACCACAACACCATACTGTTTTCCTCCATGCACCCCCCTTCCCTGACCCCCTTGTTTTGCCCTGCTCGCGTCCTCATTACTCTCCCCATACCGGTATGCCCACCACAACAGCCACTCACCACCGCAGCCACTGCTTTGCCTAGCCTCGCCCCCCTCGCTCCTTAACGTATCTATTTAGTATTTATTTTACTTGATAGACCTGCTGTGCACCATTTGTTGCACCCTCCCCTCCTCCGATGTTTTTGTTGGCGTTTCTTATTTTAACAGCTCTGATACAGATACAGGTTGTGGAGCCTTTAGAGCTTCGGCCGATGGGCACCATGCAGATTGCTCCAATTGCAGTCGGGTCCCTCAATCACTTTGGTGGCAAAGATGACGACCGCGTCGTAGTAAACATATTGAAATGCCTACCTCCTCGCACCCTCATAGACACGGCAGAACTGTATGGGGATGGTGACACCGAATCGGTCCTTGGAAAATGCATGACACTTGCCGGTCAGCAATGGGCGACGGATAACGACGATGATTCCAGCAGCGGTATCTACTGCGCCACCAAGTACGCCCCAAATATGTTTAGACGTAAACCAGAAGATGTGGTCCAGGCCTGTCAGGAATCCATCTCGAAACTGAAATGCCAACCCTTGCATTTATATCAGGCTCATTATTCGGCGAGCATTCTTCCCAGCTTACCTTTCGTTGGGCCCGTGCGAGATGAAACTGTCTGGGAAGGTCTTGCCCAATGCTATGAACAAGGCTTGGTCGAGAATATAGGCGTTTGTAACTACGGACCCAAGTTGATTCGGCAAGCGCATGATTATTTTGCAGCTCGAAAGATTCCACTAGTGTCCAACCAGGTTAACTATAATTTGATGCGAGCATCGGCGGCACTGGAGACTGTCCAGGTCTGTGACGAGTTGGGTATTGCTGTGCTGGCATATCATCCTTTGGGGAAGGGCACGCTGACAGGCACGTATGACGAGATGGATGAACCAACCATGAGTAAGCTCAAGGGCAAGTACAGTTACTACACGCTCAAACGATGGCTGAAAAGCACACCTGAACTCCGAAAAGCGATATCCCAAATATCATCATCAACCGCCATGGATGGCAATGCAAAAAAACGCAGCAGGTCGCAAGTAGCGGTTAGCTGGGTTATCAGAAAAGGACGGGTTCCAATTATTGGGGCACGCTCAGCGGAACAAGCGCAAGATCTTTTGGATGCTGTCGACTGGGAACTAACGGATGAACAAGTAGTCATACTGGATGAAGCAGCAGCCTTAGCAAACTCCAACTGGACTGTGCTGGGCAAAGAATTTAAGTTGGTATGAATTTCATCTCACTGGAAAGCCTTCAAAGTTTGGATGAAGCTTTCCCCCACTTATTCAAGTGAACGCAGAGCCGGGTGAGCTTTGCTCGAAAAGAGGGCCGATTAAACAAAACAACTTGCATCGAATGTTGGACTACATAATCTAAAAAGTCTTCAATTTTAGCTTTGCCAAGTCGGAGCAAGACATTCAAATGTTTCTGAAGAGAGGATCACTCGCACTTGACCGTCACTTGACACTCGACAGGACCGATACCATCGGTGCTGGACCGTCCGACGCTTTTCACTGAGGATTAAAAAACTTCAAATTTCCACGACTGACATCATCCTCTAAACAACCCCTTAAACAACCCCTTAAACAACCCCTTAAAGCTTCAACATCCCCTTAAATAACCCCTTAAATAAACAACCCCTTAACAACATCCCCTTATGCCCTCGAAACAACTCCTTAAGCCTTCATTGAAACGCCATACGACAACCCCTTATCACGAATGAACATCCCTCTAAATAAACATCCCCTTAAAACAACCCCTTAAATATTCAACATCCCCTTAAACAACCCCTTAAAGCTTCACATCCCCTTAAACAACCCCTTAACGAGAACCAGGATTATGAGTCAGTCGTGCCCGTTTTTAAAGCCTGAGTGAAAACCGTCGGACGGTCCAGTTCACGGTGTGCATCGGACGAGTGCTCAAACCCTAACCAAGAAAACTTTGTACAAGTCGATGATGTCAGTTTACTGGCCTTTGGAATGCTTAGCAGCTTAGCAGAATTATTGAATCGAAGCGGATGGTCGTGGGCGCGTGGCCTGTCTTCTCTCATTCGGAGGCCTACGACCCGTTTAGAGGAGTTCTGCACTGAATTTGCTATACTAAGTACTCCTATTCTGGGCATGCGTGCCCAAGCTATCTCATGGATAGTACACAACGGTAATTTTACCCATCTTGAGTGGTCTATCTCCATGAAATTTACTTGAAATTGGGGAGGAAATCAGGAATGATGAATCGAATCCCCAACTCCTGAGTTCATGTCTAGTTAGTCATGAACATGACTGAAGTCACAGTGGAATCGAATCGAAAACAGCATGGTATGTGGTACAGCCGTACCACCAGCACTGCATGCCATTGTGTCTGAATCCAATGACACACGCAAACCCACGTTTTTCGCTGGTGGCAAAACGAAATTCTGGAGCTGGGGTATTTGGAACACAACACAGCACAAAGACGACAGAACAAGATCCTCTCGCTGGTACAGCGTACGTACCGGTCCCAGGTGCCTGGTACCAGTATTCTAGTATCTGTGGAGGCGCGCCGCTTTAACCACCCAAAAAAATTGTCGCGTTTTTGTTCCCGGCCAGGCCTTCATCTTCGAAATGCTAGTAGTACCATTGATCCATATCAAATAGTTGGCTAGCGTACCGGTATAGATTTGCAATCGAAACGAAGAGACGAACATGTTTTTATCCAAGTTGCGCAGTGATGGAAAGCTCCAGTTCCAATGTTGGCTCGTCTTTCTCGCCTGTTTCTACAGTGTGATTGGTGTTGTTGCCATGTTAGTGCAGCTGCATCTTGCGAGTGACGACCAAGCAAGTCGTTGGTTGGACTATGTCGGGACTATTACTCTATCCCTGCTGTACACTCGAGCATTGACCCACCATACCACACTTTGGCTTCTCAAGAAATGGAGTAGAACTTGCAGCACCCTTCCAAGCCAGATCCAAGATGACAGTGCTTTTTGCATTGTAGACAACCTCACATTCCTCATGTGGTCTCCCATCGTATCATATTGGGTCATCCAAGGTGTAAGACTGACCACTGAGGACTACATTGTCTATTGCATTCCCTCCCTCAGGGCGTTGATGCCCTACTATGTGGCTGACAGGATCCTTCACATCTGGGTGAATCCAACGAAGCAGCGTCTTATCCACCATCTCGGGGTCCTTATTACAGTTGCTTGCTTCACTGAGTTGAACCCCTCTGTGCAGAGCCTGGCTATTGGTGCATATGGAAGCATTGTTGACGCTTTCCACAAGGCTATTGTTGCTTGGGGTACGCTGTGCCGCTTCACCCGAAGCCACTCCAGGAACCATCCAGAATGGCGAAAGGGCAATGTGGACATTGATGCCAGACAAGGCATTGATGGCCTTCTAGTCGGCAGGAGCCCAGAAACAATGGCATTCTATGGCAAACTTGGGGCTTTCCATGTCTTCATGTTCTTTATCGTTGTTCCTTTTGGAACACTGACTGTCTATTTTGCACGACACTGGCATACTCTTCCTTTCGCCAACCGAATTATCCAGCCTATGATCCCATTCTTCTTTACTCTTGTGGATGTGCCTCTGTACAAGGCATATTGGAATACCAGCCACCAGTCCTATTGGGAGAAAGACTTTGGGAACCGAGGAGGCACACCAGATAAAAAGAAGGCTAGCAGTTCTGACGGAGGACAAAGCCTCACAGACCAGACGACCCCCAATGAGGCAGGCTTTCTGACTCCGACCGAAGCTTGCTTTTTCGACCACTCATCCAGGGAACAACACTATCAAGCGCCAGATGTTGATTGCTAGAGTGCTGGTTTACAACGACCCAACCTTTCTCTTTGCCATCTATGGAGGCTGCTACGCACAGTTCCTTCAAAGATGGCCGACATGACATCATCTTTTGACCCCCAGATCCAACTACATCGTACCCATATATAGCTTTCCACCGGATGTCGCCACCTCGTCTCAAGTTTGAAACGCCCCCCTTCGCCTCCCCCCTTCAAAACTAGCTAGTGTGTACCGACTAATTCCCTTCTATCTCTCTACTTGTTCAATTCGAAAGCCAAGCTCTACCAACTCCAAAAGACCCTTCCAGCACGAATCATACGGGGAACTTGCGAAGCAACTGTGCTGACTAGCTAGCTCGAGCTGACTATAGAGAGGTTTGTTCTCGGAACGCTATCGTTCTCGGACTGGAACGGTTCTGGCTGCGCGTGTAGCTTTACCAGCCAAAGCTTACCGTACCTGTAAAGAGTGGCTCGTCCAAGAACAATTTGCTGCTAGCTAGTCAGCCAGCTATCTAGCTATCCACTACGTGAAGTAAACCTTTCTCACAATGTACGTGTAGGTTTCCATGTTTCCAAGGCCACGAACGGGCTGGCCAGGCTACTGTTATCGACTAGCTACTAGACTAGGTAGTCGGGCACTCAATGCACCGGTGGGGCACCTTCGATTTTTTGCCACCTCTCTCCTCCCTCTGAACTGGAAGCGCATTGGATGTCCGAGGTCATCTGGATGCTCCACTTCGAGTTCTCCTTCCTAACAATACGAATGACTCAAAGACCTTGGAAAGCCTTAGAAGCAATTCGAAATTGCTTCACGATCAGCATTCTTGCTCAAGCTCATTTATTTTTTGCGTGTTTCAGCATACTGGTCTCTAGTTTCAGTGGCTCTGTTCAACCCAGCCAGCGTGGTCGGTGATGTGAGGTCGGTCAACAGATTGCTCTAACAGGATCGATAATGATCAAAGATCCAAAGGGCTCTTACCTGTAGAGACCGGCCTCTGAGTTCACAAATTTTGATTGCCACAATCACAATCAGCTTCACCAGCCAAACACCAGCCGAATCCATTCCATTCAAAAACAAACACAATGACCATGAACACCACTGCCAACACCACTGTGTCTACTCCTGCTGTCGTCAACGCGCAACCAAGTCTCCTGGAACGTTTGGGTGGCAATGATGTTCTGGAAGTTGTCTTGGAAGGATTTTACTTTCGATTGCTCTGCGATGAGGATCTTTTGGAGATCTTTGACGGCATTGATACTGCTTGGCTCAAGGTTCATCAACACAAGTTTCTGACTCTGGCGTTTAACAGCGCCGATTTGTCGGGAAAAGCCGTTGGCAAGCATATTGCCAGAGGTCACGCCCGTCTCTGGGCCAAGGGATTATCGGAACGTCATTTTGATCTCGTGGTGGAGCACCTCGTTGAAGCCTTGCTGGAGATGGATACCGAACAGTCTCTGATGGACGATGTCGTTGCCGTGGTCCGCCCCTTGCGGACAGTGTTTGAAGAGAATGCTCTCAAACACCGCCAACAACAGCAAGCTAGCAGCAACAGCAAGATTGCCTCTACTAGCAATGTCACTGCTGTGCCGAACACTCAAACAAAGAGAGACTCTGCCACCGGTAGTGCAGCCAAGAAGTCAACCAAGAAGCGATCGTCGTCGGTCTCCAAGTCAGTATTCAGCATGTTCAACGCACGGACCAACTAGGAAATGCGATGCCTCCTTTCGGGAAAACAGACTTCGGTTGTACATCAACTAAACTATAGCTTACATAAACTAGTCTTTAGCTTACATATATGCAAGCTTTCTTTCTAGTAGGCATCGCGGTAGAGCCAAGCCACTGACAAACGCTAGTAGCTGGTAATCAAACTCTAGTGGCTTCACTGAAAAGCTACTCCCGTAAACAAGAATGCACTACTGCACTTCATTCATTCCTTCAATTCACGGCCATGATACTTCCGCTGTGGCATCCGTGTTTTGGAGAAAGGAACAACTGGGCCCACAGCACGTGCAGCAGTCACAGGCGACTGTCCCAACTTGCCGTTGACAATCCGTCGTCAGGCGTACCAGTCGAAAGGCCTCTCTCAAGTCACAAACTTCGTCCGGCATGGTTCCGACCAATAGATTGTCATGTAACTCGATGCGTTTCACATCCTCCAGGGCACCCCATTCCGCTGGAATGGTCCCCGTCAATGCATTGTCATGAGCAAAGAATTGAACAAACTCGTCCCCCAAGAACGGCGGCAGTGTTCCAGTCAAACTGCAATTGGAAATGCCCAGCGAAACAAGTGTGGATACTTGTTCGATGGACGATGGAATGGTTCCCGTCATTATGGGATTGTTGTCGACCCACAGTTCGATAATGGCGGGCATGTCCAGAACAAAATCCAATGATCCCGTCAAGTCGGCGTGAACGCCGTATAAAAATTGCAGTTGCGGCAAGGATGCCAGCTGCGACGGAATACCACTATTGTAACGATTGCCCGATAGATCCATGTACTCGAGATTGGTCAAATTGACAAAGGTAGATCCATCCAGAGGACCATCGTAGAGTACGTAGGAACAATCGTACTCTTTTAACCGTGTCAATGTTCCAATGACAGAGGGAATGCCATTATCATTTTGAAAAAAGGTTCTTCCATAAAAGAGATACTGTAGATTGTGCAATTCTCCCAACCAGGCATGTCCTTCCGCTCCACTATTTTCGAGAATGTTTTGGTACACATCCAAGGTAGTCAACCAATCTTGGAGGAGCGCCAATTCGTAGGGGAGACTTCCCGTGAGTCGATTGGAATACAGTTCAATCTTGGTCACGTATCCAAAGTCATTGCAGGCGACTTGATACCAAGAGCATTCATCCGGGAATACCAACCACCCCGTGGCATCAATCCATCCTCGGACGTCGCCACTCAATCCAGTAATGGAATTGGGTGCGGCAAACGTCGAGTAGTAAAGGCAGGCGAGCGCATACCGTTGTAGAATTTTTTGGGGTGACAATGGGAAACCAGCGGCTGTTGGATCACTGGGTGTATTGGTGACGACCCAGTCGAGTGCGCGACTCTGGTACGATTCGGGATCTTCAAATTCGAGGCCGTCGAATCGCGATGTCGATTGGATCATGTCGACAATGGTCGTATCGGATATTGGAGGGTGCGTTGGTTTGGGTGTAGGACTGGGTGTTACTGTAGGACTGGATGTGAGTGTTGTTGGGGGTGTTGCGGTCGGAGTATTGGTACTGGCATATGCCACATCGACATCGAGACTGGTTTCCCGTTGCAACCATCGGTTCCAGAATTCTTCATCTTCTTGCAACGTGCCTTGTTGGTCGAAACGCCGTTGTCGTCCGAGCGGCACTTTTCGGGATTCAGTAATAGCACCCAAGAGGCTCAGAAGGACCAGAGCGGTACAGAGATTGGTGGGCCGTGTCATCATCGTCTTGCTTTGGAGGCAACTTGAACGAAACCAAAAGTGAGACGAGGAGTTCTCGCAAAAACTGGGCGAAATTTCGAAAAGCGAGGGCATTGAGCGATCGAGCCACGATTCCACTCCCGCGGTACACTTTACTCTGGACGCACAAGGGATCATGAGAAAGATACCCAAACAGGGCATGTTGCTTCTGCCAGGACAACTCAAGATACAGTAGTAGACTAACAGATATTGACAAGATGCCATAGCAAGCAGCAAGAACCAAGGAATCTTTTTTATTCAATAAATTGTAAGGGTGATGCTATGGCAGTCATCTCGAGTTCCAGTCGACCGGTGAGGATCCCCTTGAGATCAAGAAACCGAGGCCATGGCTTTCCTTGGATTTCTTTGGCGGGCCGCTGGTTGGGCTATGCCGTGTTGATCTGCGTCGTAATATCGCTGTGTTATCCCACAGAAACCTACGACACGTACATGACAGTATCGGATGAAGTCTCCTTTCGACTGCAAGGATATACTGAAGCGTACAGTGAGACAACAGATTGGTCCTTTTTTCAAAACGATTTCAAGCACCGCTTTGGCCGTCTTCCACCCGCAAGTCTCCAACAATGGCATCGCTATGCCCGCTACCACGGTTGTCTGGAAATGGACGGGTATCAGACGCTGCACGACGATTTGGAACCGTATCGACGCCAAAAACGACAAAAACACAGAAGATATTATTATGAAAAAGTGATATCTTCGGGAATTCATCAAACGGACAATTATATGGTCTTTCAAGTAAAGAACCACATCTTGACCGTAATTGCCCAAAAATGTGCCTTTGATGAGGCTTCCATTGCGGTAATTGAAAAGAACTTTCGATGGATGTTGACGCCCGTGGTTCAACACACACCTCCTCTCGATGCCATTTTCTTTTTTGATTTACACGACAATCCCACCCGAAAATCCAATCCGGATTCGCTCCCCATTTTTGGCACGTGTCGCATGACTTATTGGACCGACGATCAACCTACTACAACCATTACTACAGATGAGTATTCAAAAGCCACGCAACTGCGACAACCCTTTCATCCCGATTTCATGGACACCAGCTACGAGAGTAGCTCTGTCTTATTGGTACCCTATTATTGGGCGCTCGATGTCTCCCTGTTTTCCTCGTCGGGACCTGCATTTACGCAACGTCAAGACGCCATTGTCTGGCGTGGTGTCACGACGGGACAGGAATGGGGAGTATCTCCTCGCTTTCAACTGGTCGACGAGTATGGTCAAAAAAAGGAGTCGGGTGTCCAACTGGACTTTGGGTTTACGGGCGTGGTCCAAAATACATCGGCCGCACACACATTGCCGCCCGGGACCACGTTGGCACCACACATGAACGATGCGCAGACACAACAGTACAAGTACATTATGGATGTCGATGGAAATGGTGCGTGCGTTCGTGCATGTTGGTGTTTTGTTGGCATTCATTCACCATCTCACTTTGTACTTATTACTTTTGCAATGATATCAGCCTTTACGTCTCGGTTCCCGCGACTCCTCCAATCCGGATCCCTCTTGTTCAAATCTACACGGTTTCGGGAATGGTACACCGAACGGCTACAGCCATACAAACACTACGTTCCCGTCAATTACAACCTTTCCGATCTAGTCGAAAAACTCACGTGGGCTCATGAGCATCCTCAAATGGCACCACGGATTGTTCAAAATGCCGACACTGCATCCAAACAGTTCTTTCGGCGCAAGGAAATGCAGTGCTATGTCTATCGAATGATGCTCGAATACAATGATCTGTTTGAACCAACAACAAAATAACAGCAATAGACAATAAGACAACAGGGGAATATCTAGTCGCTAGTACATGTACGTAGTAACTTTGTGACGAGGTCTGTCTTAAAGAGTGCCACCAGTTGAATTACTACTGACAGGTACATTTAGAACTACATGTACACTCCACAGGAAACTGATCTGGGTCACAGTCAAGGTCAATGGAAGTCAACAACATCAACAAACCAAGCTCTGACGGGAGGCTACCGGATACTTGGTTCATTCCAAGGTCCAAGGCAGTCAATGATGTCAATAAGCGAATCTCCGATGGAATCATGCCGGATATATTGTTAATAGCCAAGTCAATGTCAGTCAAAGAAGACAACAAACCGACCTCAGATGCAATGCTGCCTGCCAAGTGGGAGAACAGCAAATCAAGCGCAGTCAAAGTCGTCATCAACCCAATCTCAGAAGACAACCCTTTGTTGTAATGCACGCACAATTGCAACCACAAATTAGGTAGTGCAATCAACAAGCCAATTTCTGTAGGAACAGTTGCCTGAAATTGGTTGTCGAAAAGATCCAAGGACTCCAGCGCAGTCAACAAGCCAATCTCAGAAGGAATGCTGCCTGAAAGTTGGTTGTTTGGAGAACCAGAGACCGCAATGCTGTCAACTGCCCCACCTCAGATGGGACTTCTCCTACCAATTGGTTGTGGCCCAAGTCAATCGCAGTCAATGACAACAACAAACCAACCTCCGATGGAATCATACCTGACAATTGTGAGTCCCTGAAGTTCAGCTCTTTCAAGCCTTCCAATAGAGATAGCTCAGGTGGAATTGTTCCCTGGAAGTTAGCCTGGCTTGTCACTGAGATCATGGTTACCCGGCCATTCTTGCTACAACTCAACTGATTGTCCGAAGAACCTGTGTATAAGGCACCCCAATCACATTCATTGGTTTCGTACCGTAGCCAAGCCACTCTGTTTGTGTTTGAAGAATACTCCGTTTCGTACCGTTGAAGGCATAGTAGAAGGTGGCCAAGGCAAATCTCTGTTCCTTTTGCCAGGTTTCGTACATCTGTAGGTTGGGATCAAGAGTCAGCCAGGTGCAGGCTCTGAATTGAGGAGATTCTTGATCGCTGACAATGGATTCCCACGTGGAACTTGGGGCATTGGGAAGCAGTGTCTTGTGTTCTTGGTTATTCTCCAATTTAGGGGATTCTCCATTCCCCCTCCAACAGCCAGTGGAATGGCAATTGCCAGAATGATAACTACCGCCAGTACAGCAATTGCCGCCCCCACCACAACCGGGTTTCTTTTCTTCTCCACAGTCTCGGTAGTATTGACTTCTGCCTCTTCTATTATTTGTCCTGGGGCCTCCTGGCTTGGCTGAGAAGATGCACCCAACACATCCAATCTCACTGGTTCCACCGCTTGATAATCGGCACCTGGCGTTCCTGTATATGCACCAGGAGTAACAGACCCTGGTGATAGGATTTGCTCAGTCATCGGATGCCCAGTGTGATGGTCATATTCATTGCCCACAGCTGGATTCGATGAAGGCTTCAGTGTAGCATCCCCAGTAGCATCAGGAGGGGCGTGGCTATCTGTTGCCACCATGCTGGGTCTCGCAGCATCATCAACGCTTGTTTGCGCGGCAATGACAGTGTCCCCTTTTTCAGAAACGTATTCACCAGGATTGAGAGTTTGTGTTCCGATGGGTCTGATTCCAACCCCCACTGCTATGTAGCCCTGGTTAGTGCTTTTTGCCAATTCTGCCTCTTCTCTACTGGCAGTTGAGCATCGCACAGCTACAACTTTCAACAAGGCAAGATCGTCGGCCTCGGTATTGTTCGTACTGTTAGACGCTGCCGTAGTGTTAACAATACCTGGTGCCTCATTCCTTGCTTTGGTGACTGGTGGTCTGGCAACTGCAGGTGCTGGAAGGGCACCAAGGTTGTCAAAATTGTGTCTTCTTTCGGCTGATCGTCTGAGTAGTTCTTCCTGCTTGATGTCTTCAGCTGTCTTTGTGAAACTTCGGCTTCGTTCGAGGACCAGCTGCATCAAGGAGAGGTCACTATTAGCGGCCTCTTCTTGGCGGTTGGGTGGGGGGCGACGGGAGGCATAGGGCATGTTGTTGTGTTGAAGGTTGCCTCTATGATGTCCTCTTAGTCTGAAGGTAATACACCTGCGGGAGGCTCCCGAGCTCCAAGACAGGGGCTTGAGCTCCAAGGCAAATCCCATCTCCTCGATCCTCGATCTTAACATGGAACCATCATTTTTACCGTATGATAACCGTGAGATACATACATGTAGATGAGTCAACCAGCTCGGACCGTTCTTCTACATACATGTACTGCTTGGAGCTTGGAGTCAGTGGAAAAAGAAGCAAGTAACTAAATAAATAAGAGACTGTAGCCAGTGGCTAGAAACTACAAACGGCCAGCGGGCAGTGGGCAGTGGGAGTGGAATGATCTTTTCTGAAAAGAAAGGTGAATAGGTGAATAACTTGGAGCCTGTATCTCTCAGAGCTTCGTGGAATGCCTATGAATGGCCCTTTTGCCTTTATCGTTCCATTCGACGGCCTGACGCCAGGTTCTTTCAGTAACATACTGAGAGCTATACTGAGGTGAGTGAGCTTTGCACACAATAATACCCCAGCGCCAGCCCCTACCGATACCGTTCCATACCGGTACCATTCAGTATCATCATGGTGATAGCCTGATCATGGAGTCTTAGATCGAGTTTTTTTCTCGTCGAGTTCCGCTGTCATCGGGTGTTTCGGTTTGTGACAATGACATGTTACAGCTTATGACACATACAGTCGTACTTTGTGAATTACTACTACTAGGTCCACATGTATTGTGAATCGATTCAATCGTCAAGCTAGATCTATTTCAGCTCGACCGCTGACTCAGACTCACTGCCGAGCTGCCGAGGTTCGTCCGCGTTCTTCTTCAACACACAGGATCTCTTTTCCGTGATCCAGGCGGCCAGAACTTCACAGACGACGCGTCGGGCACGAAAGAAAACACAAACGCACGTCGAACATGGACTCGAATTCCCACTCCACACAATACAGAATACTATGAAGTTGCTCGATGCCCGTTTTGCAGAGCCGAAGAATGCACTGATGTGTTTGCAGAGAAAACGAAAAAGAAATCTATTAGTCAGAAGAATGTGATGTCCTTGGTTGCAATCCTCCGGGCATTCCGGTGCCCTCGGTCTTCTCACTTTTCCCTATCGTAAAACTGCAAAAGATGATGAAAGTTGTTGCTCTCCTCGTCGCCTTTTTGGCGACGGCCAGTGCGTTTGCCCCCATGACTCCGACCAACGCCCCAACCAAGAGTAGCACTGCCGTGTATTCCCTTTTTGACTCCATCACGGGTATGGATCTGTTTGCTCCCAAGAAAGACCAGAACAAGTACGGCGCCCGCACTGGCAAGAACCTCAAGATTGGAACCATTGGTTCTGGAAGCTACGTTCCCGATGGTCTGACCCAAGCCCAATACAACAAGATTCGGGCCGAAGCTGCTTCCAAGAAGGAAGCCAACTACCAGCGCAATGTTGCCAAGGCTGGAAAGTTCGAAGACTTTACTGAATTCTACAAGCAGCGAGGAACATCCGAGGGAGGCTCGTGGTTGAAGGCTGCTGGACGTGGACACAAGTATGTCAAGACCAAGTATGACTGGTCTGGAGAGAAGAAGGACACTGCTACTTTCTGGTAAACTGTTCATAATACCGTACCTGCGAACTATTTGTAAATATCATTTTTGATAAAAGAGGAAACTTGTTTTTAGGTGTGAAGGCCACTTGACCAGATACATGCATTTACATGCAAACGGTTCTAGTACCCGTCCCTCTAGCTAGCGACTTGTTTGGATTGTTGAGTTCCGTTGAGAGCGGATGAGGTTCTACTAAAAAAGATCAACATGGCGGGATGCAGCGTACTCAAAGGCTAGAAAGTTTCATGCACATGGACTCCAGTTGGATTTCGGGACAAAAGGGACGGGGTCGACCTGCCGGTACGAACGCACAGGCAAAGGAATTGGGATATTGTATGTTTCTGGAGACGTTATCCAACCATGCACGCATTGAAGACCAAGCTCTGTTTGAGATGGTTGTGGTCAAACCTGGTTGTCGGACGAAAATCTTGTTGCTGCCTGACCGTACCTGTACCGGTACCGTATCCCAGCTCTGCCAGATTATTACAATTTGGCGGCAACTTTTTCAAAATCTGAAAATTCAAAAAGGTTGCTGATCTCACGCAATGCTGCGGCCACCAGCACCTCCTCACCTCCTCTTTCATTTGTCTTGTTTGTTAACTTTTCTTGTGTTGTTTTGAGGATTCCTGATCAAGTTTGGATTCGATCCCAACATGTTAGGCAAAACTCCGACCAAGCGCAAATATTCAGGACCAGGAGATCAAACTCAACAACCAAAGCGCCCAAAGAAATCTCTGGCTGATGATTTGATCTGTCCCATCAGTTTGGAGTTGCCCTTGGACCCTGTTACAGCTGAGGATGGGCGTGTCTATGATCGCGAAAGTATTGAGGAGCATTTCAAGACCACCAATCAAGGGACTCTCAAATCCCCCATTACCAGAGAAAAGATGGGTAGCAAGCTTCTGCCTGCAATCCAGCACCGAAACACCATTGAGGCTTTGATCGACGCTCATATCATTGAAAAAGGTCTGGCTACCAAATGGAGGCAAAGGATGCATCAGAAGAAGCAAATGGACAAGTTGTTCAAGAAGGCAGAGGCTGGAGATGGCGAAGCAATGTATAACATTGGATACAACTTTGAGAGAGGGCAAGATGGCTTCAAGCGTGATCCCAAATTGGCGTTTCCGTGGTTCAAGAGAGCCAGTGAAGCTGGGCATGTACTCTCAACAGCAGTAATTGGTAACTGTTACCTGCAAGGCTTTGCTGTTGACAAGTGCCTTTACAAGGGCATCATGTTTGTTACTACTGGCGCCAACAAAGGCTCGCCCTGGGCAGCATACCTTTTGGGAATGGCATTTGCAGATGGCCAACATGGTGTCACTGTGGATCGGTCAGTGGCCATCCATTGGCTAAGGCAGGCACTTAAGAACCAAACTACTACTATGTTGAGTGCTGTTAACATCAGGGAGACGATACAGAAGCTGAAGGAGCTGAAAGCCAAACAAGGCAGCTTTACTTCCCCCTAAGTCTACTTCCTACATAGCATGCTTGGAAATGCTGGCAATTGCATGGTGGAAGCACTGAGATTTCTTGCACTGTGTCATCCTTCTGTTGTATTCAAAAATTTGCCCCTGGCTCGGTGTGCTGACCACAATAGGTACCGTAGGTGTTGTTCTCAGTTACCGGAAAAGCCAAATAGATAAACTAAAGTTTGCAGAGTAGTGCCTCTTCAGTTTCTGTTACAGCTATGTTCTTCATTCCTCCGTTCGCTTGCCGTCCCAAACTAGATGCAAAAGATTGGTTTAAAACATTCTGGGATCGAGTTTACGAATGCACCATGCGCGGGAATACTATCATTGGGGTGCTGTCTACCGGTAGACTACCGTAAGGCGTGGAATTGTTAGAGGAAACTTTGAAGAGGGTCGGTGGAAGTTACTTTGAGAGTCGAGTCAAGTCAAGTCCTCGTGAGTGACAAGGTTGGTGAGAGAGCCTCCAGCGCTTGCAGCCTTGTAAAAACATGCGGTTTCAGTGTAGTCTCATCTCTACCGTATTAAAATGGACGACGCCTGGGGATTTGGAATACACAAATTAAAAAGACTTTAGAATAGTAGAACTATCCATTAACAATAAGGCAAATAGCCCTGGTTGTAGATTTTGTTGTTCAGCAGGAGCGTCCCTCAATCGTGGGTGATGGAGAAACCGACCCAAAATCCGACCTTAAATCTTTGAAACCCGTCCCTAATTCTATTGGAGAATAGGGTCGGGTTCGAAACCCGACCCAAAATCAAAATCCGACCCTAAATTAGGGACGGTTTTTCAGAAACCGTCCCTATTTTTTGGGTCGGTTTTGAAACCCGACCCTAAATTAGGGTCGAATTTCAATGTATTTACCACTCAGTCCCGTTTCTATTTAGGGAAAGTTTTCAAACCCGACCCTAAATCGAAATCCGACCCTAAATTAGGGACGGTTTTTCAGAAACCGTCCCTATTTTTAGGGTCGGTTTTGAAACCCGACCCTAAAGGGAATCCGTCCCTAAATCCGTCCCTAAATTAGGGTCGTTTCAGATTTAACTTCATACACGATTGAGGAACGCTCCAGAGAGATCCAAACAATGATACGGTGGTTTAGAGTATATAAGGGGGGTTTTAGAGTAGGGAAATTATCTACGGAAGCCAGCCGGGGCCAGGCTTAAGCAAAGAACAGTCGAAATTCAGGACTAGGTTCTGTGGGATCAGGGGCAAGAAATTGAGGACCATTACGGGGGGCAAATGGTTTGGCTTTGCGGGATCCACGGAGACATAAATGGGTAGCTTTCACAAGGGCAATGGAGATACGGGTCTGACATGAAGAACATCATCATTGAGAGTAGGAGAAAATGAGTTTTGGAGGCAGTATGCAGAAGCAAGGCGTTGTAAGAGAGTCTTGCTTGAGGGGCAAGCATACGGCATCCACGAAACAACAAAAGGGTGGAAGAAGGCGCGATTGGACTTCGCAAAGCTTCTTTAAATTGGAAATTTTGTCGCGTTCTTGTTGGGTAAAACTTTGACGGGATCTTTGTTGCGGTAAGAGGCACAGTCCAAACAATGATACGGTGGTTTAGAGTGTAGATTTTGCTACGGAAGAGAGATCCATCGTGACACTCAATCACCATCATCCAATATCCACATTGCCAACCAACAACACAACAACACAACAACACAACAACACAACAACACCGATTACTCGTGTACCAACAACACCGATTACTCGTGTACCAACAACAACTTCCACTACTAGTTTTGCTTTTGGATTTCAATATGAATACTGGGAGCAAGCGCAGCAATTCAGGAGCAGGAGATGAACCTCAACAATCTACAAAGCGAGCAAAGAAATCAGTGGCTGATGATTTGATTTGTCCCATCAGTTTGGAATTGCCGTGGGAACCTGTGACAGCTGAAGATGGACGAATCTATGAGCGGGAATGTATTGAGGAGCACATCAAGAAGAATTCAGGGAATCTCACATCCCCTATCACTGGAGAAAAGATGGGCAAGAAGTTGTTACCAGCCATCCAGCACCGCAATATCATTGAGACTTTGTTAGAATCTGGTGCCATTGAGGAAGATCTTACTGCCAAGTGGAATGAAAAGGTGGAGCAGAAGAAGAAAATGGAAGCATTGTTGGAAAAGGCAGAAGCAGGCAATGGATATGCAATGTATATGGTAGGAGTCAATTATGTAGTTGGCCAGGATGGCTTCAAGGAAGATGAAAAATTGGCCTTTCAGTGGACCAAGAGAGCTCATGAGGCTGGGAGTGTCGTGGGCACAGCTGCTTTGGGCGAGCATTATTTGCTTGGTGTTGGAGTGCAGGCGTGCTGGCAGAAGGGCACTATGTATGCCTCTATTGCAGCAGGTCAAGGATCCAACCTTGCGGCATTTCACTTGGGAATTGCCTTGGCTTATGGAAAGTATGGCTTCAGCAAGGACAAGGCAGATGCCATTCGCTGGCTGGAGAAGGCCGTTGGACATTGTCCTCATGAGCACTTGTCAAGTGCTTGCAAGAACCAAGCTCGGAAAAAGCTTGATGACCTCAAAGCCACCGCCGCAGAGGGCAATGGGATGCCCTGATCTCATTTTTCTTTCTGGAACTTGCTGCAGGAACCGCCGCCGGTCGTCTTGATTGTGGTTGTGTATTCCAGTTGCGAACTATCTAGATTCTATGTTGCATGTTTTCTACACGGCGGTAATTCTATAGCTGATCACGACTATCCATACATTTTAATTTCCTTACTGCTTTGACTACATGTACATCTTCCTATCTTAGCTGCCGCACCGTGTCGCTCCGTTCTTTCGTATCCTATCCATTCATCCCACCAGACTTCGTTCCGTCATCCATTTTCGTACTTCCTCATCGGTAATCTTGGCACGCCGTTGTTGATGTTCCGCCACCAGTTCCTGCAGTACTTCAATCAACTTGGCCTTGACCTTGTTGGTACTCCAGTACTCACCCGATCCACTTCCATAATCCTTCCCAATCTTGTCGAGTAATTCATCGTCTTCCAAAAAGAATCGCAACCACTGATAACTGACATCGATTTCCAAATTGGCACCGAGCTCTTCCTGTTCCTTTTTCGTTTCTCGTCCCCCCGAAAACGCATGTTCCTTGATTTTGCGTTCAATCTCTTCCGGTGTATCCGTCAAGAAAATGGCCGAATTGGTATCGGACGAACTCATCTTGCCAGTGGCACCCTGCAGTGGAGGAAAGAATTTGGAATGAATCAATGCCGGTTTGCCATTCAACCCATGCGGTTTTTCGTTGGATTTGGGTTTGGCCACCAGTTTGTGCGCCACATCGCGGGTCATGCGAAAGTAAGGATCTTGATCAATGGCACACGGAATCAAACACATGCGTTTCGACGTATGGTCGGCTTGTAGAACGGTCGGAAACGACGATGCAAAACTGGGTGCCGCTTGAATGGCCGGAAAGGCAATTTTGCCAATGTTACTGGATCCATCAAAACCAAAAATCCCATTGACCGTATTGGTCGTCACCGCCTTCCAAATGCGCACAATATTGGGATACATGCGTCCGACATAGTCCAAATCGGAAAATAAAAATGTCTTGTCGTAATCGAATCCACAGGCAATAATATCACGGGCATTTTCAATCGTGAGATTGGCAAAATGATTCAGATTGTCTCCGTCTTGTTCGTCGTAGACGCCCTTGAAGAGAAACTTTTCATCGTCTGTCATTTGAATGACCAAGGGACAATCGAATGCTTGTTGTAACCAGCGCGTAAACAAAAAGGGAATCAAGTGTCCCAAATGCATCGAGTCACTGGAAGGACCTCTGCCGGTATAGAGATAGACGGTTCCGTCGTGCTGTTGCATCTGATCGAGGAGCGTGTGGAGGTCGCGATGAGAAAAGAACATGTTGCGTCGTAAGAATCGATGCAATCGCGGAACACGTCCCTTGGCGACATCTTGTAGTTTTTGCAAAAGCTCTTCCGTCAAGAGTTGCGATCCAAATTCCTTGACGAGTTTGGTATAATCGATTTTTCCCTTGACTTCCCAGGCATTCACCACCATTTCTTCGTCTTTGGGTGTTTCCTCCTCGGTTGGTGTAGTTGTTTCCTTGGTTGCCGCTTCTTGTGCTTTTTGTTGTTGTGCTGCTGCTGCTTGTACGAGTCGTTGTCCTTCCGGGGATCGTACCTTGTTTTGACAGAGAATTTGAGTGCTAGTTTCGGCAATGGTATTGTCAGTGCTCGCTTCGACAACCGGAGCATCCGGTTGTTTCAGTGTGACGTGAAATTTAATGGTGATTTGGGCATCTTTGCGTGACTTTTTGCCACAGGCAATATCACTATTTTGGTTTCCCCGTTCGACGACAATCTTGTCGAGTGCCGCGGCTGTTGCGTAAGGCAAGGAAGGAGGAATGGCCAAGACCCACTGGTCGACATGAGCCAGGGTCACGGCATCCTCTGGTTTGGTTTTCATGTGCATCTGATTAAAGACACCCAGTGGAGGTTTGGTCGCGACTGTCGAACCAAGCAAAGACTCGGCGGCTTCCTTGGTGGTAGTCACGGCAGAAAAGGCAACGCCATTTTGAATGCAACGATTGGCTTCTTTCTCGATACCAGTCAACAATTCATCACGAGCTTCATCGTCTTCGGGCAATTCCAATTCGCCGACGCCCAATTTCTTGCCTACCGAGAGACTGAATTTTCCCGACAAGACGGGCTTTTCCTTGAGAAATGTCGGTTGCATCACGGAACACGATGTTTCCAACATGGACACACCCACCACGGCGCCCACGGCTCCCCGCAACAACAGATACCCTGTCGAAACGCCAGGGGGACACGGGGGAGTCACCACCACGCGTTTCTTCTTTTTGCCATCCTTAGCGTCAGCTGCGGCTGCTTCAGTTGTCATGGTGATGTTTCGTTGGTTTGTTTAGCTCTTGTCTAGCTAGCTAGCTAGTAGATAGATAGTCAGTTTCGTTATTGTGGGTTGTGGGAAAGAGTTGGATGCCACCAAAAGATATGTGAAACCCGAAATGTGCGGCTGGGAGGGTTTCGAGGTGGAAGCACTCCAAGATTTGATTTCGCACGTCTCAGATCACGTAGGTCACGGATTATTTCAAAGCGTGATAGAATGAAATACTTGGCGTCATTTCACGGAAGATAATTCAATTTTGATGTTGACACCCTGTTCGCATTTTGCATCGAGCAGCCAATCACAACAAAGAACGTTTCAAAAAGCAAATTGCAAAAACGAAACTGCCAACCCTTGCTTTCTTGTTGATCAGATCATTCTCATGCTCATCACAAAAAAGAGTTGCCAAAGGCCGTGCTCTGTTCCATGGTATAGCCGATTGTGGTTTTGGAACAGTTCATAGCTGATGGCTCTCTTCCTTCCTTCCTTCCTTCCTTCCTTCCTACCTTTCTTCCTTCCTTCCTTCCTTTGTCGGGTGAAAGGCTGTGTTCAGTTCCATGGTATAGCCAATTGAGGTTTTGGAACTGTTCATGGCTGAGTAGCAAGAATGGGTTGGCTGGTTCGTCCTCGTGCAAAGGTAACAGTCGGATCTTCTGTTTGGCGGGTCGCTCGCTCGATGTCTCACATACTCTCAATCTCCTTCAGAAGACATATATGCATGCATGCATGACGATGACAGCCACCTTGCCAGTGCTGATTGTGGATTGCTATTGATTGATTTGGGCGTTGTTTTGCAGTCCAATGGCGCCTCCCGTTTTCTTCTAGCTAGCTAGCTAGCGCAAGTTTCGCTCAACGGCCGTTGTCAAGCTAGCTTTTGATCCTTGATTCGAAACGGTCAATTGATTTGCTCGATCGTCCTCTCGAGTTGTTTCTCAAGTCCATGGCAAGCGGTCTCTTCCAATAATACTTCCTTCTCTCGCCAGTGTTCAGTTCCCAAGTGCAGCGACGACTCTGCCCTCTTTAGAAAAACCAAGTCAACTCGACTCGACTCGGTCAACCTGACGGACGGATGCCCTAGCTAACTGACACAGTGACGAACAAAGACCCCTAGACCATAGACTAGTTTGTAGTTAATTCTTGTCGGCAGTCTCCCTGCATGTTGGGCGATGGCGATTGTGGGCACCCTTGCAGCTGTCTGGTTGCTTATTGCTATCATATTGGAGCTGTCCTCACAAAGTCTCTACCCCCTCTCTTGAAGATGCCGGGTATTGCTGACGGCTTAATGTCTGCGGCGTTCTGCTGTTCCTGTGGTTGTGTCGCCTTTTGCTTACTCTTTTTTTCTCTTACACTAGTTTGTTGTTGTTGTGTTGCCAGTTGGAGGAGCGTTATTGTCGTCGGCCTCATCATCGCCCTCTTCCCAAACTTCATCGTCGTCGTCAGATTCAGATACAGCTATACTTCCAATTCCACCGGGGCCAGCATCCATATCCAGGATGGACGACGGTTCTCCTTGTAGACGGCGTTCCAATTCTTCTGGGTCCGTCGCCAGGCTATCCACTTCCGAAAGCTCAGCGTGCAACTCAGATAAACTATGTTCCATGTTGTCGTCATCGTCATCGAATTCATCGTCAACGACATTGGCACCGCCCTCTTCATCATCAAACTCAAACTCTTTTTCCATGGCATCAGCCATGGCAGCAAGTCGTCCAATGGCAGACGTTCTGGATACATCTGCTTCCGTGACTGGCGCTTGATCCAGATCGTCTTCCTCGTCGCCTTCCGCATTATGGGTCCAACTGAGATCCATGTCCGAAAAGGGTTCAATGTCTTCCAAAATTTCATCCCCCATAAACTGATCTTCCACGGGCTTGAATCCGCTGATAGTGCTGGCGCCTGTAGTCTGAGATTCCACCTCGTCAGCTTCATTGTCGTCGTCCGCTCCTTGCCTGCCACTGGCACCAACTGCTACTGCTGCTGCTCCTGCAATGATCGGAGCTGCTCCATCACCGTCGTCTGAATCATCCTCCCACTCGTCATCTGGATGCTCCTCGTCTTCCCGTGCATCTTGATTTGTCGCATTGGCCGGTTCATCAGCCACGGTATCTTGGGTTCCCTCTATTGGCTTGATATTGCCTTCTCCAGGCAATACACCTCGATTTGAAGATTTCTCAGCTGGTGGAATCTCTTCCACTTCTTCTTCATCCTCCTCCTCCCATTCTTCATTTTGGATATCGTCGTCCTCTAGATTCTCTTCTTCTTCTTGCGGCGCTGCCCGAGAGGTCTCGATATTATCATCTCCCGCTTCCTGCTCCTGGTCGTTTACCTCGTCCATGTCAGCATTCTCAGCCATGGCCTCGTTGTCTTGTCCTGCTTCATTGGCAGCGACAGCTGCTCCTGCTCCTGCAATGCCATCCCCATCGTCCTCCGTTGGGACTTCTTCGGGCTCCTGGTCTTCCTCGCGATCATCCTCTGATTCGCCACCAGAATCTCCCTGGTCCCATTCTTCATCACTTGGCCCTTGGCCACCAACAACAGGTGTGGCACCTAGATTGTCATCTTCCGATGGTCTTCCTTGATCCGGCCAATCGTCATCTTGTGATTCACTGGTTGCTACTGCAGAACGGGGAGCACCCATTTCGACACCTCTATCGTCCGATTCATCACTTGGCTCTTGGTCACCAACAACAGGTGGGGCATTTTCATCGAGATTTTCATCTTCCGATTCTTTTCCTTGATCCGACCGATCACCATCTTGTGTTTCGCCTTCACTGGTTGCTACTGCGGAACGAGGTGCACCCATTTCGACAGCTCTATCGTCCGATTCCTCACTGGCATGATCTTGTCCAGGGCCTTGGTCATCCTCTCGCCCCTCAACGCCGCGGGCCAAGCTTGCGGCAGCAGCAACGGGCACTCCGGATTCCAGATCTTCGTCCGCTGGTTCCTCGTCTCCCTGGTCTTCTTCTTCGAGATCAGAATCAATCTGGTCATTCCTATCACTATCCAACTCGTCGTTATCTGGGGGATCCATTCCAGACGTATCTGGAGGATCTGCGCCTTGTGTTTGTGCGTCAATTCCGCGTTCCATCTTATCAATCGGATCTTCTTCCTTGTTGCCTTCTTCGTCTGCTTCGTTCTCGCTATCATCCTCCCATTCGCCACCAGAATCTTCGTCCTGGTCCCATTCTTCGTTTTGCTCATCTTTGGCGCCCCACCCCTCGGATGATCCATCTTCGTTCACTTCCACAGCAACAGTAGGGGCTTCTTCCATCGCGGGGGCAGCCTCTTGCAGCGCCTTTGAAACGAGCTCATCCTCTGTATCGTAGTTCACTTCTTCCACTTCTACCCGATCCCGATTTGGGTCCCATTCGCCACTATCTTCTTTGCTGCCTTCGAATTCAAGGTCTTCTGATTCCCAATCACTGTCTCCTCCCCCCTCACCTGGTGGTGGTGCCATCTCCATTGGCTCCTTTGTTTCGCTCTCAAGGAGACGAACGGAAGCCTCTGCCACCGGGGAATCTTTTTCCTGCTCCGTGACAGCGGACTTTTCCCGCTGAAGCGCCACTGCAAAGGCAGCGAGGCAGAGGATTCCGCAGCAGCCAGACACGCTGGCCAGTACAATCAGCAGAATTAGCCACCAGGCCATTTTGCCGTTGTTCTGCTCGCCCGAGTCATCCGTGACAGCCACTCCTTCCACTTTGAAAGGGGAATCTGGGTCCACTTTGTCAAGACTTTCTTGCATCTTTCCTTCTTCTATTGCTTTCTCCACGGCCACGTCGTACCTGTCTGATACGTTTTGGTATGACTCTCCGTCTTCAGGGCGCAAATCGAAGCGTCCGTATACATTTTGACAATTGGCACCCTCTGGAGCTGTTGAAGGACACTGCACCGTTTGGACCGCAACGACTTCGGTACTGTTTGCGTGCAGAGTTGCTGCGAGCCTACGATATCTTGGTGGTGTACGGAGCGCTCGTCGCTTGCCTTCTGTGTCTGCTACAAGCGTGGTTGCAAAGTCCGCAAGTGCTCTGTTCAGTGTCACTCCGGATTCGACTGATGCCAAGTCGTTTGCCGCCAGACCTTGAGTATTGGATACAACGTAAGATACATTGACTCTCGCAACACAACACGCGTCCTTGACATCGTTTGCTTCTGCACATGCCTCCTTATCGATAACATAGTCAAAAATTTCTGAGACTTCCCCACACGTTAGTCCAGCTGCGTTATCGAATACAAATGACTCTCGCAAGGTGCTTCCAACGGGGCAAAAATCGCCACATATCTTCTGGGCTGTGGCATTTGAACACGCACACCAAGCATTCAGGTCGTACGGTGCGTCGCCGAATGTCAAGACACTTCCAGTGCTGCCACACGCATCAACTGTTTGCACCGAGTAAAAGTCAGAGATGCCTTGACAACTCGTGTTTGCAATGTGCGAAAACACTCTGTTTTCAAAGGATACACTTTCGTAATTGGGGATGATGAACGGCTTATCTTCAAAGTTTCCCGATGGACAGAAGGTACACACAGGCTCGGGGGCATTGGGGCAGCCACACCACGAAGCGTATTTGCTTGTTAGAATGCCACAGGTTGTTGCATCGGTGGACACGAAGACCCCCGAGCTTAGGGATGCACAGGTCAAGCCCCTCGCATCCGGGAGCTCCTTGTTGGGGTCAAGATTGTTGCCTGGACATGGGTGACAGCTCTCAGCATTATCTGGAGCATTGCAACCACAGTATTCAACTCCCAGGGAGCGTTCAATGAAGCATTCTTCGGACTCCACGTCGAGCTGCGAAACTGCCTGCCACCAATCGCTACATGAAAGTCCATCTGGAAGCGACCCAGTCTGGTCCAGGCCGCCGTCACAGGCAGAACATTTCGAGGCTCCGATTGGCGACTGAATGGGAGGCTGCTGTTGATTTGGTTGTAAGGTTGGCACGTTTGACGGCAGCTGCGATGCCATGGCGCTGGGACGTTGAGATGGGGTATTGTCATCGGCTGCTACACCTTCTACATTGAACGGAAAATTCGGGTCGTTCTGGGCGAAGAGTTCCTCCAGCTCTCCATTCTCCACTGCTCTTTCAAAGTCTGCTTCATACTTGGCTGCCACGGCTTCAGGATCGCCTTGTTCAACGTTGAGATCGAATCGTCCATAGACCAATTGGCAAGTTGAATCAGGAGGTGAACTCGCGGGGCAAGATGTGTCTGTGACAGCATAAACTTCTGCACTGTTTGGTTCCAAAGTGACGGAGTACCTGTAGACAGTGTAGACAGGTCCTCCGACAGAGCCCTCAGGATTCGATGCCTCGTCCACGACGCGTGCAGCCAGGTCACTGAACCCAGAGTTCAAAGTATCCTCATGATCGGATGCTAAGTCAGTCGCAGTGAGGCCTTCCTGGTTAGACAATACAAACGCCGTCGTTGCTGTCACAGTCTGAGTGATCGAGGAGGAAGGTGGAGACGGAGAACCTGTTGTGCCGAACGTCGATGAGGGGCGTGTTGTGGGGTTTGCATCCACTGAAGGACTTGTTGTAGGGTTTGCGTCCATCGAGGGACTTGTTGTAGGGTTTGCATCCATCGAGGGACTTGCTGTAGGGTTTGCATCCATCGAAGGACTTGTTGTAGGATTTGCATCCATCGAAGGACTTGCTGTCGCGCTTGCGTCCATCGAAGGACTAGCTGTAACGTTTGCATCCAATGGCTGGTCCAATAGCAGTCTGTCCAGGTAATAGACGATCCCGTTTCTGACAAGAATCTCGCCGGGGGCGTTTTCCAATTCATTTTCGGGGAATACAATCACGGCAGGATCCCCGCCGCTTTCACCACTCAGCAGAATCGTGCCGCCCATGACGCTGACGACCCACTGCTTTCCGTTGATGGATCGTATGATGCCACCGTCCATTTCCAAGAGTTGGTCGAGGAAAAGAAGATCTTCAAAGAGATGGTTTGCGAGGATGTCTTCCAAATCAGTCTCTGGAATTTGGGAATCATCAAAGTCAGGGGGGACCATCGCTGTGATCGGGGTTTCAGAGGTTCCGCGCAAGTCGATGTTGTCCTTGAGAAGGTTACCAAAAGTAGATGTGGTGAAAACTGTCAGATAGCTGGTGATATCATATTGCATCACGATAGGAAGATCCATGCCCGGTCCGACAAAAAACACGACGCTTCACAAATAGAAAGAAACGTGTGATGTGAGAACAGCTCGAAAGTGATGCGGAAATTCGGCAACCAGAGTGATTCTTACCCATCCGTACAGCTTGGTGACGGACCCAGAACAGGTCCAAACTCAACTTCCAGAGTGCCCGATAAGGACGAAATATAGATGAATTCTCCTCCTGCAATAGTCTCCACGCTCATTTCATTTACCTCCAACAAGGCGTCCTTTTCGAATGGGGTAGATACCATAAAGCTCTGGAGCAAATGCTCTAAGTGTCTCGACCAGAGGGGGGCAGTCACTAGTTTTACAAAGAAGTCTTCAGCGTAGGAATGTTCATCAAACACGCTGTCGACTGGAGCGAAAAGTGTGAATCGATTCGCACCGATCACTTCGACCTGGCTAGAAATGTTCTTGGGGTCCCACCCAGTCGCCAAGAAGAGTTGTTGGATCTTCCTGACTCCAATATCAGTAAAGTCATGGGCAAAACCCAAGATCTCAACCATGCCAGGCGGTTGCAGGATATCATCCACTTCATGAACAAGCCTGGGAGGAAAGTATTGCAAACAAGCAGATAAGATCGTGCAGGAATGATTCGATTGTCATGCGAATGATATACGGTGCTGCGAGGCGCTTACCCATTCCACGCAAACTGTTCCCTTTGAACTTCAACATCGTTGTATCGTATGACTCCATCTTCGTCAACAGTTAGAAGTACGTCGGCGGTCGGGTGTCTTGTCGGCAAGGCATCAAACACGACTCCACCCAGCTCTTCCAGGTAGTTATTTACCTCAACGACATGATAGCGAATGAGGTCGACCGCGTCAACGGAAGGAGAGATGTCTCCCTCAAATGCAACATCACGAGGGGTGACAAGCGTTGTTCCATTCTCCACGAAACCAATAAGTGCCGTGTCACTGTCAAACGCTGCGCTTTCGATCAAGGAGACTAGGGTAGAGAACCCTTCTGCTGTTTGGAGAAGGCGTTCCGTGTCAACTTCTCCAGTCCTGGTTTGCAGAAGCTCCCATATATTGAGATACATCCACGGGGCGTACAAGAGCCCGTCAATTTCGTGAATCACACCATTATCAGCCAATCGATCCGGTGAAACTATGGAGCGGTTCCCTACCAGCTGCAAATTTGCATCGATAGGCAAGCTTTCGGAAGACACAGTGGTCACCGAATCTCCAGCTGCTCCACTCCAAAGTAGTTCGCTCGAGATTGTGGCGCCTTCCACCAGGTGAAACTCTAGCAAGGCAGCAAAGTGCCCCGTCCACGCCTCAAAGTTCTCGCCGTATAGATCGAGAACACCTTCGTTCAGAAGGTATTCATCCTGGGGAGCAAACACTGTGAATTCTTTATCCGGCATACTCAAGAGTTTGTCAAAGTTGAGCAAGACGAGGCCTTGTCGGAATATGATCATATTCAGGCTTGCATCCAAAACATCCTGCACTGTTCCTCCGGTGCCGCCGCATCCGCAGTACGCTGCAAAGGTGCCAAAAAGCGCTTGGCATGTGCTTTCTCCATCAACCGCTGGAATGCTGAACAAGTCGCTGCACGTAAGGGCGACTTCACCTGGAATAATTCTTGCGCTGAAATCACTTGAGAGTGCCGTTGCGTCGCTCTGTTCGGCGAGCACCCCAGAGCAAACGTCGCATACCCCTTGCACTGCCAAACATCCACAGAAACCCGCAGCAAGACCTCGGGCAAAGATGCAATCCTCAGCGGAAACGACAGAGTTGTCCAACACTGAACATGATGTGCCGTCTGGGAACAACGCATCTCCAGAAAACTCTCCTCGATCGCAATAGGTACAAGTCTGAGTGTCGGAGCTTGGACTTGGAGTCGCGGGTACGGGTTCTGGAGTTGCTTCGCACCCACAGTAAGATGCGTAGTTCTCAGCTAGTAAACCACAGGTCGAATCACCATCAACCGCAGGAAAATCCTTCAAGTCATTGCAGGTGAGGGCTGGGTTGTCCAGTAAATGCAGGTCCTCAAAGTCCGCGGGAATGCCAGTGTTAAGATTGAGCACGGCCTCTGCGGAATCAACGGTGATGACGGGGCCTGATCCGGAAGCTTCATCACCCGGTCTGACGACAATACCCTTCATTCTAGCGCGAAATCCCTCCTCCAGCGTTCCGGTGCCACCACAAGTTGTGCACACTCCAACGTCCCTAGCAATCGAGACAATCAGATTTTTGCTGTTGTCATCAAGAGTGTAGCCCCGCCTGAACATCCCGCTAGCATCATCTGGACTAGGATCCAGAAGAACCTCGAAAGCCGATGCTAGGCAGGGTTCAACGTCAACAAGACAATGAACAGAATGTTTATCGGCATTCTCCAACGTTGGCAGCGCCGAGTTGTCCAGGAGCGTCCCAAGTTCAATACAGAAACGATCCATTATGTAGCCTTCCACCTCGATTTCTTGGCCAAGCTCGACCGTGTCAGGATCGGGCTGAAAGTTGCCCCTTTTGTTATACATGCTTTTGCTGACCCCAGTCCTGGAAGCTACCGACCCGCTGCAGACGTCGCATGTGGCGGTCACATCGCTCGGGCAACCACAGAAGGCTACGCCCAGCAGTCGATCCAATAAACACTCATTGCTCTCCGGAGTAGAAAGTGCAGCGCTTTCTGCCCAAAGTTCGCAGGTGACTCCAGCTACCACTTCGCCGCCTGGGACGACCTGGCCACCGTGGCAGTAATCGCAAGAACCGTCATCGCCTGCTGGCCCTTCGGCAGTTGGTGATGGCGAGGCCGTTGGAACAGCGGTCCCAAAGTCTTCAACGCTATCCAGCCACTGGTCAATTTCGTGGACCAACCCGTTGTTGACAAACGTGTCTGCCTGGATTATTTTGGTTCCCGAATTGCCAATTTCATCAAATGACTTGACTTCTAAACTGTTCCCGCTCATCATGTTGATTGCCGACAATGTCTCGAGACGTTCGATGGGATAACTCCCCACGACAATAAAATTTTCAATCGAAGTCTTCAAGTCTGGCCCTACCAACTGCAGCATGTCTTCGTTACCCCATCTCCTCACCACGGCATCGTTATTCGGAGCGAATAACGTGAATGGACCACCCTCTTTGCTACCCAAGACGTCTCCGTAATTTATCTGGTAAAGGTCCAATAGGTCCGAGAAGATGCTGAAATTTGTGTCGGGTGCAATTTTCAGGTAGTCATCAATGGGCGTATAGTCCGCAAAGGTCCAGTGGAAGCCAAACAATCCATGATAAACACCATTGCTGCATTCGAAATCGAATGGAGGTTCCAATCTGACGCTAAAGTAAATGTCGTCGACCATTTCGACTGGGTCCCCACCGAGCGTCTCCAAAGTACTGTCGACGTTATCGGATGCCAGTATGATTGCGTCGGGAACAATATATCGTTCGAGAATATTTTTGTGATGATAGTAATAGTCTGGCGTGAAGAAAAAGTGATCATAGTCCAGCGGCACTATTTGTTCAAAGGCTCGATTGTTGGGCGCAAAGAGTGTGTAATTGGTTGTCGTATCGGAGAGTACGCCATCGAGACCCACGAATTGCAGAGCTCGAACGAGAGTTGCAAATCCTTTTTCGTCATCGCCCGCCCCCCCTAGAATCAGTTGATCCATAATGGTGTTTAGTGCTGCACCTTGGTCTTCCACAGGGTCCACGGGATCGTCACTTTCCTGTGCTGTGGGTTGGTTGGTCTCTCCATTGCTTCCAGCTATGGTCGGTTCAGTGGTGGTCTCACCACCATTGCTTCCAGCCACGGTGGGTTGATTGGTCTCTCCACTGCTATCCGCCACAGTCGGTTGATTCGTCGCTCCCGCAACAGTCGGTGCACTCGTAGTAAAGGTAGTCGGCATAAATGTTTCAGGCACTGCCGTTGGTGAACACTCGGTGGTCCCACACCCGCCAGCGCCACACCGTCCAGTGCCACAAAACGCCGCGTCGGGATACCATTCACAAAAGTCGCCCGATGTTTGTTGCGACGCGACACAGTCGTCGCAAGTTCTGCTACCAGAACAAAGGACGGCATTTTCTTGCTCGACCGCATAAAGGGTGCAAATGGCATCGGGTTGTCCTCCGAAATTCTCTTGATTGTAACAAGAAGCATCGGGAATGGCACATCCATTGAAACACAATCCGAGGGTCCACGAACATCCCGCCTCCAAACATTGTTCGCACGAGGGCTCTTCCCCCGAAGCAAAGGCGGGGCAAGTCGGGTCCCCCACTGTGGTTGGTACCGTGGTTTCGGCGACTACCGTCGTCGGTGCTGTTGTCTCATCACACGTGGTGGTACCACATCCTGCCGAGTTACACCCTCCTGTTCCACAAAATTCCGCGCCGGGATACCATTCACACGCATCGCCCGTCGTTTGTCGCGTGTTTACACATTCCTCACACGAATTGCCATTATAGCAAATGGCCGCATTTTCTTGATCCATCACAACAAGTGCACAAATGTCGGGAGGGGATTGTCCTTCCAAAATCTCTTGATTGTAACAGGTGACATCTGCAATGACATCACACTGATTGAAACACTGTCCCAAAGCCCACGAACATCCCGCTTCCAAACAGTCTTGACAGGTAATTTCCTCGTCATCTGCACCAAATGCGGGACAACTCCCAAAGGTGGTCGGTACAGTAGTGAATCCATTGGGGGTGGGCAGTACGGTCGTGGTGGCTCCGACAGTGGGCACGGTAGTCCCTCCTTGCACGGTGGGTGCCAAGGTACTGGTTCCCGTCGCAGTTGGAAACGACGTGCCGGAAGGTTGACTGGTGGTGGCAATGGCAGTTTCAAAGGCTGTGCTCCAAATTGTGGTCAATGGAGTTGGCAGAGTGGTTGCTGCTGCTGCTGCTGCTGCAACACCACTGCTGGGCATGGTAGTGGGTTGATTGGTAGTAGCCACGGTGGGTACCAGGGTAACGAGTGATCGGAGTTGGATAAAGTACTGGGAGTAGTAGTAGCGGGAGATGCCTGCTGAATTTTGTACGACAATGGTAACATCAATACTCAGTTGTAGGCTGTCGGTTCGTTGTGGTTGTCCAAAGAGTCGATCAATGACGAAAATTTCAGTCGATACTTCGCTCTTGGGGTCACTGCTGGTATGCGTAATCCCGGAAGTCGTAACGCCTACACACTCGGTGTTTTCTTGTTGCCTATCAGACTGAATTAGTAGAGAGGCGGTAGCGGAATCGTCTTGCAGGGAGACTAGCATGTTAAAGCCTCGAATGGGCGTGGTGTCAACGTCATTGGTCAAGACGACCAAGGGCATTCTAAACTCGGCGCCTTCTGGGATAAAGCTCACATCTTGGCCGGTGGTAATTTCCACTCCATCCAGTTGCACGGAAAACAGAGTGTCCAGATTCCCGGTTTCCAATGTATCGGCAGACAAGTGAGCTCCGCCCAGTCCGTCACTTCCTACGATGCAGCTCAGAGCACCAAAGGAAGATGCTTCACACTCTTGCGGCACATGTAGCAGAAGAATCAGGGAATAAAGTGCCGAGAAAGACCACATAAAATTCATTGTCGTCTGGAGAATAGAAGCAGGCTACCCATATCCCAACCTGGAAAAATCAGTCAACCAATCAGGATGTTGCTTGGCTTGGTTTAGTTTGGTTTATGGCTTTTTTAAAAGGGAAAGGTACTGGCTAGTAGAAGATGAGCTTGCTATGATAGTGATGATTGTCTTGTGGAACAAACATGCACAGGCTCAAGTCTTCTGTTGGGGATGCAGCTCGATCATCATCGTCATCTGCTGGTTTGACGACACAAGAAAAATCACGAGCAACCGCGAACCCACGTTTATTCGCAGAATCTTTTGCAGGACTCACAAAGACTTAAGATGATGACTTCTCAATACGGCTACACGTGACATGAAGATTCTTGGCTTCAAATTTTCAAAAAGGAGAAATTTGGTGAGACTTGCTCACATCTCAAGGATCAGAGTGTGTTGGAATTCATCAGAGGCTGAGTGAGCAAGATGCATTCTTTCATATAGTATACAATGATTGAATCTAGCCAAATGAGAGAGTTGCTTTGTATGCCCGAACTTGTTCATTGATTGCTCTCCCAAAAATGCAGGCCATTCGTCTTCTTGGCAGCGTCACAGATGCCGTGCATCCTAAAAGTAGGGAAACCGCACACCCTTTCTACTTTAATATATTTGTAGCAGTCTGTCAGTGTGGAATCGTTGCTTTGGAGTCAAGTTGAATATAGATATAGCCTAAACTTGTAGTTCGTACATGTTGCTGGCCAGAGGCTCTAGGCTTTCTTCTATCTGCATGTATCTGATGTTTATTCGGGAGTACCGTATGATGAATCGCCGCAGCAAGCAAGGGGCCGAGAGTGAGAGATGCATCTACATGTGGTCTAGCTACGCTCCATGGAGTGCGACCGTCGAACCCCATGGTCCTCGAGTACGAACGTCAAACATAGCGGGACTCCAAAAAGGGAATGAAATCCCTGGCCCACGGCCTGCCCGATCGGAGCTTTGACTGCAACAAAAAGGACACACGCAAAAAGGAAACAAATCGAATCGAATCCCACGGCATGGCCTTCAGTTCCCATCGGGTGTTGCTGTGCTGCTGCAACCCGAAGTTGTGAATTCGTTTGGTGCAGCCTCAATTACTTGTGGAGAGGGTATTGTTTCTTTTTTTTTTGTCCAGTATTGCTGTATTCTGATACGCAGGGATAGATAGATTGAAGGCTGGCTGCAATAATTTGGTTTGCTTGGTGGTTCGGACTTCCCTCCGTATGACTGCCGCACCGTACCTCGGCCGCCTGCCGTACTGTGCTGTTCTCCGCTTGAAAATAAATGTACATGCGCCATACTTTAATTTAGACGAAAACCAAGTCCAAGAATGCAGTCCTACTAAAGCTTGCCCTAACAGGGACGAATAATTACCTGCACCTTTATTACGGCGGACTTCGTCTTGATTGGTTCGCCTGAAACTAGACTAAGCATTCCAGGAGCGCTGGTTACCAACTGAAGCTTGCCAAGCATGTTCCTCGAACCATCATTGCCCCGCTGATGGATTGGGCAAGCTGGACTACATGTTGGACCAAGCTTGACCCATGAAATATCCATAATTAATGCAAGACGGCGGCTACTCCAACCCTTCTGGCCTCTCCTTCAACCGCAGCTGCTATTTTTGCAGATTTCTTCCGACGTCAAGCGAACCATTGGTGACAGGGAACTTGATGCTGTACTGAATGGTCACAGTGGAATTGGATACCCTAAGAATTCGCGGCTTCAAAATAGGACAAGAACAGACGGTGAGAGCTTCGGGTTGGGATACCTGACATTTTCCCCCTCTACTATTCTGTACACAGTGCTAGTATTTATAAATGCAACAATCAATCGAGTCAAGGGGGAAATTTGGCAAATATGGCAACAATGAGAATTAGGGACTGAGTTGGCACTTCACCGATGTGGCCTCTGTTGACGGTCAGTAGAGTTAAGTCTTGGCTGCCTGGCGTGGGAGGCAGCTGCTTTCAGCGTCAGGCATTCTTATTCCTGTTGGTGCCCTGGTGTTGCCAAAAGCAGATGGAGTGTTGACCTTTTTGCCATTAGCAGCTGAAGCAACTTCACAACAGCAGTTTGACAATTACATTGTCACGGCATAAACACGATATCGAAACGTTAGCAGCAAACAATAGCATACAAGAGCAGCAGCAACAACAAGAAGAGGAAGACTCTACCATCAGAGAGTATATAGTAAGCAACAGCAAGAGGTAACAGAGCAGCATGTCGGATATCTACGGTGATTTCGACGACAGCGACGATCTCGAGGTACGAAAGAACCGCCACCCAGCGTCTGGCCTCCGGAGCGTGCGCGTCATTCGTAGCAATCGAACCAGGACCGGAGAAACAAGTCATTCTCTCTTTCTATTAGCACACATCGACAATGGCACATGGACCGGAGCTGCGGCGACCGCAACGGGCTGACGGAGAGCCATGGTCTTGACTTCGCTGTTGGATGAAGAGCTTCTGCTGATCCTTTTGTTGTGACGTCAGCACTTAAGGGTCCTGCAACGTC